CAGAAGAGCAAGAGCGCGCTGCCGTGCAGCAGAAGCAGCTTCACCAGCAACAGAAGGCTGCTGCGGCCTTGGCCGCAGCCGAGGCTCAGCTGCATCCCCAAGAGCCAACACCTACACCAACACCCACCACTACAACCACCACCTCTTCCAATGCTGCGGCAGCTGTGACCGAACAGAGCGTCGCTCAACCAACGAGCGAGCAGCAGCAATCCTCTACACCCACCTATCTATCGGCCATCACCGCCGCCCAGAAGCAACAATCTACACCAAAGCCATCCACTACACAAACAACTCCAACGCCAACCGCTTCATCAACATCTTCACAACCAACATCTACTACTACTCCAGTTGTCCCAACTACAACAACTGAGCCTGCTGTGAGCACTTCAGCGCAGTCGGCACCAGCACAAGTCGCCACCGAGCCAGTGTCCGTGCCCGAAGCCGTCGTCGCCGCCACCCCAGCACCAGTACCAACACCAACTTCACTGCCAACACAATCTGTATTATCTTCATCCACAACCGATTCCGCACAACCATCCGCCACAGTATCGAGCACACCAGTCGCCGCCACCCAACCAGTCGCCGCTGCTGCCATGTCCTCATCCGCAAACATCACCCCACAGTCACAGCCGCAACAACAGAGCGCCGCTGCCACCACCCCACAACGCGTCAACTTTGGTCAAAAGCCAGGCAACACCCAAGCTTGGAAGCCCAAAGAATCATCTAACCACCCATCAAGACAACAGCAGCAGCAACAGCAGCAGCAGCAGCAACAGCCGCAGTACGTGGCCAAGAAGTCATTCGATGCCCCAGTTGCCCTGCCCGACGCCCTGTCTTCACTCGACACCAACTTTGATGTGCACTTTGGCAAGGACCCATCCGAGCCCACCATCCAGAAGCAGCAGCCAGTTGCCGTCAATGTGCCAACAGTCGCCCCATCTGCTCCAGTCGTTAACGCGACCGTCCCACAACAGGTCCAGCAGCACCAGCAGAAGCCCGCTCAGCTGCCATCGTCGCAGACCACCACTCCTCAGTTCCAGCAGCACAACATGAGCAACTTCCAGCAGCAGCACTATCAGACCTTCCAGGCAATGGCCTCTGTTGACCAGCAGCTGCCCCAGCAGTTGCAGCAACAGCAGCAGCATCTGATGCCGGACACCGAGCACCAGCACATGTCGGCCTTCCAGTACCACCAGTACATGATGCCAATGATGCCCTACTACGACACCGACACATTCAACGCTGCTCGTCAACAGCAACAGTTCTACGAAACATTCAACACCAACACAATGATCAGCGGCGGTGACAGTGGAAGCACTGTTGCTCCAGCGTCGACAAACAAGTCATTCCCACGCAACCAGAGCGCCAACCAGTCGTTCCGCGGCTCAGGTGACAACACCAACAAGTTCCAGCAGCAACAGCAGCAGCAGCAGCATCACCAGGATGCACAGACTCAGGCTGGCCACCCCTCGTCGCAGTCCCCACCCCTGCCACACACTTACCCCTACCAGCACCAGTACGGCTACCCTGGCTTCTACGGTCAGTACCAGTACCCAACTCAGAACTCCCAGTACCAGGCCTACCCATACCCCGGCATGTACGGTCCAAAGCCCTACATGAACAGATTCCCACAGGGCCAGGGCTACGATCAGGAGGACTTCAAGAACATGTACGCCGCCACACCCAACTATTACATGCCATCTGACCCATCGTCATTCCAGACCGCCAACAAGCTGCCAACTCAGCAGCCCGGCCAGCCAACACAGCTGTCCAGCTCGCCCACCGGAACCGCCAAGTTCCAGAACACCCACTACACACCACAGCAGGGACAGCAGACCACCAGCCAGCAGGGCGATATGTCGCACCAGTACGGCAAGGCTCAGTTCAACCGCAGTGCCGACGCTCAGCAGCCCAACTACGGATACACTCAGCCACAACAGTACATGACACACTACCAACAGTTCCAAGGCAACTCCAATACCACCTCACAGCAACAGCAACAACAGCAGTATCGCTAAGCGAGGCATTGGCTTGGGATTGATTGATGGGATGACTGCGAGTCCTGTTAAATATTTATAGATATAATATAAACTTCAATGTACAGATATTGAACTCATACATATATAATGTCCAGAGTATTTTATTTATTACTTCCTAATTCTCTCTTTTTGTCGTTTCATCACTTTTGCACACTCACTTCTTGATCAAATCAAAGAATCTTCCCATCTTCAAGATTGTGTTTGTTCGACGGTCCATCCAAACAACATTTGCAACACATGAATTGAATCTTATTCACAAATTGACACTTTATCTTTAATCACAAATACACACATACATAATGGATAAACAGGATAATCTACCTCTGCCTGTTACACAACAGCAACAACAACAACAACAGCAACAGCAGATTGCTACTAGTAGTAGTGCTACCAATGTACCAATAACTCAATCAACTACCTCAACCTCGGCCTCATCTACACCAGCACCAGCCTCAACAACGACATCGACGTCGTCGCCAACTATAGTAACAGAAACTTTGATCATTGGACCATCCGCCACAAAGAATGTTGGCGATGGAAGTGATGACGCCAAGAAGGAGGAATCCAAGGAAGGCAAAACAAATACTTCGACCACTACAACAACGACATCAACAACGACAACATCTACACCATCCACTTCTACAACAGGATCACCACAACTGTCATCAATCAAATATCTACCATTGACAATACATCTTACAAAGCTGGATCAACTAAAGATTATCTCTGAGATTGATCCAACAAAGAATGATCCCAAGCTGAACTCAATACTGGAGAAGGATAACATTGCTTCACCCGACCCCCTAGCGKTACAGGACGGAACTGGATCCAATCCATTGTCACCATCTTCAATGCAACCTCAGAGTGCTGCGGTGCCTCCTGATCCCGGGGTACTCAAACGAAAGGAGGAAGAGGAGATGGCAGCAGCAGCCGCAACCGCAGCTGCAGTCGCAGCTGCAGAGCAGCTGGAGAAGCAAGCAGCAGCCAATGCGGTGCCCGACACACAAGCGCCAATGCCTCCGCCACTCCCTCATCCTCAATCACCCTCAAAGCAAACAAAGCCAGCTGATGATAACAACAACAATAACAACAACACTGGGTCTTCATCGACACAATCTCAATCCAAGTTCTCATTCTTCAAGGCACTGGGCCTAAAGGGCAACACATTGGATGAGAATGGCTTGTCGAAACTGCCACCACCATCCATCGAGGATGGCCATGTATTCTTGCTCTACGGTGATCTGACCAAGTTGGTATGTGACGTCAAGATGGTGCCATGCGCACAGCACGTTCGCTACAGGTTCGGCCACTGCTCATGGCTGAGCGAAGAGTGGAGCACATTCCCCTTGGACGTCCGTAACACGGTCACACCAACCATCCCACCCGACCTGTACCGCGCGATGAAGTCTCGCGTCTACAAGGTCAAGGACTGGCCCACGCAATACCCAAACATCGCGCAGCCCTGGCTCACAACCGTGTCGCCACACTTCCGCAACAGCGAGATTGACAGCGCCAAGTGGTTCGCGAGTGGCGCGCGCGACTTCTTCAACGAGGTAGGCAAGGACCTAAAGGAGTTCAAGCCGCCCATCAAGAACGGCCGCTCCAAGTACCTGGTGGCGCTGCCCATCTTGGGCACAGGTGGAGGTGGCGGCTCTAACATTGCCGGTATCATCCTATCGATGCTTATCCACGAGCTGTACGTGGCGTCGCGAGTGTGGAAGTACGATGTGGTGCTGGTCACCAACGAGCTGTCAATGTACACGGCGGCACGCAATAAGCGTCGTGAACTGATGAGTCAGGACAACAGCTACTCCTTCCTCTACAACAACCTATTGGGCAAACAGATGCTGGACAAGGCCAATCACCTGTCAAAGATGCTGGAGAGTGGCAAGTTGGCCATCTTCTTGGGCGCAGGCTGCAGTCGCTCGGCTGGCCTGCCCACATGGACCGGTCTGCTCAAGATGCTAGGCGAGAAGCTGGGCATGACACAGGAGGAGATGAACTCGATGGACCAACTACATTACTTGGATCGTGCAACAGTATTGGAGAACAGATGGAAGAAGATACTCAAAAAGTACAGCCCCAGCGCCAAAGAGGACAAGCCTGGCGTGGAGGCTGGTGCCATCGTGGGCGACATTGAGCTCAAGTCCACCCGGATCTTTGAGCTGCACCAGAACATCTACAAGGAGATCAATGTGCCCATGCAGGAGGAGATCGCCAACTTGATGAAGCTGTCGCACAGCGGCCTGCCGCACTTCTTGCTGGCATCGACGCCAGCCACCGAGATCATCACCACCAACTATGACAAGTGCTTTGAGATCGCATCAGAGTCGGTCAACATACCATGTGCCGTGCTGCCCTACGACCCCCTGCACGACAATAAGAAGCGATGGATATTGAAGCTGCATGGATGTGTGTCCAAGCCCGACGACATTGTCATCACGCGAGAGGACTACATCAGATATGGAGACAAACGTGAAGCATTGTCTGGCATCCTACAATCATCATTGATCACCAAGCACATATTATTCGTTGGCTTCAGTCTGGTCGATGACAACTTCTTCCAAGTGATGTCCGCCGTCAAGGCAGCCACCAACAACAGTCACAAGAAATATGGAACTGCGCTCTTTATTCAAAAGAATGACCGTAAGTCAATCACACGATGCCATTAACACCGTCCAAGATACTAACATGGAATTATCCCAATCAATCACAGTGATGAATGAGTTGTGGGGACAACAAATAGAGTTCTTATGCTTTGATCCTAATAATACTGGAGACATTGGAAAGTGTGCAAGGGTACAGGAGATATTCTTGGAGTATTTGTCATCGATAGCAATCAACAACACTGGACATTTGATGGAGAAGAGATTCGACTGTCTACTCAAGGAGGGTGAGAGGATGTTCCGTGACAGTTTGATAACATTCGTTGATGGTCTACCCGATGAAGCCAGAGACACCCAAGTGTTCAAGAAGTTCCAACATTTCCTAGACGAAATAGGATATTACTACAGTTCGCGTTACTACGCATGATGACGACGTCGTCATCCATGTTCAAATAAATATTTATTTAATTTTAATTTCCAAATCTTGRATCAAGGTGGCATTTTGAATGAAAACTCGTGTGATTCCAAGTTATTTATCATTTCAATATTTGATCAATTAACGAATCAATGATTGATCCCATAACAAACAATTAATGATTGATTAAGAATATTGATATTATTGATAGTTATAGAGTATTGATGGGATAGGACTTCAATTCCAAACATGAAGACTCCATCAAATTAACAAAACTCATCAAAAAACCAATCATGAGTTGAATAGATACCTGTCCTTTTTTATTATCTTTATTATATATTATATATCTAGACCTGGTATCCTTTATTCAATCAATTATCCAAGTACACCATTGAACCATAAATGAAATAGTTTGTGTCCCTTTTGCAAAGATTGTTCATCAAAAACAAAACTCATCACCATTCGAATAATAGTGTCGCTTGTGATTGGATTCCAAATGAAGTCAAGTTGGTGTGGCGTTGTGTGTGTGTTAGAGAATGTTTGTGTCTCACAACAACACAATGATGGGCAAGGCCTTCCCTAACATCCAAACAACAATCAATCAATCAAATCAACCAACCATCTCATCTCCAATATAATACATTACATCATCCAATCACATTCATTCCATTCGCATTCATTCATTCATACATTAGTTAGATACATATAAAACTCCTACTCCTATTCAGCTAGTAGCTCCCACATTGATTCTCTATCTCTCTATGGTGTTCTGACGATCACACATGGTAATGAGCCATAATCAAGCATCACATGAGCTCATTTAAGAAGGCCCCAGTGCCACCTCCGATCAGTAAATTGAACCCACCAACATCATCATCATCAGCATCGTCTTCATCTTCTTCCTCCTCATCTTCATCATGGGTAAAGTCCAAGAGTACACCAAATGGACAGGATGGAACAGTATGTGTTAGATAGATAGATCGATTCGAGATGGAATGATTCCAGCCTCTACCACACCCCTGGCCTCGCACACACTCACACATCCCCACAAACTCATCAATCACAATCAGTTGTCAGCATTCCTACATAAACAATCTGCTAAGGCCCCGCCTGCTCCGGGCAAGCCAAAGAGCTATAAGAAGAAATGGTGTTGGTTCCAAGCGGACCAGGGCACACTATACTACCACCAATCAGGCTCGATGAACTCAGGATCAGAGACGAGCACACCACTTAGCATAGGTTACCTGATCAAGAGTATCCATATTGACTCGTGTATTGTTGAAGCATCCACTCTGAAGCAAGAGTTCGTCATCACTCACACTGGTCCATCCAAGCGAAAGTGGATTTGGAAGGCCGAAGATGCCGCCACTGCTCAGCAATGGGTCAGCGGATTGAATGCGTTCAAACAGAGGACGCCGGCGGCCTCGGGAAAGCGGCCGCCAGCGCCCACACCCGGCACAGCCACATCGGCTTCGTCAAGTCAGCCCGATGCGACGCCAACACAGGCGGCACCGTCACCCGCCGCATCGGCCTCGCCCACATCATTCGTCAGGGGTGAGTCTGGCAATAAGTCGGCGTCTGGGGCGGATGGCAGCACCAGCCCATCTCTGCAGCCAATATCCTCTGCCTCCTCCAACTCGAGCTCAAACAGCAGCGAATCATTGCTCAGCAGCACCGACAAGAACAAGAACATTGCTGAGCAGTTCTTAAAGAGCCTGTCGATCAATTGCGAGGCGGGCCTCGATCGGGCCAGCGGCAAGCAATCGTTTGGCGCCGTCAAGATCAGACAGCTGCTCGTGCGACAGAGCCCGCCACTGGACAGCGATCAGATCAACTACATCCTCTCGCTGCTGCAGAGCCAGATCACCTACATGCAGGAGTGCTACGAGGAGATCCAGAAAGTGAGCGAGAGCAACAAGAAGCCAGTCACCGCGACCGTCGCTCACACCAAGCCGCTCACGACTGCGACGACCTCTGGTAAGCCTGCCGTGCCGCCCAAGTCCACCCCACCGCCCCCAGCACTGGTGTCATTGCCCTCACTCAGCAATATGGACGACGACGACGAGGACGACGCTCATCCCAAAGAGGACAGCATATTCTCGCTACTGCCCAATCACTTGTCGCTGTACATTCTGTCCTTCCTCGATGCAAAGCAGTTGTTGCTATGTGCCACTGTGTCCTCGCGTTGGTTCCAGTTATCCACGGACAATGTGTTGTGGCTGCGCTTCACGACGCATCTTCAGACGCCTGCGTCGGTGTTTGACACGGGCAGGAGTTGGAAGACTGTCTATCTCAGTCATCGCAAGCAGTCCACATCGACCAAAGAGAAGAACATGAGTCGTGCCATAAGCATCTATGGCCTACCTGCGATCACCAGCACATCTGGCAAGTCAGTCAAAGAAGGATACCTCTACAAGAGAGGTGAGGACATCCTAAGAATATGGAAGAAGAGATACTTTGTACTGAAGGAGAACTGTTTATTCTACTTCCAACATCCAAATGTAAGTTTGTTACCGCGTGTTACCGTGTGTTACCACGTGTTGCCGCGACCTTTGGATACTCATACTAATGCTATCCTTCAATCAATTGACGTGTCAACACAAACATAGGACAACTTCCCATGTGGAATGATCCCATTGCAGACCACATTCAGAGTAAAGAGAGTGTCACCATCAACGAGGAAGCATTGCTTTAAGATCATACATGATGGATTGCAGAGTTGCAAGCAAAAGACTGGTGTCGGTATGACTGTGGAGAGAAAGGAGCCTTACTATCTATCGGCCGACACCGATGAGGAGTGCAATGCGTGGATGACAATCGTCTTGGAGTCCATCCAAAAGAGTGATCGACTTCCATCATCATCATCATCATCGTCTACCTCGTCAATATCACCTACCAAGGTTATTGGTGCGGGTGTGAGTGGCAACAGAGGATCAAGTGGCAGCAGCAACAGCAACCCTGGCAGTGGCAGCAACTCCCAACATCGATCATTCAATCCCAAGCCAAGCAATGTGCTCAAGGCAATGACTGGCAAGAAGTCGTCCAACTCTACGCCAATCTCTGCACAGTCACTGACTTCCGACCACTCCACGGCGACGACCAAGGTCGAGACACCGTCGCGCGCACTGTTTGGCCTGCCGCTGTCTGTGCTGATGGCCGAGCAGTCCAAGCACATCAGTCTGCCAATACCATTCATTCTCAATGTATGCTTCGAGGCGATACAGGCCTATGGTCTCCAGGAGGAAGGTCTGTTCCGAGTGTCTGGCAGTGTCTTGGAGATTGAGGCGCTCAAGACCATCTTTGAACAGAACACCACCTACACAGAGATGGACCTCCAACAGAGCGACATCCATGCCGTCACAGGCCTTGTCAAGTCCTTCTTCCGCAAGTTGCCCCACTCACTAATTCCAAAGGACCTAGATGAATACGCCACATCAGTATCGTGTATGTATCGTTGTTGGATACACTCTGGAATCATTCCATCCCATAAATTAACACTTTCCCCCACACCCACCATCAGTGGCCCAGAGTCAGACGATTGAACAAAAGATCAATGAGTTCAAGTTCATCTTTGAGAGTTTGGACCCGGTGGTGTATAACATCTTTAGGTCGCTGTTGGCATTGCTTCGCCAGACCGTGGAGAACAAGGCCACGACAAAGATGACAGAGGACAATGTTCTGATCGTCATCATGCCAACCCTAAAGTGCAAACCAGTATTAGTGGACAATGGAATACGATACTATCATCAAATATTCAATTCAACTTCATCCTCCTCATTATCATCATCTGCATCAGAAGATTGATCGAATGATCAATCTTCCAATTCCAGTTCCAGTTCCAGTCAATTCCACTCGCTCATCACAATCACCTTCAACAACAACAACAAACTTGTACTATTTATTTATTTATTTCATACATATACATAATAAACAAGGAAACGATAGTATCATTCATTGTCGTCAATCAATCAATCAATCTTCAGAATCAACGCCCCAATAAACAAACATGAAAGTCTTGCCCAGGGACGACAATCACTGAATTTCAATTAATTTGTTTCACCATCACACCACCACCTCACCTTTTTTTTGTTAGAACATCCACACCGCTCACCTTCCATTAGTATCACACCATCACGCACACACTTCATTCACAATCTCAGCAACAAACACAAACAAACAAGCAACCTGGCAAGCAACAAACAAACATTCATTCATTCACACGTAACATAATCATCATTCATACACACACATAACTTACTACTCATATTTATATAACTCTTGCACATACACTTATTTGATATACCATCATCACCAAGTGCTACTATTACTACTATCAATCTAATTCAAACAAACAATCTCCTCTTCATTTTTATTAATATAATACAGAAAATCAATCAATCAGAGCACAGATCTTTGAAACAGTATATAGCATCATATTAATAATAAAGAGGTAGGATGATGATAATATGATAAAGAATGATAATGATGGTGATGATGATTGAGGATAAAGTAACTTACGAATCAATCAAACATGTAGAATCTAGAAATAATGTCATTCCCTTACGAGTACATCTTCAAGTATATCATCATTGGTGATATGGGTGTTGGCAAGAGTTGCCTGTTGCATCAGTTCACAGAGAATAAGTGTAGGTGACAATGATTGATTGATTGAATGAATGAATGATCATAGTGATATCACTGGTACATGAACATACTTACTAACAATCAATCAATCAATCAAACATAATATAGTCGTCCCTGACAACCCACATACCATTGGTGTAGAGTTTGGTACCAGAATAGTGGATGTAAATAATAAGAAGATTAAGCTGCAGATTTGGGATACGGCCGGACAGGAGAGATTCAGGGCTGTGACCAGAAGCTATTATAGAGGTGCCGCTGGTGCACTGCTGGTTTACGACATCACTCGCAGAATCACATACAACCATCTGACCAACTGGCTGACCGACGCGAGAAACCTCACCAACCCCAACACAGTCATCATGCTCATTGGCAACAAGAAGGACCTCGAGGGTCAGAGAGACGTCACCTACGAAGAGGCCAGCACTTTTGCCAAGCAGAACGGTCTTATCTTTGTTGAGTCCAGTGCTAAGACGTATGTTATATATCAATGGTTTGATTGAATGGTAGAGAGAATACTAACACAATGATGATGTAGTGGAGAGAATGTAGAGGAGGCCTTTTTGAGAACAGCCAAGCTTATCTTCCAGAGTGTACAAGAAGGAAAGTAAGTAGACTAATGGGTTTGGGTCATATCCGCTAACGCGGAGTGAACAACGAATGAACAAAGATCGCAACCACCTTGGATGTCGGCATGCGCTTTGCTTAACCTCCCGAACTATTGTGAACTAACGAACAATCAATCAATCAAATCTCATCTATCTATAGCGTTGATTTGATTCCAGATGGCGGCGTCACAAAGAGCAACAACGTACCAGCCCTCGCCCCACCAGCAGAACAGAAGAAAGGATGTTGCTAAATACAACAACCCACCAGAGACATACAACAATCAATCAATCAATCGCTCAAACAAACAATCAATCACATCAATCACATCAATAACAAACAACAAACTATGCTTGTTTGTTGGTGTTGGGCAGTCGACTGCCAACCCATAAAGTTGACTCGATGTCCACATCCATCCAACAACAACACGTCGACTGTTTACGTTACGGACGCATCCTAACGACCCTACCCTTATCCTACTACTCCACTCACATACACACACCAACACCCATCCATCATCCATCTTGCCTTCCTGCCTGTTCCATCATTCAATAAACAACAAACCCTCCCCAAAGAGACCCTTGTCCTCCAATCCATTCGGAAGATAACCATTGTCAACAACAAGAACAATAAGTTGGCAACATCAACACTTTCGGCATTGATCCACAAGTTGGAGGTTCATTGTACAATGAACCGAGCAACAGATGGATTACAGCTATTGTTGTTCTTGATGGATTGGGTCGTGCGACACTGGAATGGACCTGACAAAACCTGCCTGAACAATGGTAATAGCTGGAGCGCCAGACTACCATGTTCCATCCAAAGTGAAATAACATCATGTGGAGATTGAGGCAATCCAATCACACGTATCTGTATGCAATAGATCGACCACATGACTGTGACTTTGGAGACAAAAGTATGTGGACATGGGTAGTAATAGTTAAGGCATCAAGTATTAATGTGTGTGATGGAAGTGGATTGAATCAATCACCACGAGGGGCTTTGTTAAGGCTCATCTGAGGTGGGGTGATTTAATTTGGAGGTACTGTAGCTCCTTCGCTTTCGGGGAGACACATCAGCAGACCACACACACACAATAACAACTTACCCAATTCATTCAAGTCAGGGTCCACTACGCTGGTCTGACCAACCCAAGGCTCCTCAAACAAACTAAACAAACTAATTGGGCCTGTTCATAAGTTGAAAGTCCATCCAAGATGATCCAACCACCTGAATGCCAGCAGTTCATTACTCGCGAGGACCATCTCATATTACACTCATTTAATCTCCCACTGTGTCGCTTCACATCCGTTCACTCTCCCATTCGAGACGAACAACCCATTATTAGAGTGCATCGGGAGGCACTTTAACTCTTTAACACTTTTGAACTTGTTTGGTTGTTGATGTTTATTGGAGGGAGACCGAGTGGAGTGGAGGGGAGGGAGAGGGGGGGAGTGTTAAGCAGGAAGGGCAGAGTAAGCATGTCAGAGTAGACACGATTGAGAGGCATGCCTGCATGGTTTTAGATGATGTTGGTTGTTGAGTTGTCAATAAGACCCCCTAGCCCTTCATCCAATCCATCGGTCAATCAATCAATCAATCATTAATTAACAATCCTTTCTCTATCTTTGACTCTACCTCTGCCTCCACATCCCAACCTTGCCATTCAAACCAACAATCAATCAAATACACACAACAACTTACACATGACATTCGTCTGGACTTGAAGAACAGCTAAACCATCCCTAATTAATTACATTTCTAATCACATTCTGTTATAAATATAACAAATCATATCATTATACATACATAAATACATATTCTGTCTTCATTCCAAGTCATCTCAAGCTCCAACCAATCCCAACCAACCCTTGTATTCAACTCAAAGTAGTTCAGTCTTCAACCCCAACCCTAGCCCTCAGACTCAGTCAGACTTGACATTGGCAAAACTCCTTGTATCATATTGTAAGTTCAATCAATCAATCAATCAAACATACATACAAACTTCCACATTTATTATGATAATGAGTATATGTGAATGCATTCATTTGCGCGCTGTTCATTATCACATGTGTAAGGAGCCAATCAATCAAACAATCAATCAATCGATCAAACAAAACATACATTCATGGATGATCCACCATTCTTCATCGGAACTCTCAATCGCACATTCATTCATTCACTCAACAACATAAGTGGTATTGTCCTAGTCCAATGTGTTAATGGCTTGGATGGATGATGACCACACTCCACACACACTCACTCAATCAATCAAACACATTCATCCACACACACCATTATCAATCCATCGGTCACTCCATACACACATATAAATCAATGTACCCGTGTGGGTACATTGATGTTGGATTACCACTGTGGTTGTTGTTGTTGTTGTTGTTGTTGCCGTACACTGTTTAAAACGAGTATCCACCACCTTTCACTTTCAGGCTTGCCTAGCCTTATCTCCACCTCCTCCTAAGTTGCTGCGTGTGACTGTGTTGTTATTGATGTCTTATGATGAACTGACTGGAGTGAGTGGTGTGTGTGCGTGAAGGGATATGTGATACCGCGGAGATGGATGCCAACGATTTATTTTTGGATACACATACATTGAATGAAGAGGTAGTTCAGCAAGCAATACAAGTATTGGCAACATTAGTAGTAGTAGCGGGAGGACGAACAGGTGGTAATGAAGCAACCATGTGAGTTGAGTTTCATCCCTGTTTGATCATAGCCTACCTACTATCATCCTTCCCTGTACCATCCCTTCATCCATCCATCCATCATATGCTCCGTCACATCGCCTATCAATCACATCAATCAATCAATCCAGTCATCACCAAACAACTCAATCATTCATTCATTCATCACGTCCAGTCCAAACCATATCCAGTCAGTCCATCAGTCTAGTCCAGTCCACCCATCACTTCACATCCACACTTTTAAATCATTATTATTATTACAACACCAGAGAGAGAGAGTGCACTGTCAGCTGACCTTTATAATATATATATTTATATCTTTCCCTATCTCTACCTTAGGTATAATCACTCCTAATCAATCAAACTACGCACATCCAGCCATTGATCCAAACAAACATATTCAACAACAATGATGGAACAAAAGAATAACAACAACAATGAGGATTCTCTTCAAATTATTACAAGGTAATTATTTTAAATTAATATTACAATTATGAAAGACAAATATTAATTCGAATCAATCAATCAATCAAGATCACTACATATGCTCTCAAGAGAGAATTATAATGTATTGATTCAACAGATAGTTGCCAAATGTAATGAGTTTGATCAAATTACAATGGCAGAGACACTTACCAGACTGGTATTTGAAAAGGTTATGAATGAACCCAAGTTACTTCCATACCTCTCACAACTCTGTTCCAAGTTAGCTCCAATCTTCCAAAGAAATCTACGCATGGTATGTCATTACTTCACTTCCACTCCTATTCATTCACTTCCAGGAACAACTACATATTCCTGGAAAATAATGACATACATTGATAACCAAAGACATACTAACACCATCCATCATCTTTGAATATCATTAATACTAATAATTAGTCAATTGGAGACTATATTATAAAATTATATTATAATGAATTTAATATATTACAGAATATTTTGGTTACCGCTGGAGGCAACAATCAAATGATGATGATGATGAGCGATCAAAAGGCAAAGATTATCAATGCATCACGCTTCCTGGCCGAGGGCTATAGATACAACATAATGAACGTGGACTTTTTTAGTAGGATAATCTCCACCTTTCTGCCCAAAGACTCGACCGAGACCAGCGAACACAACGAGTTTACACTGATCCAGATCGAGTCGCTGGGCGTGATCGCTTCCATCATCGGCCGCTCCATTGACAGCTCGGCCAACGCCAACAAGCAGTCCAACCTGGTCATCCAGCACGCCATCGAGGACGGCTTCCAGTTGATACAGAACCTCTCGGTCAACCCCAACATCCGACCACAGACGCGATACATGCTCAAGAGCCTCATCGAGCTCAAGAACAACCGCTGGGTACTGCCCTCACAACATCAGTCGCAAGTTGAGCAGGAGTCGCTGCACAAGGAGATCGTGGCCTTTGCCGAGGACATGGGCAAGTCGATCAACAAGTTCCTCTCGTCACACTGCGCCAACGACGACACGTCACAGATCTTTTGGAAGACAATGTTGCAGTCCATCAGCACCAAGAATTACATGTTGTTCAAGGAAACAATTCTGGAGGACCGCACCACATCGCCTTCGTCAGCCCCTGTCGTGCCCCTGTCACCATGGCTGCGAAGGGCCAGCGCCAAGATGCCCCTATCCCCATTGGGTGCCACAAGCGACCCCTCGGCCAACAAGCACAACATACAGCGACTCAACTTGTCAGACCTCCAACAGCAACAGCCAATGGACATTGATAACAATGAGCAGCAGCAGTTTAGTTTGAGTGGCGACAGTGGCGAGCACAAGTCATTGCTACCAGTGTTGGCCAACAAGTTAATCTTGAAGAACATTGAGAGCAACTTGCCCTCGGGTTTCATCTCACCCAAGGCTCCACGCGACCCACAAGACTGCTCACCCGTTCTTCCCAATGGCGCAGAGCTGGGAGCAGGTCCCCACCGCGAGTCGCCGGAGCTATCCAACGCCGGTGGCAACTCATCTGGTGGCAACAACAGCAACCTGTCAGTACTGCTATCCATCATTGAGAGTAATATCATCGAGGACTCACGTGCGATCTGGAAGAGCAAGATCGTTAACCTGTTCCTCGAGATGAAGCCCACGCTCAAGAAGAACAACAAGACTGAGATCCTCGCTGCCGTTTGGCAGAGCATGTGCGACAACCAGGATGAGTTTGCCACATACGTCGACCTTTGTTGCACCCTGGTCAAGTTGGATGAGCCACCCAAGCGCGAGGAGAAACAGCCAAAGAAGTCACCACGCGACTCTATGAACATGCAGCAACCCACTGGTCCAGGCGGCAATGCTCATGAGATGCCCAATGTCGTCGTCAAGAAGATGCCAAATCGTCGTTGCTCAATGATCACCTTTAACAACAGCGGCAATGTTCCCAACACCTCGGTGCCTGCCAACCTGTTTGCCGAACAGCCCTCCAACTCCATGATGATGGCCAGACGTTCATCGATCGCCGCGCCATCCGAGCTCATCCGTCGTGGCTCCATGTCCGATGACTCTCCCAATGTCTGTCCACCCGCTCCCAAACTCAAGGCCACGCCAACCCTGAGTTCCGTCTCACACAAGCAACTCGCCAACACCAAGCCCGCGCCACTCTCACTCCCACCCCTCACCAACCTCAACAACAACAACAGCAACAACAACCTAAACAACAATGTACCAAATGTAAACAAGAACAAGGTGAATGCCAACAGCAATTTTGTCGACCAGCCCAACGCCAAGAAGGTCAAGATGTCCAACTCAGAGTCGTTTGGCGAGGTGTTGGTCAACGCGCTGCAGGACGACCTGGCGCTACAGATGTTCATCAAGAAGGAGAGTCTGAACGTGTACTTCAAGCTGTTGGAGGACCTCTACAAGGAGTTTGTCATCGAGATACCATTGCTACTGAACTGCATCTCATTGATACAACTGCGTCACTACGAGCTGTCTGAAGAGGAGTGTTTGAATCTGGAGGCACTGTCCAAACTGGCGCAAGACCAGCAGGACATTGACAAGGAGAGGGAATCACTACTGAGCAACACGAACCAATACTTTGCCTGGAAGACCAACACCTGGGAGGAGAAGCCTGCACCAGCTCAACCTCCTCCCTCTGGTTTCTTTGACCTCACAACAGATGTATTTGTTCTTTAAGTTATAATAAATACACATACATATAATAACCAACAAGTAAGATATATATCTTTTTGGACAAAGGATGTTTGTAAATATTACTAAAGTCGGTCAGTCGGTCCAACATTAACCCCCAGGGATACAACAAGTGATCACTTTCATTGAATTTGTTCAATTTTATAATAACCAAGTTTCACTCACGCATCACCACTTCACACCACAATCACACCACCATCACTCTACATCAACATCAACAACAACAGCCTCGCAAGGTAAGACCCTTCCATTCCTTTCCCTAACCTCACACACATCACTTCAACTCTCATTCAATCATTCATACATTCATTCACAGAATTATTATTACACATAATATATACATTACATTACACACAGATAAAGATATAAAGATAAGATGTTTAAGAAGGGATTGGATGTATTGAACAAGACAAAGGAGGCTGCTAAGGCTTCAATCGTTGACTTGGTAGAGGAGACTGAAGAGGTCAACAATGCCAAGGGACAGATCAAGAATATGAAGTGGTGCTTGAAGTTATTGACAGAGTTGTCAAAGAACTATTGTGTTCACTCTGGTATGTTGTCTGTGACAAACAAGACAATGCCACGCAACAGGCATAGTAGGACAGGAGTACTCATCATCAGCCCCAATAACAAATTAAACAGATAAACAGGTTCAACAAGGACAGGCATTGGCTCAGATATTCACCAAGTTTGGTGACAAGACATCACATACCAACTATATTTCAAACTTGACTGTACCATTGTCAGTGTCATTGATGCAGGTTGGCAGCGGTGTACAGGACGGCTCATTGTTGTTCCAACAGTACTCCGTTGGTTTCTACGATCGCCTGGGCAACCAGCTCACAGCACTGTACGAGGGTGCCGTCAAGAAGGTGATCGCCTTGGAGAAGGAGCAGGAGGAGGTGCGCGCCAAGTACAGCGCCGCCGTCTACAATCTCAAGAGTGCACAAAAGTCTGGCAAGCACGTCAGCGAGAAGCAGGATGAGCACGACGTGTCAAAGGGTGGCTACGACCAGATCTCAAACAGACTGGTGTCAGAGACCAAGGACATGGTCAAGACTGTGCAGCTGGAGGTGGCACTTTCCCTGAAGCAGTTTGTCCAAGATCAGAGACGTTTTGCCGAGGAGGGTATTAGACGATGGACCGAAGCCGAGGACAAGATCTTTGGTGTCGAGTCCCCAGTGGCCACCTCATCGGACCCATCAGCCGTGAGCCTTGAGAAGCTCACTGTCCAAGATAGCAGTGTTCTCTAAATTGATTGAATGATTGATTGATAGACAATCATCTTCAACAACAAGTAATATACATAATTATCGGTCATTGAATATTTAATCGATCAATATCTAGAGAAGTAATAATAGTTTATATAATATATGTATGGTATAGCAACATCTTTGTCCATGCCTCGAGGCCTTGGATACATCAATGTAGGTAGTTGTAATGGTAACATATGGAAAATGAATGGTATGGATTTACTCTTCATCATCCTCCAAGAATCCATCGCGTTCCTTTCTTGCCAACTCTTGGGCGACATGAAGTGGTTGCGTGAAGAACGTCCTGTTGATACTGTTTGGTTGGGAGAGGAGAACGAGTCAGTATGATGTCAATGAACAATAGGGTAGGATTGTATACATACTGAACAATCATGATCACTGGCAATAGACAGACGATAATGACGAGAATGAGTGATAGGTAGAAGGTTGGTTGTTTGAGCAGGTTGATGAACACCATGTAATAGTAGCCCAGTCCAAGCATATTGGCTGCAAAGCTGTATGCTATCTGGAAAATGATAAACACAGTGATCGATACCCAAGTAGTCCAGTGTTGAGCTTTGTTCCAATGGCTAATAGAGAGTGAAATGGATGGTGTTAGTGTTCTGATTGGTTGGATGGATGTAGGATTGGAGAACAAACAAATACATACTTTACGACCAAGATCATCATGATCTGAATCATCAAGGTGAGTGCGATGAAGGAGGCACAAGCTTGGGTCCAAAGGCCACCAATTAGGCCACTGGAGCTGCTAGCGCCATCGATGTAGATGCTCGACATGAAGAAATAGATAACCAACGAACAGTAAATTCCATGTACCATCCAAGACATAAATATCTTCCATGTGAACTGGATTGATTGATTGATTGAGTTAGTATGTTTGATCGATTGGATGATTGGATTGCCATGGCACTTACATTCTTGCCCTCTTGGGTCTCTTTGAATAATATCGGGTACTTGATAACATATAATGGATTGATGTCCTTATCGGTGACGGCATAAATAATGATTGGGAATGAGGTGAAGATAATGTTGATGAGGATGTTGTTGATATCATCGGCGTAGGTCTGGCCAGAGAACTGAGTGTGAGTGTTGAACCACAGCTGCATCAGCACCGTGGCGATGTTCTTCCAGAATGAGAAGCAGAGCAATGTGGAAAGTCTCTTGTAGTTGTAGCGTCCGTGTACGAGGACCAGTTGCTCGAGGAATCTGAACTGAGCGATGGCATAGTCACTGGCGAGAACAGCTTGACGTCCTTCAAATCCAATAACACCAATTCCGACATGTGCCCTCTGGATCATGCTGACATCGTTGGCACCGTCGCCAATTGCCAGGGTGACACCCTTGGTCCTGTCGCGGACAATACGCACCACCTCAGCCTTTTGGAATGGTGTGACACGACAGCAGACCACAGAGTGGACCATACTGGCCAGGTTGTAGAACACCTCCTCTACGGCATGGTCGATGGCAAGGGACAGGGTATGGCCGTCAATGACCAGAGCGAACTTTTCAGGTCCGTCGGCTGTGGTTGGTGCGGCCTTGACCTCATTGATGTAGTGGCCCATCTTGGCGAGGAGTGCCTCGGTGTTGGGCTCGTTGAGGATGAGGATACGATGATTGCCAATCAACTTGCACGAGACTCCAATGTTAATGGCTGTCTCTTGCTTGTCTCCAGTGAGCATCCAAATCTTAATGTCCGCTCGCTGCAATGTGGCAATGGTATCCTCAACACCATCCTGTAGTTTGTCCTCGATACCGACTACACCCATCATTACCAAATTCTTCTCTATCCTAATGGCCACCTCTGATACACGATGATCTCTTTCCTCCATTGACAGGCGTGCCTGTTGGAAGTCCTGATTCCACTGTCTATACTCTTCAACTGATATCATACGCTTGGCATAACATAATGTTCTCAAACCTTGTGATGAGTATTCCTGATTGATTGATTGAATGAGTTTGTGAGTTAGTGAGTGATTGAGTGATTGAGTGAGTGATGGATGACTTACATGGAGTGCATTATGGTTGGCTTGGAGTAAGTTTGCATCGAATGATTGAATGAGGTTGGCAATGATGGTAGAGTCAGCACCCTTGCAGTAAAGAATGATCTCATCATTGTTGTTGTAGTTGCCAACGATCACAGACATGATCTTGCGATCACTTGAGAACTCTAGTGTATTGAGTAGCTTGTAACTCCTGCTCTCTCCCAACACCTCCAACACAATGATGTCCTGGTTCCTCGACTAATAGTTTGAGTGGTAGTATGAGTGAGTGAGTGAGTCTGTTGTCTTCCTCTTTCTGGAATGATTGAATGATACATACAATTAACTTGACACCAGCACTGGCACACTCTTCGACGAGTGCTGCCTCATCGGGTGAGGTGGCAGAGTACTTGACTGATCCGCTGGATGCATCGGGGACTACAGTGTGACAGAGTGCCATGGCAATGTAGAACTCAATGTTTACAGCCTTTGACATGTCGACCTTGTCATACTCTGATCCACCTGCAGTCTCAGCGCCAGAGCCAGAGCCCATTGGTGCGACAGAGTCATCGATTGACAACTTCTTGAGACTGATGCCATCTTGATCATGAATGAGTGCAGTCTCTGAGGTGGCAAGCGCTGTTGACTGCTGGCTGGCTTTCATGGAATGTTCCAAGTGTGAGCCACCCTCGGACTTGTGTCCGTGATACATGGCACCATTGATATTGCACAGTCTGAACTCCATCTGGTTGCGAGTCAAAGTTCCAGTCTTGTCCGAGAAGATGTATTCGATCTGGCCCAGCTCCTCATTGAGGTTGGACGTGCGCGCCTTGGCATAAGCATCCAGCTCGGCGTAGTACATGTTCTTGTCTCGGCTGATGGCCACCAACTGCAGCACACGAACGATCTCAATCGACACGTACATGGAGAATGGGGCGATGGTGGCGTAGAGCACCAGGAAGGTGAAGAAGCGGCCAACAGTATTGATCGTGTAGTTCTGGTTGGGCATCAGGTACCAGATGTCCTGTCCATTTTTCTCGTAATGGTATCCGATCAGTGCACTGATCAAACATAGTATGGCTTCGATTATAAACACACAGATAAGAATATGATTGACTGTTTGATCCATCCTACTACGCTTGGAAGGTGTTGCCATTGTGTTCAACATGTACTTTGTCTCATGTCCAGTGTACACCACAACACCATATATCCACTTGGTGTTCATCAGTTTGGTACTCTGATTGATTGAGTGATGGGGGTTAGTCACATGGAATGATTCCACTCTATCAATCAATCATTATGATGACTTGACTTACGCGAATAAGTAGTTGATCAAGACTGAGTGGATGCTCAATGTTGTTGATCGTAAGCTTGCCAATGAATTGATTGAGTGAGATACCGGGAGCTTCATAGTCCATCATGGCGCGGAAGTCGACAAAGTCGCTGGTACGCTGTAGTGAGTCGGTCTCCTTGAGCGCTTGCTTGGTCTTGAGGTTGTTCTCACCGTCCAGGTTGGCAGTCTCAATGTAGCACATACCCTGTGACACATCATTCGACGAGGACAACAACACCAGATCGGCAGGGAATTGTTCACCATTCTTCACGACAACAATATCACCAACTCTAATATTCTTCCACTTCTCACAATACTCCTCTCCATCCTTAATCAATGTTGCTGGTCTGTTATTAATCTCCTTATCCGATTGATATCTTCTCTATATATGTTTGAATGATCGTGTGATTGAGTGAGTGGAATGGTTCCAGAGAGTGTGTCCCTCACATGTCAACTTACAAAGTCTTCGATTGCCTCTTTGATGGCATTGATGCCGATGACTAGGAAGAGTCCGGCAAGACTGCCACCGGGCTTGTTGGGTGAGATGGGCGTGAAGGAGAGGATGACGATGAGCAGGAAGTACATGTTGGCAATCCTTCGGAACTGTTCGTACAAGTTCTTTGGCAGGAATGTCAAGATTGTATACTTTGACGTCTTTATATAGTTGTCCACATGTATACTCTTTATCTTTGGTGCCGACTGATCTATTACCACCCTTCTCGGTTCAGCTGACACTCTACCCAATATCCTATTCTTTAAATTGTCCAGCATTGTTGATGCTGTCATCTCTTATCTTATCTCTATTATTACAATACTATTGATGTATGATTGATTGATTGATTGAGGGATTGGTATTAAGTAGTAATAGTACAAGTATATATATATTATAAGTATAGATATAAATAGATAGAGATACAACAAGATAAGATGATGAATATAGTAATCTACTCAACTCTCAAGAGTATGATTGAATGAGGGAAGTGATTGAAGGAATGAGTGGGTGGGAGTGGGAGTATTGGACGGGACAACAACAGCAGGGATAAGTAGGGGTACGGACAACAACAACCCTAATGTCATCAGCAAAGGGGAATAAGGGGAACGGGTACGAGCGGACTAAGCCGAAGGTCATGACCTTGTGATCGATATCTGCTTATTGTCTGTTGTTGCTCTCAACTTCTGCTCGCGTTGACCCGATCTCATCACCATTCAATTGAATGAACTGTTTGGGGTTGGGAGTCTGAGGACAAAACAAACAACAGACAATAAGTAGACCAAGATAGATAGATACACCCGATGGACAGACCGTCGTTCGTGTGTGTTTGTGTGAATCAATCAATTGGACACGAGTGTGTGGGGGTGAGCAAATCTAATCACAAGTTTTTGATTAGTTGGACGAGAGAGCCAGCTCACACGAGATACAAGGAGAAGTCCAACCTCACCTCTAGCTCCGCATACCCGTCGACTTTTTTTTTGTTTGTTGTTGGTCTTTTTGGACATGCCCGCAAGCTGGAGCATAGGTCAATAAGTTAGGTGGTCACCAATCAGATGTCGAGAATAGAATTAATAAAACAAAAGCCTTGTCTTTGGAACCATCATAATGTTATTATTAAATTTTACTATTATTATTACTTGTGATTTAACGCGCGACTGCTGATATAATTAAAACAAAATGACATCATGTGACCCATGTGTCAGTGTCGCACAAAACAACAAAGACGACAAACTTGTGATCTCAGGCCACAAGTGTCTGTCCAATCAGATGCCAAACGGGGCAACTCGTCCTAATATGTCACACTCAGTCACTGACTGGACTGACACGATCATCATTGCATTATGATAATGCATGATCATAAATAGGCTTTACCTTGAGTTGATTGAGTGAATGAATGAGTGAAGTCATTGATTGACTGAGCGAGTGATGGATCATTGATCCAAACTGACACACATCAGTGCAGTGTAGATCACGTCAATCACATCATCACATCACATTAGTCCTGGTATCACTTGTGAAAGGGTTGAGAAGAATAGTGGCAGTAACTTGGAATGGAGTTGCTTGTCATCAGTGGACTTGAACAAGAGTGACATCAACAAGGTCTTTTCGTTGATGATCACTTCAATCAAGAAGATGGTGGCAGTGACAGTAGCGCTAGTGTCGTCTTGTTGCTTGGCATGATAATACAACTTTGTCAAACCATCCACGCTACCATACGCTAGACACACAATGCCTCGATTCGCCAGACATGTCTCCACCTGTTCAATAGCTGGCATGTTTGCCAACTTGAACTCCATCTTTTGTCTGTTTGATTGATTGAGTGAGTGAATGATTGGATGATTGGAATAGTTCCAGTGGACATACCCTTCATCAAGTTTGGACCATAGTGTTTGGAACTCTTCTGGCTCCATGTCTGGTGATGGTTCCAATGTGAATATGTCAACAAGGTTCTGTGTTGAGGTGTCTAGGTCCAACAAGGTCTGTTGAGGTGATGATGATTGAGGTAACTTTGGTGATGACGTTGATTGGACTGGTGATGATGCATTTGGTGAGACAACAACCATGCTCGCCAGCAACTTGTCCTTGTCATTGGTGTCTCCAGGTTGTCTCATATAACTTGAAGAGTGCTTTCCATATATGATTGATAGAGTATTGAACTCTTCGTATATCTTATCCTATAGTGTTTGAGGGAGCCTATTAGTTGGCTTCAGGTCGGTAACAGACTGGCCGAATTTACTACATACTCTAAACTCCATAATCTCATCTTCAATGAATGAATGATCGTTCTTTGTACACTTGATGTTGATCAGCTTGGAGGCCTGTGGGCGAGGTTGGGTTGGGGCGAGGTTAGGTTGGATGGACAGCTGATCAGCTGGACACAGGACATACCTTGTCAATATCATAAAGTATGGTTCGGTAATAATACAGGCATTGGTCGCGTAGTTCTGGATCGCATGTGATTGACGAGCATGACTTGAACACTTTGAGTATGATTGGATATATTTCGCCGGTGTGGCTGGATGTTGCATCGCCATTGCCATGACCATTTCCAAGGAATAGCCTCACAGTGGACACCAGCAGTTGCAACTTGACACTGGTTGGCTGTTTGTCAAAGTGTTCGTTGAAGTATCGCTCAATGATATATGGTGCATCCTCCACAAGTGTAGGGTACTCGCCAATCATCCATAATACTGCCTCTTTGGCCTCAACCGCAGACTCTGGTAGCTCATCCAGACGAGTGTCTGTGGCCACAGCAGGGAGTACGCGTGTGGCGCACTCTGGATACATTCGCAGATAGTCTTTGAGTGCCACGACTGTTGGCGCTACGATCGCCTCGTCATTGGTGTCCAGGAATTGCATCAGCTTGTTCAGTGTGTGCTGAGAGTGCGTCGCCAGCTTGGCAATGTGGCCGATTGATTCGACTGCGTGGTTGGCGAGCTCGGCGCTCTCAAACACATAGGCGCTCATCTCCTCGACAATGTCGTCGACGTTGTGTGCGCAGACCAACTCTCGCAGTATCCGCAGTTTGAGGGTCTTGATGTACAATGGTTCACTGTGTCGATAATAGAAGTACTTGTAGTGGCGTTGGAACAATGTGGGCGCACGGCTCATCAATAGATATATGTGTGAGAGCACTGTGTAGGCAGTCTCGTCCGACTCGCCATTCTCCATCAGTGTGATCAAAGGGTCGCGCAGTCGCTCATACACCTGCTCATGAATATTGCCATCACTCTCTGTGATCTTGAGGAACAACTTGATCGTCGCCAACACCAATGCACTGTTTGATTGCTTCAGTCTATCATCAAAGAAGTTCTATATTGTGATGAGTTAGTCAACGCCTCACTCGCGCACTATTCATTCATTCGCGACAAACTCACAAGGAAGTCGAGCATCTCATCTTCGGTGATGCTGTTGTAGCGCATGATGATGTTGATGGCGGCGCACTGGCCCCATTCATTGAGCACCTTGAACTTGGACATTAGGTGGCGACAGACTGGTTGTGTGACGATCCAATTGGGTCGCATCTCATCCAATGTCAGCACAGCATTGACGATCACTTGAGGGTCCTGATCCATGATCATTCCATAAATCTTTGGTACCAATGATTCGAATAATGACTCGTCATGGTCGCCATCTTGTCCTTGTCCATGACCATTGCCAGACTTTGATCGATATAGTTTGGCCAATCCTAGTACACCAGTCTTGCGCACATATGCCGATGGATCGCTGAGTGACTTGACCACGCATTTGTAAGAGTACTCGAACGTTGTCTGAGAGCTGTTCGTGATCGTGGCGCGTGAGCAAGGAGTGTATATCCAATGACCATCATCGTACCTACTTTAGAGAGCATAGACTGCGAAGGGCAAGTCCGCGAACCATTGGATTGGCATCCTGGAAGTCGAGCTGTTAAATTGACATTAGTAATGGATTGAATGATTGAATGAATGAATGAATACATACACATAATGTATTTATAACAAGTAGTAATAATGAGTCATTGTTGCCTGTTAATGCATGATGACAGATGTAGAGATAGACTAACTTCTTGACAATGACATCAGTTGTGTTTACAACCATTATAACATCGGGGAATAGTGCAGCTACATCAATGCCAATAGTCATATACGCTATAATACGCTGTAAAGATGCTCTTATCTTCTCTACATCACGTTCATTCGATGCTGTCTTTAGATATTGACGTAATTCATTAAGTTCACCTCTCTTTATCTCTGAGAAGTATGATGAGCTGTCCTTCTGTTGTTGCTGTTGTTGTTGTTGTTGTTGAGGAGGTTGAGTTTGAGGAGGATATTGAAGAGTTGATGATGCCATTGGAATGGAATGGACTTTATTGTTATCTGTACACTACCCTGAAGTTGAATGAATGAGTGATTAGATTGACTTCCAAGTTCGGTCATCAAGTAAGGAGCTGGTGAGAGTGGGGGGGGGGGAAAACTTTTTAATTTATGGAACGGAATCATTCCTTGGACTCGGGGACATGAAATGCGAATATTTCATTCATCTATTCTTTCTCACATCATCATCGTCATTCATTCATTATATACTACTCACACATTCAAACAAACGAACGATCAATCAAACGAAAGGTCAATCAAACAAACGATCAATCAAACAATAGTTAGTGTAATGGATAGACCAAGAGCAGTAATAAGCTTCACAGGAGGAAAGGATTGTACATTGGCTTTACATAGATTGAATGATAGTTATGATGTAGTGGCATTGGTAACATTCGCTCCAAGTGCAACAAGAGATAAACCATTCAAAGCACATCCTTTGACATTGGTAGCTATACAGGCTCAGGCATTGGGTCTCCCACATCATACAGTCTACATCGATGGACCAAACTACCTCGATTCATATCGACAACAGATCACCACCAAACTGCGCGAGGAGCTAATCGTTCGATACTTGATCACTGGTGACATACTTGATGTTTGCAACAACTTCATGGGTCGCGCAGTCGAGACGACGGGCGTCGAGCTCGTTCGACCACTGTTTGAGCTGCCTCGCCAGAACATCTTGGACGACGTTTTTGCTCGCAACTTCAAAGTCATTGTATCATGCGCCAACGTCACCAAGTTTGGACCATCATTCGACATGAGCACATTGGTCGGTCAGCAACTCACTCCACAGCTGATACAACATCTGCGAGATCTCAATGCCGAAAGACTGAAACAACAACAAGTTGATGGAGATGGAAGTGGTGGACCATCAGTTGATCTTGCAGGTGAATATGGAGAGTTCCACACAATGGTATTGGATGCTCCACTATTCAAACATGGTTCGATCAATATTGGATCAATGGTGATGCAACGGGACACTGACTACTGTTATGTAACTTTCGAAAATACTACATTGGTGACACGACCTTGATTGATTGGATCATGGAGAATTAGTCGAGTTATCATGTGATTGTAGAAGTTCGATCAGTCTGAAGATGTGTTTGGGCTTGACCCCCAAGCACGATCCACCGATCCATCTTCATTCTGGACTCATTCTGATCAAATTAACACAAAAAGACTAAAAATATCCATTTCGCTCAACTTCATTTAATTTGAGGTCCCTACTTGAAGGTGTTGTTGACACATCATCCTGCACATTCATTCATTCATTCAAACAACCTTCGACGTGTATAAGTTGTACAACAATATATACTACTGTAGTTTACACAAAAAAACAATCAATCAACAACATTAACAAACAAACAAAAGTAGTTGTTGTTGTTGTTGAATTAAAGAATATAAATAACAACGGACTGAATAATTTAAAGAGAGTGAGATAGAATAAGAAGAAGATGGTTCGTGGTGGCAATGATAGAGGCAGAGGACGTGGTGGTAGAGGAGGCCGCGGCGGCCGCGGTGGCGGTCGTGGTGGCTCACATGCTCCCAATCCGCTATCCTCAGGACTTGACAATCAGGCTGGATCATCGTCGTCATCGTCGTCTCCAGGAAAGAAACAATCCGAGTTCTTTAGCGAACTCCAGGTCGCGCCATTCCAGGCGCTGGACCCCAACCAGCTCGTGCAGCTCAAGCTCAAGCTGATCAACGTCGTCTCGGCTTCGATGATCAAAGAGCCACGCTTCAACCAGATGTCACCGACACTGGAGCTCATCATCACGTCGGTGTACAGCATCGCCCACTACGACCCAGAGTTCGTACTCAAGTTGGCGTTGTACACACGTGATGAACTTGGCATCCGAACTGTTGCCAACTATCTTTTGTGTTTGGCCGCAGTCATCGCGCCCTGCCAGCCATTCATCAAGCGCTACTTTAGCGAATCAATCAAGATCCCCTCCGACTGGTTGGAGTTGCCAACAATCGTGTCCAAGCTTACCGAGTATGTATCCATCACATGTCCAACACCATCATCCACCCTCAATGAAACAATGACTAACCTCTTGCCCTTCCACCACCCATGTAGTTCCAACTCCATTCCCAAGTCATTGAGGAATGTAATGGTGGACAAGTTCCCAGACTTTGACGCCTACCAACTTGGCAAGTACAACACTGAGACCAAGATCAAGAGAAAGAGAAAGAAGTTAAAGGTATGTCTATCCATCCACTCCCTCGCCCACGCCAATCTATCCATCACGCAATACTAACACCATCACTCACTCAACCAAACAGAAACTCATCAAGAAGCATCCAGAGGACAAGGAGAGATTGATGAAGGAGTTTGAGGAGAACCAGACAGCATCGTTGAAGCAGCTGATTCGTGTGCTGCATATCTCTCAACCAAACTACAACGTCATGTGCATCCTGGGCAAGAAGTACCCAGCAACCTATGACGAATACAAGAAGCTCAACTTGCCAGGCGACTTTGACCCTGAGCGCGCCAACAAGAGGATGAAGCTGCCCGTGCCCGAGACCTGGGAGACCTTGCTCTCTGAGAAGGGCAACAAGTCCACAACCTGGGAGGAGCTGATCGATCACAACAAGCTCCCTTTCATGGCCATGCTTCGTAACCTGCGCAACATGATCGTGTGCGGTGTCCAAGGCTCGTACCACGACTGGATCATCAAGAAGCTGACCAACGAGCAGACCATTGCCTACTCCAAGCAGTTCCCACTGCGTTTCTTGGCCGCCTTTGACGCGATCCCCAAGGACATTGACCAGCTCAAGGAGTGGGCCGCTGAGAAGCAGACCAAGATCACCTACCTCCCACCCAAGGATCTGTTTGATCAGTACCGTGCCGCCCTGGACACATCGGTCAAGTTGTCCACCACGCTCAACGTCAAGCCAATCCGTGGCACGACCGTCGTGTTTGTCTACGTTGGTGGTGGCGAGACCACTTGCAAGAGCAACGGCAAATACACCATGGTTGAGTCGGCCTTGCTCCTGGGTCTCATGTGCAAGTATGTGAGCGAGGAGTGCCAGTTGGTCCTCGTTGGCAAGAAGCCCAACGACGACAAGGAGGTCTTCTTGATGCCAGTCGAGCATGTCAGCACCGACTCGATCCTCCAGAACATCAAGACTCTCAAGGAGACAATCAGCACCAACTTCCATCCAACAAACACCTACGAGTTCTTCCCAACTCGCTACGTGATGGACATGATCCTAGAGAAGAAGCGCGTGGACAACATTGTGGTGCTCAACCACCAGACCGTGCAGTTTGAGTCTGAGCAGTTCAACAAGAACATCCTCACCAAGTATCGCCAGGACGTCAATGGCGACTTGTTGTTCGTCAACATCAACCTCAGTGGCAGCGGCAAGGTGCAAGAGTCGGACGCTCACCAGAACGACGTCTACATCTCGGGTTTCAGTGACTCGATCCTCAAGTTCATCGCTGAGCGAGGTGGCGCTGATCAGCAGCTGCAGTACATCGAGAAGATCGACCAGATCAAGAAGCTGCCACTGCTTAAGCAGAGCGAGACTGCTTCATCGCAGAGCACTGACGCGGCCTCTGCCGCCGCCGCAGCTGCAAGCCACAGGTCGGCTGAGGACTTGAACCAGGACATCCAGAGACTGGTGGGCGTGCCCCGTTCAACGCTCAAGCCCTGGACCAATATCAGGATCTTCATCTCGTCCACATTCCTGGACATGCACGGCGAGCGTGACCTGCTCGTCAAGTACGTGTTCCCTGAGCTTCGTGAGCGTTGCGCCCGCCGCAAGATCCACATCACCGAGGTCGACCTGCGTTGGGGTATCACCGAGGAGGAGAGCTTGAAGAACCGCAGTGTGGAGATGTGTCTCGACGAGGTCGAGCGCTGCAAGCCGTTCTTTGTCGGTCTGCTTGGCCAGCGTTACGGTTGGGTGCCCACCAACTACAAGCTCAGCAGCGAGGAGCGTTACGACTGGGTGCGCGAGTATCCCAAGGGCCGCTCAATCACCGAGCTCGAGATGGTGTCGGCCATGAATGCTGGCGCCGACAAGGCCCTGTTCTACATCCGTGACCCCTCATTGATTTGGGAGGTACCCAAGGAGTATCGTTCGCACTTTGAGACCGAGGACCGCGAGTCTGCCGTGAAGCTGGAGAACCTCAAGTCAGTTGTGCGCCAGAAGAGTTCATACTACACCTACTCTGCGACCTGGGGCGGTGTTGTGGATGGCTTGCCCACCACTACCGGCCTTGAGGACCTGCACCAACACATGCTGGACGACCTTTGGAACAGGATCAATCAGGAGTGCCCCATCGAGGAGGAGTCCGAGGAGCATATCGATCTGATGGCCAGCGAGACCAACCAGCAAGAGGTCTACGCCGAGTCCAAGGCTCGCAGATTCGTCGGTCGTAAGGACGACATCAACTGTCTCTTCAAGTTTGTCGAGGTGCTGCGTCCATTCGGCAATTCTAACAAGGTGTCCAAGTTGCAGGTGTCCACCAACAAGACCAACATCATCGTTGTGGGAGGCAAGGCCGGCTCGGGCAAGTCTTCCCTGCTCGCTCATTTTGTCGAACAGTTCCACCAGTACCGCGAGGACAACAAGCACAAGTTCAAGAACTCGCTCCCCGCTCTCGTTGTAACGCACTACGTCGGATCGACCTCATCGTCCACAGACATTGCTGCCGCTCTCCACCGCATCTGCTACCAGGTGGTCACCAAGCTCAACATGACCGACACAATCCCCACGGACTACAAGCAGCTCAAGTTGTTCTGGCCAGTGCTCATGAAGAAGGCCTCAGTCCGTGCCAAGATTATTGTTCTGATCGACGGCATCGACCAGCTGTCTACCAAGAACGGCGCACAGTCCCTTGATTGGCTGCCAGTGGTCTCGCCTGTGAAGCTGATCGTGAGTGCGGCCGAGGGTGACCACACACTCTCCATTTTCAAGCGTAGGAAGCAACAGCCACTCGACCTGATAGTCGAGCCCATGGACGTGCGTGACAGTGCTGTGCTTGTGCAGACAAAGTTGGGCGACTATCGCAAGCGTCTGGACGACTCGCCCTCCAACAATCAACTTCGCTCGCTGCTGACCAAGGCTGACGCTGTGCACCCACTCTACCTCGTGCTAGCATGTGAGGAACTCAGACTGTTTGGAGGTTTTGAAGAGCTGAGTGACAAGATCAAGCAGCTGTCCCCAACGCTGCCACGTCTGTTTGACGACATCATGGAGCGTCTCGAGAGGGACCACGGCAAGCAGCTCATTGCCAACTGTTTGAGTGCCATTGCCTGCTCTCGTGTCGGACTCTCCGAAGCAGACCTCGTCACCTTGCTGGCCCGTCGCGCCACCCATCAAAATGAGACACAGCTGCCAGCTGGTATCTGGTCGCGTCTCCTCCGCAGCATCCTCCCATACCTCATGCAAAGCTCTGATGGAACTTTTGAGTTCTTCCATCACCAGATGAAGCTTGCCGTCATGAAGAGATACTTGACTATCTCAGAGTCGGCTGTCAACGTCCACAAGATGCTGGCTGCCTTCTACATCGCCGCTGTCGACCCCACCGGCACAGGCAACTACGTGGGCGGCGATGCCAAGGCTATCTCCGAGCTGCCCTACCATCTCGCCAAGTCTAAGAACTTGGCTCAGCTCGAGAGCGTGTTGTGCAACCTCGAGTTTGTGCAGAAGAAGTGTGAGCTGGGCATGACCTTCCAGTTGATTGGTGACTACGTCGATGGCTTGGGTGATGAGCTCAACGCCGACAAGTCTTCATCCTCGTCCACACTGTCCAGCGCCAAGATGAAGAGCAAGCTCATCTATGACAACCTGCGTGACTTTTACCGCTTCGTCGCCACTACGTCGCACATTATCTCGCGCTCACCTCAGCTCGTATTCCAGGAGGCTGCCAACCAACCATCATCATCCTTTGCCGCCAAGGTCGCTCGCACCCATCAGAACACACACAAGGATTCATGGATTGAGTGGCAGAACAAGCCCGAGAGCAAGGACGCCTGCAAGCAGACCCTGGCAGGTCTGGGAGGCGCCACCGCCGTCGAGTACTCTCCCAATGGAAAGTTGATGGCCGTTGCCAAGAAGGACTGCTCCATCCACATCTACAACACAGCCAACGGCGCAGAGTTGTGGGCCTTGGAGGGTCACACCAACTGGGTCTCATCGCTGTCCTTCTCGGCCGACAGCAAGCTGTTCGCATCAGCTTCTTGGGACAACTCAGTCATTCTCTGGGACACTGTGGTTGGCGCACCAATGCACCGCTTCAAGGGCCACCAGCAGGCAGTTAACTGCTGCAGGTTCTCCCCCGACTCGAACTACCTGGTGTCTGGTGGCTGGGACTCGTCGGTCATCGTCTGGAACATCACTGACCGCTCGATCTACCGCAACATCCGTGCTCACTCCAAGCCTGTCAACCACGTGGCCTGGAACCACGATGGCACACACATTGCCTCGGCTTCATGGGATGGCTCTATCAAGGTCTGGAACCCCTTCGAGACGATCGCCAAGCAGCGTCTCCTGCACACGATGGATGTGTCCAGCACAGTCAAGGGATCGATCAAGTGCTGTGAGTTCTCTCCCAACGGCAAGCAAGTCATTGCCACGGCCATGGACGCCTCTGTGCTCCTCTTTGACATCCAGTCAGCCAAGCTGGTGTCTGTGATTGGTCATCACGCCAAGGCCGTCAACTACTGTTCCTTCTCCAAGGACGGTGAGCACTTTGTCACCTCGTCCGACGACGCCACACTCAAGATCTGGACCCCAACACTTGGTGTGCAATTGGAGAACCTTCACCTCCAGGACGGCGTGTACGCAACTTGCATGGCCTACTCCCCCAGCCGATCTATCTTGGCAGCCGGCTGCTCAGATTGTGCTGTCCGTTTGTTTGACGTCTCCCCAAGCAGCTCTGTTACAACAGGCTTCAAGCTGCTCGCCAAGCTCACCGGTCACACTCGAGCAATCAGTGGTGTGTCGTTTACCGCTGATGGCCTCAATCTTGCCTCCACTTCTGAGGATCGTATGATCCGTGTGTGGGACGTGGTCAACCGCGAGGAGGTCTCGTCCATCGAGGCAGCTCACAACGAAACGATCAACTCTGTGGCCTTCTCGCCAGTTGAAGCAGGTCTCTTGGTCTCTGGTTCGGACGACTTCACTAGCAAGGTGTGGCGCAACGGTGTGCACGTAGCCACATTGGGCGGCAACTTCAATACCATCAAGTACGTTACTTTCTCGCCCAACGGAAAGTATATCGCCACTGTGTCGCGAGACTGCTCGATCACTCTCTGGCTCGTCAATGGCTTCAAGGAGGTTGGCAAGCTCACTGGCCACACGGACTGGATCAACTTTGTTGCCTTCTCACCCGACTCCAAGCGATTGGTCAGCGGTGGCTGGGACTTCAACGTCAAGGTATGGAGCATGAACAGCAAGAAGGAGCTGATCACACTAAAGGGCCACTCGGGCTCGATCGAGAAGGGCTTCTTCACACCGGACAACAAGTACATCATCACCAGCTCGTTCGATGGTACAATCAAGGTGTGGGACCCATCTGGATCTGAGCTCACCTCGCTCAAGCATGCCTCCAGAATCAGCGACATTGTGCATACGGGTGGCGATACCATCCTCTCGTCGTCTGACGATGGAGAGCTCAGGAAGTGGAACCCTATCTCTGGTCTCTGTCTGGCCACCCTCACAGGACACTCTGGTCCCGTCAAGCAAACCGTCTTCCTCGGACAGGATTCTTCTGGCAGCAGCACCAGCAGTTTTGGCAGCAGCGAGAAATCATTCGCCAAGACACTGGCATCAGCTTCAGAGGATGGCTCGGTCAAGGTTTGGGACTTCACCAACCTCACCAACCTGGTCACAGCCCATCAGTCCTACATCAACGACTGCTCATACTCGACTGATGGCAAGCTCCTGGTCACAGTGGGTGATGACAAGTGCATCAAGATCTGGGACACCAAGACCGGCAACAACATCAAGACCATCGTGTCCAACAACTCTATCCCCACATCATGCGCCTTCACCGCCAATGGAAAGATTGTCGTTGGCAAGCAGAATGGAGAGTTGGTCGTCTATGACGTTGCCCCTGACTTTACAGAGCGGGCCACCTACAATGCTCACCAGTCCAAGGTGTCATCCATTGCCGCATACAAGCACGACGACGATACCTACGTATCTGTTGGCTGGGACCGTGTTGTCAACCTCTGGAGCAACAAGTCGTGCATCAAGCTCACACAGACTGCCGACTGGATTGAATGCGCAGCCTTCTCGCCCGATGGAGAATGGATTGCTATCGCTGGACGCCAGAACGAGATCACATTGATCAAGCCCAACAAGCAGACCACTACAGTGCGCACCTCGTTCGATGTCAAGTACATCACATCTATGGTCTTCTCGCCCGACTCTGAATCTCTCGCCATTGGAACATTTGGCGGAGACGTCGAGATCCTCAACATTGCCTCGCGTCGCTTCAGCGCAGTGTGCACCGCTCAGAAGGAGGCCATCTCATGTCTGCGCTACCTCGATGACTCGAGACTGGTGTGCGCGTCCAAGGATCGCAGTCTCATCGTTTGGAACCTTGAGAAGAGTGAGATTGAGAACGAGTTCATCCACAACGCTGCCATTATCTCCATGGACTGCAGAAACAACAGAATAGCCACAGGCGACAGCAATGGAAAGCTTTATTTATTGTCCTATCATAAGAGTAAATAAATCCTTGGGCCATATTATCAATCATACATCAATCAATTAGATCATCTGAGGTGTAACTGGTGGAGGTTGTGTGTAGTAATAGTAGTAGTTGTACTGGGGTGGCTGCTGGAGTTGTGGCTGAGGTTGTGGAAGATAGTCGAATGAGTTGATTGATTGAGTGGAGAGTGGCATTGGCAGTGGCTGAGGAGGAATGTATGTTGGTTGAGCAACTGTAGGGAGAGGTACAGTAGCTTCTTCTTCTTGTTGTGCTTCAGATTGATGAGCTCTATATTGTAACTCACGCAATACAAGTGCCAAACTCAACATATGATGGACGCCAAGTATTTGGATTGTAACAACAAACACCAAGAATATTAATACAAGAATTGATACCTTATAATCATTCTCTATCACAGAGATAACAAATACAGCAATCGTAATAAACAATGCAGCAATTGAATAGATTGATAGCTAAATGATTTAGTCCAATTAATAATATTATTAGTAACTTTGGAGGATAATATTGCCCTTCAATTTTATGAACATACGTGGAGTAATAAAAGGACAACTCTTTTCTTGATGGAATACGATCCCAAGAGGAGTGTAAACAGATGACAGCCAAAGGCAAAGGTGATCAATATCTTGTATTCCTCCATACCTGCCACTAAGAATAAATATGTTCCAACTAACTTTTATGTCCAAAGTTGAGTATAATAAAGTTAGTTTTAGAAACCTGGAATATCCAGAAATAAAATGAATGTAGTATACATACTAAATTTACAAAGATCAAGAGATAGGAATGATGGATACTATTGTTTAACTTGATGATGGTGTCCACATCGAGGTAAACGGTGAGTCCATCACCAATGTTGAATAGATGACTATCTGATTCTGATCTGGTCAAAGACTCTGTTTCCTCATCAACATAGTTAGTTGACAAATCTGGAGTATCCACTTCATTCTGTGCGACCTTTGAATAATAATAATAAGGATCCATCCTTATCTTTTAAATGATAATATTGATTATTATTATTAATCCAACAAAGATTGATTGTTTAGTTATAACTATAATGAATGTGTCAAGATTGAAAAATGATATGAAATTGAGTTGATGTGATTGATTGATTGTTGGATTGTTGTAAGGTTGATCAATCAATCACAAGACATGGTGAGGTGCCCAAACCTATTATTTGAGAAGAGCACTCCATTCTCAATCAGGCAGCAGCAATATACACAGTTGTGTGATGTGATTGATAGTTTGATTTGCTGCGATTGTCAATGATGTCAACTAGATCAAACCTAACCTCAAAGACGCTGATACACAACGAATCATGTGACCCACCCACTCCACTCTCAATCAATCTACCTATCCCTGGGTATTTGTGTGTGTATGTGTATGTGTTGGATATACTAACCGAACGAATGGATGTCAATCTGTTGGGCAGGTGTCAACATTGACTGACACAGGCAGGCATCAAATAAAAATCAAGTTGGATACAAACAATACATCATTATTGATTGATTGATTGATTGATAGAGGTAGAGTTATTATAATTGGACATTATTATCTACATACCACTGTCACCACCAATCAACACGACATGTCAATCAAATATCTATCTCTGTGCCACACACCAATCAATCACCACACATGTCAATCAACTGACATCCACCCCTAACACTGATCACTCGATCAAATATATCTCTTGATTCTGTGTGTGTGTTAGTGTGTGACACTTTATGACATTCGTTATGTTGTTATAATAAGATTACTTACTAAGTATGTTGACATGTGCCCATGTGACATCACATGTCAATGTCTGTCAAGCTGGAAACAACATCTTTACAAATTGGAAATTATTTGATTGAATGAAGAATGAATGAAAGTGATTGACTGATTGATTGATCAGGGACTAGACCAACAACTGAAGACCCTTTATCTTTGGAAAGAGGAATTTGAAAATGATAGCAATCATTACAACGCTGATGACAATAATGATGACCAACATGGGGATTTCAGGTGGCACGCCATATTGCTCAGTGTCCATTATGATGTTGAAGCTGATCAGTCGATCCTTGTCATTGACTACATGACCAGGTGTGATGCCAGTGTTGAACGCTTCGACCACGACTACCAAACATTGCGGTGTCCATCTCAACTGATCCGCATCCAACTTGTCTGGATAACCATTTGAATCCGTTATAAACTTGAACATCTCAGTATTGAGCAAGTCTCTTCCAGTCCTCGCATGCTGTTCACGTATCTTTATGTTATCCGCATCAACATCTCGCAGTTTATGATGTGGATGGAAACGAATGGCAAAGTCTGCGGGACTCTTAGTTTGATTGATTGATTGAGTGAGTGAGTGAGTGATTGGAATGATTCCAGCGGGTATATGAGTGATCGATGTAGATGTACATACAGTTGATATATGTGATATACGGATTGAGTAGAGAGTGTTTGGTTGCAAGGGAGCGTTCAATCTGTAGAGTAGTGAACGTTGTTCATCAATAGGTCTAGTACGTTGTGATCTGATTGTTGATGTGATTGTAGGATCATCATGTGGTAGTATGACTTGATCATATAGTTCACGATCATTAGGTAGATCAAACAATTGAGTAGTATCATTAATCCGCAGTAAATGATGACATTTGCTTCTCTCTAACTCAATCTCTGTCTCTATAGCTATTGAATCATAAACATATAACAATATAACAATGATAATGATAACTCCTCTCATTGTATTTATATAGATCTAATATATGTTTGATTGAATGTGATTGATTGATTGAGTGTATATATATATACAGTAATATAAGTAATATAAAGTTATAAATAACTTCTGAATGAGTGTCAGTCCCAAAGTCTGTTCATGTGAAGATCATTAATTTCGCGGACCCAAGTATTCATTCATTAATCATTCACAGTCTATTCATCCATTCATTCATGTACTAGTAGTAGTACAGAGAGATAGATATCAAAGGATGATGTATTTGGAAGTGTGTGTGACCTTTCCAAGTCAGTTGCCCATTGAGAGCTCTCAAGCCCATCTGGGCTCTGAACACCACACCCCACCACAGCTCACTGTCCAACAACAATAACAACCAACCTACACCAATGATCATGATTAGGTAAATGTTATCATTCATTCTTATCACATTGATACATCATAGATAGATAGATAGATAGAATGTTACAAGGCTGTAATGTATGTTTGATAACATATTGTCAAGGATTGGTTACTCACTCTTCATCACTCCAACAGTCATTTGTTACCAGGTCGACATGGCTTCATAAGGTGTCTAACTTGACCTTAAGACCATCTTCATCCATATTCACAATGTCTCATCCATTGTTGATGAACTATAATAGTAATAATAGTAGTGGAAACAGAAGTGTTGGTGGCTCACAATCATGGTCTGGTCATCAACAACATAGACATAGTGGCAACATGTTTAACAATAATGCCAGACATGATGAACATAGACCTATATTCCAAAGACCACCACAACATCGACAGCCACTAACATTCAACAACAACAGGAATGAGACACATCAACAACGACAACAAGACAGTGGTGATGGTGGCTTCTCTGATGTCATTGATGGTCGCGGACGAACAAGCAGCAACAACAATGGAAATGATTTTACTGTTATGGCCAAGGTGGATTGGTCACTGGAGACACTGGATCCTATCAACAAGACAACGTACAAGCAATCGGACAAGGTCTCCGCCATGTCAGATGACCAGGTCAAGGGTTTCTTGAGTGAGCACGGCATCTCAGTCTCGGTCAACGCTCAATCACCAACACCAAACCCTGTTCTGGAGTTTGATGACATGGGATTCCCTGTGGCCATCAATCGTTTGTTAAAGGAGAAGTACGACAAGCCCACCCCAATTCAATCGTTGGGCTGGCCCATCGCTATGAATGGACATGACCTCATTGGTGTATCCCAGACTGGCTCGGGCAAGACCATATCATTCGTGTTGCCAGCAATCCAACACTCATTGTCACAGCCTCGTTCACAACACTATAAGGGGCCACAAGTACTGGTCATCGCTCCCACGAGAGAGCTCTCCGTGCAGATCAGTCAAGAGGCTCAGCCCTACTTACGCGCAGCACGAATGAATTCTGCCGTGGTGTATGGCGGTGATTCAAAGCAGTTCCAGATACAGCAGCTTCGACAACGACCTCAAGTGATCATTGGTACGCCTGGCCGTATCATCGACCTCGTGCAAGACGGACATCTCAATCTGAAGCATGTGTCGTACTTTGTCGTGGACGAAGCCGACAGGATGATGGACATGGGCTTTGAGGACCAGGTCCGCGCTATATTTGCCAACACGCGTCCGGACCGCCAGGTGCTCTACTGGACGGCCACGTGGCCGCAGAAGGTCAAGTCGCTAGCTTACGAGTTCCTCACCGACCCGGTCGAGGTGCGCGTTGGAAGTGCCGAGTTGACGGCCAACCCCAACATCAAGCAGATGTTCAAGATCGTCGACACGGACAAGGACAAGCTCAACGCGCTCATTGATACGTTGGAGGGCATCTACAGTGCGAGGCCCGAGTCCAAGGTGTTGATATTCACAATGACCAAGGGTGGCGCAGACAAGCTCTCTGATCACATCAAAAAGATTGGCAACGCACGAATTGAGGCCATACATGGAGACAAGGCACAGAACAGACGAATGGCAATCATCAATGCATTCAAAGAGAACTATATCGATATATTGGTGGCGACGGATGTGGCGTCGCGTGGACTTGATATTAGGACCATCACAGATGTGATCAACTACTCACTTCCCAATCATATTGAGCCGTATATTCATCGAATTGGAAGAACTGCACGTGCTGGCGCAACGGGATACTCACATTCGATTGTTAGCAGGAGTTCACATAGTGATATCAGCATGATCTCGGACATTGTGGAAGTGTTACAACGTGCCAATCAAGAGATACCCGCTGAACTACATGCATTGATTCCACCAAGATGTAATCAGAATCATCACCAACAACAAGGATATCATCGTGGCAGTGGATATGGACATCAAGGAAGACGTTATGGCGGCAACAACAACAACAGCTACCAATACAGACCAGACCAGCGACAGAGAGGTCCGATATCATTCAAATCGTCGTCTTCGTCGTCATCAAATTAGATGAATGGTCGTCAAAAATCTCATAAAGGTCTTGAATCCATCCATTCATTCATTCATTCATTCATTTGTGGACAACAACAGGATAGACAGAGAGATAATAATAATAATGACTACTTCAAAGGATGTACCAAAAGATAACAAGTTATATGGAACCAAGGACTACTGGGAGCAGAGATACCAACAGTATGTCCTGTGACTTGAAGTGTTCAAGGCTCGATCGATCAATCAATCACTCACTCATCACTCAATGAACTAACTAACTAGAGAGGCAACAACTACTTATGATTGGCTAAAGACTTATAAGGACTTAAAGCCATTCTTTGAAACATGTCTAGGCGATAGGAGCGCCTCCATGCTGATGTTGGGCTGTGGCAACAGTTGTATGTTGTTGTCTACTTAGAGTTAACTCTCTCCCATCATATATACGATTAGCTTGTCTCGATGATGAACTTTGTTCATTCATAGATTAGCAAGCCATAGCATTGCCATTGACTTGATATACATTCATTCATTCATTCATTCAATTCAAATAGCCATTAGCGAGGATATGTATGACGATGGATATCACAGCATCACCAATGTAGACTTCTCTGGCAGCGTAATTGAGAATATGGCCAAGAGATGCGTCGACAGAACTGATATGAAGTGTATTGTATCGATCTACCAACCAACCAATCAATCAATGTGCTCACACTTCACTTCCATCATGGCGACGACGACGATAATGTAGGGATGGAGATGGATGTCCGCAAACTGGAATTCCAAGACAATACATTTGACATTGTACTTGACAAGGCTACACTGGACACATTCTTTGTTGACTGTGGCGATGTCTGGAATCCAAAGGAGAGTGTACTGGCCGATGTAAAGGCTGAAGTGGATGAAGCACTGCGGGTACTCAAAGTCGGTGGCAAGTTTGTCATCATATCCTTTGGCCAGCCTCACTTTAGAAAGCAATACATTAAGCGAGAACAATGGGAGGATATCAAAGGTATGTTCATACATTCATTCATTCATTAGTTCATTCATTAGTTCAATCAATCATTCAATCAATCATTCATTCGTTCGTTCATTAATTCATCTAAACGACCATACACAATAACAACAACAACAAACTCCACAATCTCCTCATTAACCTCTAACTTACTGATTGCCCATTTCCTGTTTTAGTCAGCACAATCGGTGACTTCTTTGGCTACTTCATCTACGAGATGACCAAGATTGCTTGATCCCAATGTACCATTTCCCCATTCCCCATTACTATTGTACTTACTTTACTCTCCCTATGCATCTCAACAACAACTTCAACATCCTCAACTTCAACATCCTCAACAGCGGCAGTAACATCAAGTAATAGCCATTCATTTAAACCTTCGAACCCTCCCCTACTACTACCTATCTCTCTCTCTCTCTCTCACTCTCACTCACTACATTACTGTGTGTGATGGTGGTAATGGTCCTTTCGTCGAGTTCAGCCCTAGCCCACCCCATGAAGGCCTCTTCACACACAATCAAATCAAACACACACACTACATAATGCCCAATCAATCACTGTTTAAACAGGGCTACTATACTACATACTACACACGCAAGATAACACCCCCACTACCATTGGCTATGGCCCTGGGCAAGTAAGTAATAATAACACTGCCCAACAATCACAACATTGATTGGTGTTGACAGGCAGGTTGTTTATCAAGTTTAAAGTTGAAGGAAGGTCAACTACCGCACACACTGTTGCCTGGAACATTTATATCATCACCTAAATTAATTATTATCTTCAATTCATTCAAACAACCAATCACACATATCATATCATATACATATAAACAAACGATGTGTCGAACATCATTCATTATAATATTACTGGCTGCACTATTTGGTCTGTGTCATAGCCAATCCTACACTCCAACATGGAGCAGTATTAATTCCAGACCTCTTCCTGAATGGGTATGTACAAATAATACATTTGGAAATATCCGCCAGCCAACTTACGACTTCCATCTTTCCATCAAATCAAACAATCAGTATGATCAATCTAAATTCGGAATCTTCATACAATGGGGAGTATACTCTGTTCCTGCTTATGCCACTCCAATGGTTCCAACAGCTGAATGGTATTGGCATACACTAGAGAACCCCGACTTGGACGATGGCGCCACTCAAGCCTATCATAACAAATCTTATGGACCAGATTTCTCGTATCAATCATTCGCTCCAATGTTCAAAGCTAACCTGTTTGATGTCCAGCTGTGGTCTGAGGTGATCCGCGCCTCTGGTGCTCGCTACGTCGTGCTGACCAGCAAGCATCATGAGGGCTACACCAACTGGCCTTCGGCAGAGTCATGGGGATGGAACAGTGCCGACGTTGGTCCCATGATGGACATTGTCGGAACCATCTCCAAAGAGTTTAAACAATCGGGATTGTACATGGGATTGTACTACTCCCTCTTTGAATGGTACAATCCACTCTACCTCGCCAACAAAGATTCAGGAGTACCACCAACATCCAACTCCTATATCACAGAGGTAATGATGCCTCAGTTGTTGGACATTGTAAACACCTATCAGCCAGATATAAGTATGTTATTTCCAACAAACAAAGGAWTTGACAATTAACTAACTAACAACTTATATAGTATGGAGTGATGGTGATTGGGAGCAGAACTCAACATACTGGGAGAGCACTGATTTCCTAGCATGGCTCTACACCAACAGCTCGGTCAAGGATACTGTAGTCACCAATGATAGATGGGGAGCTGACTGCCGAGGCAAGAATGGTGGATTCTGGACTCCAACAGACCGTTACGATCCACTGAGGTTGGTTGGACACAAGTGGGAGAACTGTTACACCATTGGAACATCATGGGGGTATGTACACATACATCTATCCAACGACCATCGATCACAACACTAACATAACATACACAAACGAATAGTTACAATCAATATGAACCACTTGCAGCATACCAAACAACTACCCAGCTTCTAGAGGCTATGGTCACTACAGTCAGCTGTGGAGGCAACTTCTTGTTGGACGTCGGACCTACCTCTGATGGTATAATCCCACTGATCATGCAGGATAGACTTTTGGACATTGGTGATTGGATGGGTATCAATGGTGAGGCCATCTACAACAGCACTCCATGGAGAGTGCAGAATGATACAGCGGACATTTGGTACACCTACAATGCCGACTCTGATGTCATCTATGCATTCTCCTTTACCTGGCCTGTCGGCGGTCAGCTCCAACTACACTCGCCAATAGGCAACCCGTACTCTACTATTGAGATTCTCGGAGTGAACGCTGTCATCCAATGGTGGGGACCCAATCACAGCATTCCAGGCATGAAGATATTCCTTCCTCCATTGGCACCATCAGAGTACCCTCCTCATGGTGTATATGTATTTGCTCTATACAATGTTCAGTAGGTCTCCTCCAGTATGTCAATCAATCAAACCGGATACCGATCATTCAATCAATCAATGAAGTTCATTTTTGTTTGAATATCCAACCTTGATGGCTTTTCCCATTCGCGAACATCTGAGCACCAGATCTGTTAAAATATCTATGATTAACGTGAATCTTATCTAACTTGGATCTCGAGCATAAGCAATGATCACAACTTACACCCACCTTTCCCCATTTTGATCATGATCACCTCCAACTCCATTTACTCACCCAATCACCCACTTCCAAACCCACTCATCCATCCCCCAAGTGATCAGAGAGCAACAGGCACATGCTTTGCTTGAATGTCTGTCTGTCAGTTACACATTCGGAATAATACATTGTAGTTGTATAATAGTAGTAGTAGTAACTGTTGTTGTATTTGTAATATCAAACAATCAATCAATCATAAAGTGATGCATTGGTCAAAGGCGCCAACGAATGGGATTGACTTTATGGGTGCCAGGTCGCACTCTGCTACAGTAGTTGGACATCGTATATTCGTCTTTGGTGGATCAGACAGAGATGAGAACTTCAATGATCTACTTATATTCGATACAGGTATGTCGACACGGACTGACTACACCTACGCCCGTGACACCATACTCACATCCATCACCACATCATGAAGAGACTCTATATTGGAGTAAACCAGAGACTCATGGACAGAAAGGATCGATACCAACACCTCAAAGAGCACACTCGGCAACATTGGTTGGCACGCGTATATTGGTGTTTGGCGGTGGCGACGGCTCAAACTACTTCAACGACCTATATTCGCTGGATACAAAGACACTGACGTGGAGCAAACCAATCACCAGTGGTCAGTGTCCAGGCCCACGACGCGCACATAGTGCCAATCTAGTTGGATCAAAGTTATGGATATTCGGTGGCGGCAACGGTAACAAGGCTTTGAATGAACTGTATTGCTTGGACACAATGACAATGACCTGGTCGCAGATAACACCCGGTGGCACACCACCAATTGGACGCGGCTACCACATTAGTGAGGTGATTGATGGCAAGATTGCGATAATTGGAGGATCGGATGGTGCCGAGTGCTTCTCGGACTTCCATCTGTACAGCCCCTCCAAGAACACATGGAAGAAGGTGCCGATCAAGGGTCCGACGCCCATGCTGTCACATGCCTCTGTGATCGTTGGTCGCAACATTGTTGTGTTTGGCGGTCACAACGCTTCAGACTACATCAACTCGCTGCAGACTTTCGATCTGGGTCGCCGCAAGTGGGAGGATCGCCAGACCTCGGGTACGGCACCCGAGCCTCGTGGCTACCACTGTTGCTGCTTCGTCAATCATAGAATGTTTGTCATTGGTGGATACGACGGCACGCAGTGCTTCAAAGATGTATATATGCTGGACCTAGGCGAGTTTGCTGCCAACGAGTTGGTTCGCAAGAAGATGACGCTTCAAGGTCTGACGCCGCCAGTGACAACGCCTCCCCCATCACAGGGTCACCCCACGTCGCCACTTGCCTCTTCACAGCCCCTGCCATCATCAATCACCTCGCCACTTTCCAAATCAGCTAGACCTGCAGCGCCGCGTATAGCATCGTTTGGCGTCAAGTCTTCGTCTGCTGCAAACATCACAACATCTGGCGCATCATCATCATCATCACCAGCAAACAAACTGAGTCCAAACCAAGTCTAGATAGACTATATCATCTGATCAACCCTCCTGTAACCATATCCCCTCCTCTATCTTCCTGTATTATGTATAGATAAACAATGTCAACAACAGCAACGACTACAAGGTGTAATCCAACATGCGACACATCGATTGTCTAGGTTGGATATTGTGTTTATTCGCAAGCCATGGAATGAGGTTGTCTTGGACCACGACCATGTGTATCGCTGGCAATAACTGAGTATTGATCGAATGATCGATTGACTGGCTGATGGTGTGTAATCAATGTCCATTGCTTGGTTGTGGACAACCAGGAAGTTTGGCAAACTCATACTTGATGTCGACATAGGGGAAGTTGAGATCAAGTCGATAGTAGTTGCCCTTGTCATCGTAGAAGTACTTCTTGAGATCGAATATGGACATCACCTGCTTGATCACATCAATGAATGATTCTCCCTTGGTGAAGTGGAACACTTCAAAGAACTTGAGTATATCCTCTTTCTCCTCTTTGAAGCTTATCATCACAGGTTTGCTCGAGTAGATATTGATGTAGTCTCTCTTGAATACAGTATCACATTCAAATGTTGAACCAAGACTATAAAGGTATTCGACGCCAGCCACTACAAAGTCATCACAAGTTGATGACTGAAGGTACAAGTTGTCTCCAAAGCTGTCCCATACATCCCAAGTCTGGTAGTCTATTATTTGAACATGATTGATTAGGTCAATGATTGATTGATTGATTGAATCAACGATAAGTAACTTACTAGGGTTGGTGTCATTGTATGATAACATCCATTGACTGAACTTGTTGAATGTTGCACCATTGATTGTTGAAAGATAGGTCAATGATGCACTGGGGAAGATGCTTGGATCCCAATAAGTCAGGTTGACCGATGGGAATGTGCACAGGGTACCCTTGTTACACCAAAGTAACTCCTTGGTACCATTGACTTCGACAATGTTTGGGAATGATCCATTGAGTACCTCATAGTATGCATCATACTCTGCTGTATAGTTCATACCAGTTGTCTGGTCAAAGAATCCCAATGCAGAGTGGAAGCCACCCAATTCTCCAAACAAGTTACCATACATTGCTTCGAATATAGGTGCTTGCATATAGTACACTTTAACAACATTGTCTACATGGTGAAAGAGGAGAGGGAGGGTAAGTAAGTATGTAATGATTTGATTGTTTGATTGATTGAATGATTATTTACCATCTGATACAGGATCGAAACCTGTAGAGATCACAGGGCAATCTTCACGAGGATGTAATTGTTTACAATATAATGGATCATTATTTGGTAATGATGCATTGGACACTGCCAAGTTGATTGTTATAACAATGGCAATGTATAATAATGATGTTGCCCAAAGGCATTTACCCATCATTATATCTATTTAATTAATCTATTTGTCTTTGAATAATAAGAATAATATTAATAATTGGTATTTGTAATAATAATAATTAGTTGTAATAATAATTGTAGTAAATAATAATAAGAATGTAAAGTGATTGAATTGAATGAAGGTCCAATATTGGTTTAATATAGATGTTATTGTTGAGGGAATCAAGGTCCAACATGTCAAGTCTCTGATAACTTCCAAATTAGGACCCTGAACACAAGTCGTTGTCAAAGTTAACAGAAAACATCACTTCTCTCTATCACGTCGTGTTTAAACGGAAGGGGCTGCGTCTCCACACTGGCGAGAGTGGTTGAATGTTCATGTGTGTGGTAACAAGGAAGAGAGAAGTTGAAAGAGGAGTGAACAGAGAACTATTTACATACTCATCATGCTATTACTTGTTATTACACTTATCATTCTTATCTGTGTAAAAGATTAAAATGAAGACCAGTCCACATTAACAAACCAAATAAAATGACCGAGATTCGTTCCTTGAATGCCGCTACCAAAGGTCCTTCGGGACTCAAAATATGACCAACAGATATATACTAAGATACAATTATTATTGAATGTTTGTGTATCAAGGAAGACAATGCTATCACACTTTGTAAAGACTTCAATCTTACATAATACAAAGACAGCGTTTGAATCAGCATCGTCTTCAATCTTGACACGTCATATCAACAGCAGCAACAACAGAAGGCAAAGACATGTGATATTCTTACATGGCCTATTCGGTTCAAATGAGAACTGGAGGATCACTCATAAGCTGTTAAGCAACAAATTGAATGAGACTGATAATAGCAGTCCATTCTCATCTACAGAGGTAACTAGTCCATCCTCACTTGTTAACCGATCACTCTCCGAAACTTACACAACAACGACATACAACCAGTTATACTCTTTGGATATGCGTAACCATGGCAACTCAATGCACTCACCAGAGATGAAGATTGACAATCTTGTCGAAGACCTTTCAATTTTCCTTAGAGAGAATGACATCCTGAAGCGCAAACACAATGATAACTCATCTGTAGTCCTCGTTGGACACTCTGTAGGTGGCAAAGTCGCCATGCTCTACAGTTTAAAACACCAACAAGATGTTGATGGACTGGTCTGTGCAGATGGTATGATGATGATGCACTTTAGGTTATCAATGCTCAGGACTGACATTCCTCCCTCCGGCTCCAGTTGCACCTACCTGTTATGTTGGAGTACACAATCATTCATCAAAGTTCGAAGCGATGCTCAAGGCAGCCTCAATATTCAATGACAATGATGTTACAAGATCAAAGATTGAAGACATCCTCGAGAGCTACGAACTGGACAAAGGAAATCGCCTGTACCTAATGAACAATCTTGTACAAAATACATCCGTCGCTGGCAACAACTTTAGATGGAGAGTTAACCTTCGTGTATGTATGAATGAATGAATGAATGAATGAAAGAATCCATGTCCACCTCTAACCAAATACAAACATCACCAGACACTATACGATCACCAAGACGATATGTTAAGCTTCCCTTCCGATGAACGTATCAAACAACTTTACAATGACATGTCGTCTACGACTCATCTACCTGTATTCAACAAGCCAGTACTGTTTGTAGGTGGCAATGACAGTCATTATCTGCGGCCTCCTCATACATCTAGCATCAACAAGTACTTCCCAAACCACCAGATCACCTTCATACCTGGCGGACACTTTGCTCACGTCCAAAGCTGTAGACAGTTCACTGACAAACTAGTAGATTATCTGAACACCAATGTGGAGCTCCTCAGTCAGTCTCCAGTGGTTTGACGTGACTGCCATTGCCTGGTTGGGCAACATTGACATTGTTGTGAAAGACGATACAGTCACTCTGGATGGTCACCATTTATCGATTTAGTACCCAACAGCAAGTCAAACAATGGAGTACATCCATTCAAAACACAGGCTTGTACGAATCACACGAATATGTACTTTGGCAATTCAACGAACACTCTGCAGAGAGATATTACCTGTTGTGTGTTTTGGTGAACAGCTTGAACTTTGATTACGTGAAATGAATAAATCAGAATAAAATTTAATGTTAATTTAATTAAAAGTGTCACTTCACTCAACCCTCTGGATGTCCATAACTAGAAGGGTTGACAACACATCCATTAAGTGTCAACCCATTCATTCATTCCAACATATATACATATATTAATTAATTAATATAAAACACATATATACTCTTTCATTTTATTACAAATAATATTATAAAATAACAAACAATGTCTGATGCCAAAGTAGAACATAAGGAGGAGCATAAGGAGGAGCACAAGGTCGAGGCCCATAAGGACGAGCATAAGGACAAGGACCATAAGGATAAGAAGGACAAGAAGGATAAGAAGGATAAGGAGGGCAAGGAGCATAAGGATAAGGAGGGAAAGAAGGAGAAGAAGGACAAGGAGCATAAGGACAAGGAGGGTAAAGAGCACAAGGATAAGGAGGGCAAAGAGCACAAGGATAAGGAGCACAAGGAAGGCAAAGAGCACAAGGACAAGGAAGGCAAGGAGCACAAGGACAAGGAAGGAAAGAAGGAGAAGAAGGACAAGGAGCACAAGGACAAGGAGGGAAAGAAGGACAAGGAAGGAAAGAAGGACAAGGAGCACAAGGAGAAGGAGAAGCATTAAGCACTCATTACATCCATCCAACAACATCTCGCCTAGAAACATCATCATTAACATTTGATTGATGTGTCCACAACCTGTTCTGGAGCTGTTCTAGCTGGACCACCCAGTGCAGTACTGACTGATCTATCAATCAATCAATCAATCAAATAAATAGTCATTCAATCCCTTTGTTGTATAATATAACTAAATAACAACTAAACTCTTATGTTCATTCATCTATCAACAATGGTTGATATTCATCATTAGATGCTAACTTGGATCCTAATGGTGGTGATTGTGATGATGGCGATATGTCATCACCGTCCATGTTGACGACTGCGTCATTGATGACCATGTAGTCAGCCTTGGCTCTCTTGTTCTTGAAGTGATAGTATATCAGCAGTACGAGCAACACTGCAATCTGGATGGCCGCACTAACGTATGACAACCAAGTCGACACACTCTCATGCGATACAAATATCAAGAAGTATATCGTCAACAGATTGCCAGGCCATTGAATGAGCAGCATCAATATTGAGAATGTTCCAACAGTCTATACACGGACATAGATGGGGATGGGTTAACGACATTGATCATTACCTCACGTCGCCACAACATACCTTAGCTTTGAATGTCTTGTATATCTGTGGTGACCATTGGATAAATGTGGCGATTGTAGACACCAGTCCCATTGTATAGCCAAAGATGTATGAGGTGTGATCACATGGTCCATCCTTTGCCAACAGGATGAGTGTAGTCAATGCGATGACAAATATGAACAGGATCAAGAGTCCAAAGAATGTCTTGCCCAATTTGAACTCGCGTCTTGATCCAACGACGTCGCCATTGGCATCCTCAATCCTTCTTAAATCCTGTGGAGTGAATATAATATAGAATACAAAGCTGTTTGTTACCAAGTTAGTGATTGAGTAAGTGAGTGTTTGGAATGGTTCCAGTCATTGATTGATTGAGTGATTGATGTAATCATTCCAGAATCCACCAACAACTTTGATCACTTCGCCACATACATTGGAAAAGTGAAGATCCAGAGAACGAACAGCTGGAACATTGATAGGAGTGATGGCGCACACTTGGCGAATCCTACTACACTACATGCATCCACCTGAGGATACTTTAACATGACTGAGTGATGTGTATGATGTATGAGTGGATGATCATTGATTGATCTATCGATCACACTTACATATATTGATTGCAGCAGAGTATTGATTTACATTGCCTAGGAATAGCCAGAGATAGCTTAGACCTGCAGATGAGCGTGACTTGAGTATGTTGTACCATTGTGGCAAGGTTGATGCTACACCTCCCAGAATAAGGACAACTCCTAGCAAGATACCCATGGTATCCATTGGCACCAACAGATCATTCCATCCATCTGGTGTATTGGGTAACGTTCCATTGATACATAATGAGTCTGGCATAATGTATTGCTAAATCCAGAAGAGTCAGCCTGAGCTATGATGTCTCTTGAATTGCTTGATTGATTGATTGATTGATTGTAAGGTACTGTAAGGTAATGACAAAGTAATGAGAGTCTGTTTTGTCTTCACTCAGCATTGCAAGTGAGTGTAAAGATCATCACTTCTTGAAATCCGAACATTTGGAGTGTAAAGATCATACGAATCTTGTACATGTGATCAACCACACACTCGATCCACATTCACACACACTCGTCTTTCGATCACTGACCATTCATTCATTCAATTACAAACAATGTGATATTCTACACAATATACAATGGTATCGAACTTCTTACATAGATCATTCACTACACTTAATAAGACTGTTGCTGGAGTAGTGACGACATCTTATAGCAACAATGCGAGATGGTTGATTAATAAGTCAAAAGAGCTGTTGAAGGCTTCGGGCAATGTTGATGTTGTCCAAAGTGCCAACATAGACACTCGTATCCTAATGGAGGAAGTACTACATTTGAAACCAAATGCAAGGATTGATCCAAATCTTGCACTGACAGATACAGACAAGGCCTCATTCCTCAGGTATGACTCTGAATGATTGATGGTTGTATGTGTGGGGTATGTTGCTGACACTCGTTCCAAGGGTAGATTGATTGAAAGGAGGTTGAACAATGAACCAATAGCATATATAGTTGGATATAAGTACTTCTGGAAACACAAGTTCCAATGCAATCGATCCACACTCATTCCGAGACCAGACAGTGAAACGGTAATCAATCATCCATCATAATGGAAGGGCATGGCGTGACATACTCATACTCACTCAATGACAACAACCATAACATTAGTTGATCGATCACATATTGGACTTGTCAACAAAGAGTTCGATCAAACCAAAGAAAGTGTTGGACCTTGGTACTGGAACAGGATGTTTGTTATTGAGTGTGTTGGAGGAATTCCCCAATGCAGTTGGTGTTGGTGTAGACAAGTCATCAGAGGCATTGGATGTCGCGAGGACCAATGCCAATCAATTGGGATTTGGTCTCAGAACACAATTCATTCAATCAAACTGGTTAAACAACATTGACTCATCAGTACATCGCAACTTTGACCTAATCATTTCCAATCCACCCTATATCGCACCAGCTGACTATCCACATCTCAATCCAACTGTAAACGCTTGGGAACCAGTCACTGCATTGGTGGCCAATAGAGAAGGATTGGAAGAGTATGATGTTATATCAAAGTCAATCATGGAAAAGAAGATACTGGATCGTGATGATGGACTACTCGTGTTTGAGATTGGCAAGGATCAGGAGAATGACATTGTGGACATTGTCCAAGCAAATGGATTCAAACTGGACTCGATGCGCAAGGACTTGGGAGGCATATTCAGGTCATTGGCATTCCGATCACACAACTAAACTAAAGTTTGGGTTATTGTAACAATGATTGATTGCCCAATGCGATGGGTATATTTATTTATAATTTATGATTGATGTTACCAGATCGCTGATGTGTATTGGACAATATAAAATAGGATCCACTCGGACCGTTGGGTACACCCTGAAAGGGTGCGGATACAAGAACAAGAACAAAGGTGGGCATACCAAGGCTTATTGGCAACCCATCTGTCTTGGCAACACCTTGACATCTCCATTCTCCAAGACCACATACTTGTCAGTGTCCTTCATGATCTTGTTGGCAAACAGTTGCTCGATTGACTCTCTGACCTTGGCGTGCTGCACGTTGATGATCCTCTGTTTGATGTCATTCAAGGGAATGATGTCGCCAGCCTGGTACTGCTTGACGATGGCGTTGATCTCCTTTCTCCAGGCCAGGTTCTTGATCTTGATCTTCTCCATCTTCCTCTCGACCTTGGCCTCCATCTTCTGGATGTGAGCGTCCTTCTTGTGGAGATGGGCCTCCAAGTGCGACCTCTTCCTCTCGAGACCGGCGATCTTTCTGTCGAAGCAAGCCTGCTTCCTCTCCAACTTGGCCTCATACTTCTGCTCCAGATGTGGGAACTTGTTGTCGAGACACGATTGCTTCTTGGCAAGCTTCATCCTCATCTTCTCGATCTTGGCGTCCATCTTCTCGACCATCCTCTGGATCTTGAGCTCCCTTTTCTCGATCTTCTGGGCCAGCTTGGACTCGTGACAGTGGTCCTCAGACTTGTTATGGTGACTCTGGCAACGATCATATGGACTGCCCTCAACGTATCCTGGGTGCTTGCTCTCCATCTTGGCGATCTTCTTCATGATCTTGTCTTGGACACGTTGGTTGAAGCATCCAATACCACCCTGCATTGGGCCTTGACCTTGCATTGATGGATGGCCGTGACCATGTGGGCCATGATGTCCATGATGTCCATGATGACCATGATGAGCACCGTGATGACCGTGATGACCGTGATGGCCGTGATGGCCGTGATGTCCAAAGCGACCATGTGGACCATGACCATGTGGACCGTGACCATGTGGACCGTGACCATGAGGACCAAAGTGTTGACCAGGGTGCATGGGTGGAGCTGGTTGGTAGTAATACTGTTGCTGTGGATGCTGACCATGGGCACAGGGTGCGGCATTACCAGGAGCTGCAGAACAAACTGGATAAATTGGAGCAACAGATGGTGATGATGGGTTGGTTTGTTGAGATGATTGTTGAGAAATATTCATATTGCTTAATGGTTGAACAAGGGAGTTTGCATTATTATTGTTATTATTATAATTGTCATAGTTGTTGTTGGCATCATAATCAAGATCTGATTCGTAAGTCATTTTTTTATTATTGGTTGATGGTTATTATTATTATAATTATTATATTTAAATATTGATTGGATTGATATAGTGTGATTAATTGATAGAGAATGGTAGTTATAAATATGTATTGTCCTTGGTATTGATAAAATTGATACAATTGATTGATAAAAGTGATTTGGAATCACTTGGTGTATAAATACATTTGGGTTATGTTCCCGTGTTGACAAGAACAAGACGGTCCGACTCGCAATCAATGTTGAGTATGTGGATCACCAAAACTACCACACACTTGTCCCTTGAGAATAAGGAACAACGCCTACTCCTACATGCATTTGCCAAAATAATAAATGGGTTTTGTTATGTATCTCACTCATTCCATCTCATTCATGTTATTTTATCAATCGGTGATGATCGTATACACATAACAAACAATATCATTCCTCTTCTTCCTCCTTGTACCAATCTTCCCAAGCCTAGGATTATCGATTCACTCTCCTACACTTGTCTTAACAGGATATATTCGATAGAAACAACAACAACAGCAGGTTGACATAATCATGATGAGTTAGATTCATTCAAAGCCAATGGTCAAATGAGGAAGTTCATTGTTTACTTTACTTACTTACTTAAACAAGGGTGGACACTGTAATATGGCCGTTCCCAAAATGACAGTAGGCGCAGCACTACATACTTTTTAAGTTGTACACAACTAACATTCATTATTAGTAACTTACTATCTCTAACTGAATTTTATTATTGTCCTCTCTTCGTAGGGGTTGGTGTGTGGTTGTGTTTAGCTATGAGTCGCCCGAAATGGTGTTGATCTTGGAATGATTTGATTCGAAACAACCAGTGACTGAGTAAGCGAAGGAATAAGAAACAACTCAAAACATCTTATTTATTCATACTTTCATTCATTCACTCATAACTACAACTACTACTTCATTAATTATATTTATATTTATATTTGTACATAATATATACAATGCAATCAACTGAAGAAGATAAACAATCACACTTGTCATTCGCAAGTACACCATCATCCAATTCATCAGTGTCTGATGAATCAGGTGATGTTGAGGTCACAAGCCCACCACCAAAGACAATGACCAAGTTTCACAATGGAAGATATATCAATCCATACCGTCCAGAGGGTGTCCCCTATCTAGAGTATGTGTTATCACTTCACTCCACTCACATCAATCAATCATTCTACCTCACTCAATCAATCACTCAATTAGTTTCATTAAATGGAACCTTTCAAGAAAGTCAGTAAAGCCATTAACAGAACATGAGAAGAAGGTTGATCACCCTGTGTTGAAGGTCGACTTGGGACATCTGGCGACGCCAGTACAGGACAGCTCATTGCGAATGACATGGATCGGTCATTCAACATTCTATGTACAGTTTGCAGGTGTCAACTTCTTGACTGATCCTGTATGGGCAGAGCGTGCCTCTCCCGTCTCCTTTGCAGGTCCAAAGAGGTTGCGTCCTGTACCCTGTTCACTGGACGACCTGCCACAACTCGACTTTATCATTCTCAGTCACGACCACTTTGATCATCTATGCATCGACACTGCAAAGAAGATTGGCAATCGAGCCAAGTGGTACATACCTGTGGGCAGGAAGCCTTGGTTCAACGCGATTGGTATCACCAATCTCGAGGAGCTTGAATGGTGGCAGGAGGCCGACTTTAATGGCCGCATCAAGGTGGTCTGTGTGCCATGCAGCCATCACAGTCAGCGATCACCAATCGACAGGAACGTCAGTCTTTGGTGCTCTTGGATCGTCGTGGACAAGACCACACAGAAGAAATACTATCACAGTGGCGACACAGCATATTGCTCGGCATTCAAAGAGATTGGACATCACTACGGTCCCATCGACCTGAGTTGCATTGCGATCGGAGCATACGAACCAAGATTCTTTATCAAGAACTTCCATATCAATCCCGAGGAATCAGTGATGGTACACAAGGATATCAAATCAATACGCAGTGTTGGCATGCATTGGGGTACATTCATTCTCACTGACGAACCAATAATGGAACCACCAAAGTTATTAAGAGAGGAAGCGACCAAAGCCAACCTGACGGAGGACGAGTTCACCGTCATGAAGATTGGTGAGACCAAGACTTACAATCTGTAGCAGTAAATCGATCATTAATAATTGTTAAATATATATTTATCACATGGGTTGCTGCGGAAGTACTCAACAATCTTGCTGAGTTCGGCAGAGGTGAAGACTCGACCTTCAATTGTCAAACCTCGTAGTGCACTGCTGTCATTGATCGGGCCGTACCTTGCAAAGAACTCACCTGCTCCCAATGTCAATAGAGGGTACTGCAAGGGTTGTCGATCCTTCACCCCTGACGAGCTTGACAAGATTGTCGAGTTCTTCTGCAGCAAGCCATGTGATAAATATGCAAAAATCAAGGTCCATTTCCTACACTGCTGAAGAGGATACTTTAATGGTCTGCGCTTGACGTCAGCGTCGCGGAGGAGAAAAAAAAAAAAAAAGATTAATAGGTTATTGGCTCCACGGAGAATCGAACTCCGGACCTCAGGTTTACAAGACCTGCGCACTGCCATCTGTGCTATAGAGCCGTCAAAAATTCCGAATGATTTTCCTCATAATTTATGCCGTATTTTTGGGATTTTCTAATGTTTAAAATGTATATTTCCATAATAATATATATCCAGACTTTGGATGAATAAAGTAGTAAATCAACTTATTCCATTTACATTTGGATCATATCTTTTCCTGTAAACTACCTTTACCAATACCAATGATTAAAAGTTGGCGCCAAGATTCAGATTCAAATTATTGTTCATTTATAACTTACCTTCATACATACTCCATAAATATATATAAATAATTAGATTGGAAATGATGTCTACAACTACAACAATAGCAGCAACATCTGCTGAGAAGGATTCACTGTTACCATGGGTAGAGAAGTATAGACCCAAAGAAATCAAAGACATTGTTGGAAATGAAGAGACTGTCTCTCGTCTACAAAGTATATCAAAGGATGGCAATCTACCAAATATCATTATATCCGTATGATCAAACATTCATATATATACTTGATTGATCATTCATACTCATACTCAATCAATCTACTTCTACAGGGTCCACCAGGTACAGGTAAAACAACTAGTATACTATGTCTTGCACAAGCATTGCTGGGACCAAACTATAGAGATGCTGTATATGAGTTGAATGCATCGGATGATCGTACGTTGGATGTTGTACGTGACAAGATCAAGTCGTTTGCACAAAAGAAGGTGACACTGCCACCTGGACGACACAAGATCATCATTCTAGACGAGGCGGACAGTATGACATCGGGCGCACAACAAGCACTGCGTCGTATCATGGAGATATACTCGTCGACCACACGTTTCGCACTGGCGTGCAATCAGTCGACCAAGATCATCGAGCCCATCCAATCGAGATGTGCCGTGCTGCGATACACACGTCTCTCTGACTCGCAGATCCTCAAGCGTCTGCTCGAGGTGATTGCGGCCGAGGGCGTGCCACACACCAACGACGGCCTCGAGTCGATCATCTTCTCGGCCGAAGGTGATATGCGTCAGGCGCTCAACAACCTCCAGTCAACATTCACAGGCTTTGAGCTGGTCAATGCCGAAAACGTCTTCAAGGTGTGCGACCAACCGCACCCAGTCATTGTACAGAACACGCTGCTCAAGTGTGCCGAGGGCAACTTCAAGGAAGCCTACGACTTTACCAAGGCCCTGTACGCCAAGGGCTACAGTCCAATCGATATCATCACCACATTCTTCAAGGTGGCCAAGAGTTTGTCGCTGCCCGAGTACCAGAAGCTCGAGTTCCTCAAAGAGATTGGTAACACCAACATGCGAGTGTCTGCCGGTGTTAACTCACTACTGCAGCTCTCTGGTCTGCTTGCCAGACTCTGTAGTATCTCTTTGTCTATTAAGAAATAAAGTCAACTACCCTGAGACCAACATTCATTCGAGTCTATAGTCTCATTCAGTCTCGCTGTCTATAACTTCAAACACCTGTTATAGGTGTCTGTTGCTGTTTTATTGTGGAGGTAGGTGATGCTAACGTGTCTGACAAGATGAAAGAACCAAGTTACTGTACAACAACAAACACCTTGTTGTTTGCAATGGACACTACGTAGGTTTGATCCGAGTATATAACTGTATGAATGATTGAATGATTGAGTAAATGAACATGAGTGAATGAACTAATGAATGAGATTGCCCAACACTGTGATCAAACATACGTGACAATCTCTTGAAGTCCTGCTTGTTTGAAGATGTGATGATATTGATATCTTGCAGCATTGATAGGATGGTCTTGGCAAACTCCTTCTTCTCTGATTGCAATACACCAGCGCTCTATAAAGTATTTGTACAATGTGATGTCAGTCGCATGTTCATAACCTGTCAAACATGGCCAGTAGTCATCAATCAATCTGTCTGTCCATTTGTATGAATGAATGAATGACACTGCCTGTCAGTCCTGTCTACCTGTTTATCAACATACAGAGAGTATATTGGCTTCGAAATCCAAGGTCATTGAACCCTTAAAGTCCTTCAAGATATCTGATTCGCTCATTCTATATTATATATATATGTATAAGTAATAATGTATTTATGTTTATGAATAACTTTGATGAATCAATTGTGTGTTTGAAGACGATTCACAAGAGCATTCCAAACACCTTTTTTCTATTTTTTCAAAGATCTGCTCCTCACTTCTTGCCCTTTCATCTCCTTTAGCTCCTTATTCAATGTTCATGTTAATTGACCTTGTGACTTATTTGTTATATAAAATTATATTATTACGATATTTACTTTATCCTTATTCAGTTCGGTTCTGTTGTTGATGTGATATTTTGAGTCGACTAGATAATTTCGGTAAACGTGCGCACTTGATGGACCTACACCCCCTTTGACCACGTGTTTGGGGACGTGTCCCTTCGAACCATCAACGAATCAAACAAAGTCATCGACTACTTCTATTCGTTCATACATACGGGACTACTAGGAGCCGGTGATTGGGGAGGGAGGCTTGTGTAGGCAGCCAGTCTCTTCACTCATTACAAGTCAAGGTGTGTTGTGGCTTACTTAGTTACTACCCTCACCACTATCCCCAAACAACACTATCAACACTTCACCACCCCACCCTTCTATCTTTGCTTTATGCAACAACAACAACAACACTCTGCTCACTCACTATCTATCCTGCAAGCAAACAAACAAACAAGGTCGATAAACACATACATCGTCATTCTTTGTTTGTTATTACAGACTGAACATGTGATCTAATCATTTGGTATCATTATCTATTATATCTATATATATATATACATTTATTATCATTAATAATAAATACATACATATAATGGTCGAATCAAATAATAATAATAATGATGTTCCACCAACACCAGATATTCAACAACAACATGATCACGATGTTGATCATGATGAAAGGAAATATCATAATCAGAATAGTATAGAGAGTATAGAGTTGGATATATTATCATCATCACCAAATAAGAATAACGATCATGAATGCAACGACGAAGAATACCAAGACGACTTGGATATAGGTGCAGACGAAATCGAATCAACAACATATTATCATCCAGATGGAAAGAAGAAATCATCATCTCGCTATTGCCAACTTATTAAACCAAGTGACAAAGAGTCTGAGACCGACCAAACCGTGCTGATACCAAATGAGTATGTCTAGTCTCATCTGGATTTCCGACGCGACCCCACAGCACGGTCGACCATTCATTCGGCTCGGACCATCACCATTCCTAATAAGGCAACTCCTCCACATCAACTAGGAACAAAGGCTTTAGTATCAAGAAACTATTCAGCTTCCTTGGACCGGCAGTCTTTGTTTCAATTGGGTACATGGACCCAGGCAACTGTACGTGTATCATTCCAAAGATGGCGCCAATCCAACTCATATTCTGACACAATCAATCAATCTCAAACAGGGGCGACAGACTTGGAGGGAGGTAGTAGATTTGGATACCAACTGGTATGGGTATTGCTTATGAGTAATATTATGGCCATGTTGTTACAGATACTTTCGTTTAAGATTGCGTTGGTCACGAAGAAGGACTTGGCTCAGATGTGTGGATCAGAATTCCCAAAGGCTATCAAGTATGTGTTGTGGGTCATCATTGAGATTGCAATCACATCGACAGACTTGGCCGAGGTCATTGGTACGGCCGTAGCACTGCAGATTCTGTTTGGAATACCATTGATTGCTGGAGTCCTCATCACTGCCCTGGACACACTGCTCTTCCTACTCATTCAGCGATGGGGCATTCGCAAGCTCGAGTTCATCGTACTCGGACTACTCACAATCATTGCCTTTTGCTTCATTGTCGAGTTGTTCATGAGCAAGCCCAACGCAAAGGACGTGTTTAAAGGATTCATCCCAACGCTGTCCAAGGACAGTATCATGCCTGCCATCGGTATCATTGGTGCGACGATCATGCCACACAATCTATTCCTACACAGTGGCGTTGTCAAGTCTCGCAAGATTGGCAAAGACAATGCATCAGTCAGGCAAGCATTCAAATATAACATTATCGATACAGTGGTTGCCCTCAACACTGCATTCTTTGTCAATGCATCGATCATCATTTGTAAGTTACCCAGTCAAGTCATCTTCCACCACTTGGATTGACACCCATCCCTCCCTCCATCCAATCATAGTGGCTGGTGCCGTCTTTTATGAGAATGGCGTGGAGGTATCAGATCTGAGCGATGCTTATAAGCTGTTGGAGAATATTATGAACTCAAAGGTGGCATCTATAATGTTTGGTGTTGGATTGCTATGTGCTGGACAGGCTTCAACCATCACCGGTACAATGGCAGGACAGATTGTAATGGAGGGATTCATACAGATTAAGCTACCCCCTTGGGTACGGCGACTTGTCACTCGATTGTTGGCCATCATCCCAGCAGTCATTGTCATTCTTGCAATGGGTCCTAGTCAAGTGTACAACCTATTGATCATCTCCCAAGTCATCCTATCAATTGCCCTACCCTTCGCAATCGTTCCACTTATCAAGTTCACCTCTGATCGAGAGATCATGGGTGAGTTTGTCAACAGGATATGGGTAAGTTAAACGCCAATCACTCATTCAATAATATGACATGGACTAACACTTTCCTTTCATTCTTAAAGATAACCGTTGCAGCAATCATAATTGCATTGATATTGATTGGATTGAACATGATGGCTATTGTTCAGTTGATTCAAGAACTGATCGAGACGGGTTTGGTTGCAGCCATCCTCACGTATATATTTATTGTGCCACTGGTTGTGGCGTTTGTACTGCTACTGGTATGGGTCATCTTTTACAAGCAGACTCCAACCATTATCAAGTTCATCAAATGTAGGGTCCTTGGGGGTGTTGGAACTTATTAGTAATAAAGGATGACACTCTTGAATGTACTTTGGAGACCATTTGTCGAAAGGCTATTGTCTTTGGCTTCAATGATTCATCGTCAAGGTCTGGTGATGTTGGAATGTGATCAAATAGTGTTGGTCCACTCTTGTGAGTGTGCCTCAGAGTAAAGAGTACTTGTGCCGGTTGTCTTGGCAGGCGGTCCATCAATCGGAACTTGAACACTGTTTCCTTGTAGTATGAATTGCCGTCCACGTATAGGTGTATAGTTTGAACACCTGGAAACTTGTGATGGAAGTAACTGTAGAGCTCCATGAATCGGATGTATGATGTGAACAATCGAATGTTTGTTGTGATCTCCAATATCTTGAGACCCTGAGTAGGTTGGATTGGATCGAAATTCCTTGGTTCAACGTATGGTCTTTGAACTATTAGATGTTCAATACTATGAGGCTTGCAAGTGAGGTAGCATAGTTGTGTAACATTGTGAATGTTTAATCTTTGAAGATTGGCTGGGAATGATACCATGTCGACATTGGCCAATTGTTTGAAATGCTCACCAATAGTCAACTCTGTGAGAGACATTGGCAACACATCTGGTGATAATGGTTGATTGTAGCCCTGACCAAGAACCAATGAGGTGATTGATGATGGTAGTATTCCAGGGTTGATCGGTTTGAGGTAATATATACCCAAAGACAACTGGGTCAAAGTGGAGGGTAGTGTATTCTTTTTGAAAGTATGGTCATATAGATTACCAAATGTAAGCGATTTGAGTGAAGGTGGAAGTACCCTTGGCTCCAAGGGTTGATCAAAGTGATCTCCAAATGATAGACTTGTGAGTGATGATGGTAAACATCCATGGTCTATTGGTTGATTGAATGATGTTCCAAATAGAATTGATTTTAATGTATCTGGTAGGAGTCCAGGTGTAATGTACTCATTGATCAATCCACCAAAGATAAGTGATTTTGTGTTGGAGGGTATTGAGTGGCTGTTGAACATCAATGTGTTCTCCACGATGTAGGTGTCGTTGGACTTTGGGTCATTACCAGAGTTGATGATGAAAGGATTTCTTTGGGTCATATTTATAACTTGGCATATTGGTTGATAAGGTTGACAATAACAATACTTCTCAGACATTCGCTTATAGGATTGTGGAGTACGATTATAGTTGAATCTTGATTTACTCTTTACTAGTTTCAAGTATCTCTTTGAAGTGCATTTGAAACAAAATGTATCAATCTCATCAATCATTGAGAGAATATTACAAACTATTATATCAGGCAATAAATCCATTTGTATTTGAAAGTATATATATATTGTATTATTATTACATGTATGATGAAAATAAATGATTGATTCATTCTTCTAGATTGATCACTAATTTCAAAGGTTAGCCTACCCTGGTATGAAATTCAATGAAAATGATGACAGGAATTCTTAATCAGATGATCACAAATGATGTTGGAACATTGAGATTGTTAAGAATGGAATGTGGGGTATCTTGACATGTCGTTGACCATCAACAGATGATGATGAATCGATAATACATCTTCCAAATAAAAAGGTACCTAATATTTGATTGTAGACCATATATGTATCTTCCTCTATCATCCTAACATATAGTACCAATGATCGATAGAAGCCATAGCAACGTATTACATTGTTTGGGATTGTTGGATAGATTGGCTGTAGTTTGTAGCCTCTAAGATCATGTGGAACGTTCAATGTTAAAGTCTTTAAATTGATCAATGATTCAATCTTCTCAAGCTTAGTGATTCCCAAACAATTTAGACTTAGCTCAGTTACTGATTGGGGTATGACACCATCACATAGTCTTGCTTGGAAGTTAGAACCAAGATTCAATCTTGTAATGGACGATGGAAGGATACCTGGCACCATATCATCTTGATTGAACCATTCACCAAAGTGAAGACTTTGCACTGATTCAGGTATTGATCCAACTTCCAAAGTACAATGGAATGAGCCTTCCAAATAGAGATTGTTCACTGATGACGGTATATCTCCTGGTTTCAATTCTTGGTTGAAATCATAGAGTATCAAAGTTATAATATGTTGTGGAATCATTCCAGGTGACAATGGTTGACCAAGGTTAAATAGTGTAAGATGTGTGAGAGAGCGAGGGAATGTTCGGTTCGCGTTGAGTCTTAGGAGAGTTTGATCATCGATGCGAGATAGAGACAATCTTGTCAGATTCGGTAAAGAGCCAATGTCGTTGAGATGATCAAGTCCAAAATCTAATCCAAGTGAGAGATTCTTGATTGATAAAGGGAATAGATTGGTACCATCAATGTCAAATAATGGTTGATCGAAATAATCGCTCATCGTTAGGGATTGGACTGATTCGGGGATGGAGCCCTTGTTCAATTGATTGAATCTATATTCAAGTGATAGATTTTTTACAGATGTTGGTATCTGTCCACTGACAAGGTCTTGTCCAAAGAAACTTCCAAAGGAGAGGGTTGTAACACTTGTTGGTATGACACCTAGAGGGTCCAATGGTTGATTAAAGAATGATCCAAATGATAAGGATGTGACTGAGTCAGGAATAGAACCAATCATCAATGGTTGATTGAAACTATCACCAATTGTCAATGTTGTTACACTTGATGGTAATACACCTGGTGTCAATGATTGATTGAATCTGTTACCAAATGTCAATGATCTGATTGAACTTGGTATCCAACCACCTTGTAACATCTGATTAAAGTCACTACCAAAAGTCAGAGATGTAACAGAGGATGGAATGAATCCTTCATACAATGGTTGATTGTATGAACCAAGGTTGATCTCTGTAATCGATGATGGTACAGGTAGTATAAACGACTTGGGTGGTATCGGTTCGTCATAGCCATCATCATCAAATATCAACTTCTTGATTGTACTTGGTAGTTGTACTGTACTTGATTGAATGGCATCTTGGGATATTTCAAGTACTTCTGTCACCAATAAAGGATCATCACTGGAGAACAATTGATGACGTTTGTTAAAGAAGTATGGTGAAGTCAATACGAAACTAAGCTTATCAAGTGGATCATCCAACAATGACACAATCCTTTCGACAATATATAATTGAAGTCGAAGCATCTTGTTGTTATATGATTGATTGATTAAAGATTATGTTGACACCTGACCCTTTGGGCAGGTTGAATGTATTTATGCCCAAGAATGACCATTATTGTCCAGGAAGTTTCTTGAAATGACCAAAATGTTTGAAATCACTGCAAGGAAGAGGTTGGACAAGAATGGAACAGTCAAGATGATGTTTATTATTATTTGTCATTCAATAACAATTGCTTCCTGGGTAGGTTGGTCTTGCGGGAACTGTAGAGTAACTTGAATAGACCGGTACCAAGTGGAACTGGAATACCCATGATGATACACTCGGACACACCGACAATGTCATCTTGACGTCGATGCACGGCCGCGTCAAAGAGATGGTCGGTGGTCTTCTCAAAGGACGCCAGCATCAGCACGGACTCCTTCATCTTGGCAATGCCGAATCTTGTGATTCCTAGGATCTCACCCTTGAACGACATCAGATCAGAGAGTAGCATGACGTGTCTGCTGTCGATGGACATGCCGTGACTCGTCATAATCATCTGGATCTCTGACATGATGGTGGCGCGCACCGCTTCGATGCCTAGCACCTTCTCCACCTCCATGATGTGGTTGGAGGTTGTGTGTGTGCCCTTGATGCCAGCCGTGGCCATCACATGGCAGAGGTCGTATCCTTCGACCAACAGTTGATACTTCTCCAGCTTCTCATCGATCTTTGAGATGACCACACGGTTCACCGTTGGGATACCTCTCACAATGACGTTTGGAAGGTTGTTCTTGAGGAATTGCAATGAGTACAGCATCAACTCCCTTGTGGCGTCAGGTGGAGTGATCCTCAGCTTGTCATCCTTGACACTAATGTTCTGTTTGGTTGATTGTTAGTTAGTATGATTGATGGGATGGTCCAAATAACCAGACCAGTCGTGCTACATACCTTCTCCTTGACCTTTAGCTTGGCAGAGAGGATGGACTTCTTGATGGACTCACCATCAATGTCCAATTGATGTGACTCGATAAAGTTACGGTCGAGCTTGACGGCGATGTAGCATCCTCCATTGCGGAACACCTCCTTGATGAATAGGGCCACTTGGCCAAGGGTAGTCTTTTCGATCCTACCCTTGACGATACGTGCCGATCTAATGTCGTTGTCGCAATTGAGCGTCGCTGTGATGATGGGTGTGCTGATTGTCTTGGCGGCGTTGATGATCTCCTTGATACGAGGCACTCCCAGAGTGACGTTCATACTGGCTACACCAGCAAAATGGAATGTCTTGAGTGTCATCTGTGTACCTGGCTCTCCAATACTCTGTGCGCCGACGGCGCCCACTGCTGTGCCTGGCTCGATCTTGGCGCGGTTATACTTGTCCAGACAGATCTCCAAGAAAATGTCGAGCTGTGAGGTCGTCATTCTGTGTATCTGATCGATCACCTTCTCGGTGGCCTTTGTCGAGATGGTCCTGTCTTCGTCGTTGTCTGTGGGCTCAAACACGTCCAAGTCCATCTCTACATCGCCGTCTTCAAAGTATGTGGGCAGGCCGAGTGCCTTGCGCAGTCTGACCAGCTCCTCGATGTATCCCTCTTGCTTGGGCTTGCCGTTGAAGAATGTTCTGATCTCGTCCTTGAACAGGTCGGAGCACTGCGAGAACTTGTTGCTCTGCAGGTTGACCTCTAGCAGCTTCCTGATCTCGTATGGCTTGAGTGATGGCTCGTTCCTGAACTGCTTGGTGGCCTTGACACTCATCATTGCACGCAAGAAGTCGACTGGACGGTCCTTGGCCTCCATACCGGCAGGGTCAAGACCGTCATCACCGTAAGTGAACTGCACGATGCCTCCAATTGAGTCTCGCACGGTGTAGTCATACTGTGTGGAGAGGTCCTCGAGGGCCTTCATCAGACGTCTCTGCATGTATCCAGTCTCGGCAGTCTTGACAGCTGTATCGACCAGACCCTCACGACCTCCCATCGTATGGAAGAAGAACTCGGTGGGAATCATGCCAGTGTAGAAGCTGTTGGCGACGAAGCCCTTTGCGGGTGGCTCCTTGGCGTTGATCTTGAAGTGCGGCGTCGTCCTGTTGGTGAAGCCGTTGGGAATACGCGTGCCATTCACAGTCTGTTGGCCGACACAGGCTATCATCTGGGCAATGTTGATGTTGGATCCCTTGGAACCACACAGCGCCATGATCAGTGGCGAGTTGAAATGCGGCAGCTCCTTGACGCACAGCTTACCACACTCGTCACGAATCTCTGACAGCACGCTGTTCATCTTGGCCTCGAGCGTTTGCTCCACTGAGCAACCTGACTGCGCTGCCATCTGGCCCTTGCGGTAAGCGTCGAGGAACTCCTCACACTTGTCATTTCCACGAGCAATGATCGCATCCTTCTTGGCGTTGAGGTCGACCGAGGGTTTGACGTCGGGGATACCGATGGAGAATCCCTGGTCGCCCAGGAATCGCGCACACAGCTTGGCCAACCTGGTCATGCAGTTGGCAGCAATGGCTGGCGTAAAGTCACGCATCAGGATGTGGAACAGTGAGTTCTTGTTGCCACCACCGATGATGGCCTTGTCGATCGAGCCACACATCAGCTCGCTGTTCCTGAAGCACACGTATCCGTCGCGTGGACACATGAACAGGTTCTTCTCGTACGTCCTGGACTTGGTCTCGAGGTTGACGAGCACGTGCGACCTGATCGAAGGTCTGAGAAGCACTTCAAAGATCTGCTTGCCCGTCCACAGCTCCATGGGCTTCATGATGGCGGGCGGTGGCAGGTCGATATGCTCGTATGCATCGGCAAAATGCGTGCACATGTGTGCGAATCGCGAACGGTCGTAGAAGGCGTCGCGCCTTGATATGAGGTAGGACGATGTCAAGAAGTCCTGTGTGGCGGCCACAAGGGGCTCACCGTTACGCGGTGTGATCAGGTTGTTGGTGACACCCATCAGGATGAGTGCCTCGGCACGCGCCTCCTCAGTCTGCGGCAGATGGAGATTCATCTCATCACCATCAAAGTCGGCGTTGTATGGTGTGCACACACACTCGTTGAATCGCAGTGTGCGCCATGGCATCACACGGGCCTTGTGCGCCATAATCGACAGCTTGTGCAGTGAGGGCTGACGGTTGAACAGCACGACGTCGCCATCAATGATATGTCGCTCCACAATGTCGCCTGGCTTCAGCTCAGCGGCAAACTTCTCTCTGTTGCCATACTTGAGCCACTTCTTCTCGCCGTCCGCGTAGATGATGTAGTTGGCGCCTGGATGCTTGTCGGGTCCGTTCAGTACGTAGCGCTGAAGACGCTTGAGGTTGTACTCGGCGACGCGCTCGGGGAACGTCATGGTGAGCGCGATCAGATGAGGCACGGCCACCTCATCAATGTTGAGATTGGGGTCTGGCGAAATGACTGTACGGCCCGAGAAGTCGACACGCTTTCCCGAGAGATTGCCACGGAAACGTCCAGTCTTGCCCTTGAGCCGCTGCGAAAGGCCACGAATCGGCTTCTGTGGCTTCAGATGCAGCGGCAGGCCGGGCAGCTCGCTGTTAATGTAGATGGCGCAGCTCGCCTGCAGGTAGTCCCAGTCCTCCATGATGGCGCCCATGTCCACCTTGTCGACGTTCGAGCGAATGTGCTCGTTGATGTGAAGTATGTCCGACAGCTTCATGGTGAGGTCGTCCTCGTTGGAGCCGCTGCCGCCGTCCATGGGCACGGACGGACGGATCGAGACGGGTGGCACCAGAAGATGCGTGAGAATGAGGCGCTCGGGACGACCCAGCTCGGGGCTCATGTCGAGCAGCTCGGTGTCCTGGAAGCTGATGCGCTTGAACAGGTTGAGCACGACCAGCGGGTTGAGGTCCTCCTGTGCCTTCTTGATGTGCGCCTTAAGCTCCGAGTTGTACTTGATCGCCTCGTCAAAGTTGGAGATAAAGTCGCGAATGTACTCGTCATTCTTGCCCTTGTATCGCTCGTGGATCAGCTTCAGCGCCGACACCTTCTTCACTGAGCCCTGCACACTATTACATCTTGGGCATGTCTTCTTCTTCCTACACTCTGTATATATCTTCTTGAGCAGTGATCTTCGCTGCAATACGTCCAACTTCCTATTACGTATCTTTCGAAGGAATAGCTGTTTCTTGTCCTCGTCCAACAATATGCATGCACAGTTCTGAATGAATGAATGAGTGAGTATGATGATGTGACTCTCGGGCGAGACAACGACATACCTTGCATATCATTTGAAGTATGTTTGTGATGTTCTTGAAGTAACCAATGTGGAAGACGGGTAGTTGTAGCTCGATGTAGCCAAAATGACCGACGCAGTCGACGATGCTGAGGCCACATGTTTGACAAATGACAGACTTGTCTGATGTGCCCAGTCTGTTGTCCAAACATCCATATGCCATTGCTGTTCTCTTCTCCTGATTGAACAGTTCTCTATTGATAATCTCCACGTGTGACAATCTGATCATATCATCCGGTGACAATATACCAAATTGTATGTGTCCACTACATCATCATCATCATCATTGTAACAATGTTAATATCCATGTCCATTAACATCATGATTATACGTTATAATGTGAGTGTGTACATACATCTTCTTTGGACCATCGTCCATCTTTATAAGTTCCTTTGTCATTGTTGTGTGATGTGTATGTGTATATGTGTGTATTTACATGTGTGATATATGTGTATGTTTATGTTACGACTACGTATCTCTATGTACGTGCGTGAATGAATGAATGATCTAAACAAGTTGGCGCGCCTTGTAGTTCAAAGCATTCTTCGCTTTTCAACACTCAACTTGTTTGAAAAAATGAAGATGGACAAACCCTCATTACCCTTCACTTCATTCTCACCGAGTTACAACAATCACACACAGATAATAATAATAAGTTGGTACAGATAATAATAACTTATATCATTATTATTATTATTATTATATGTGCGACCGTCAAACATTAATGTTTGTGATCACAACCAACTATAATGAAGCATCATTCATGATGCTAATGATTAAAATATAATCAACATTACAGGTGTAACAATACTAGTGCTTTGATTTTGTCCAAAATACAGCCTTCACCTCAATCAATCAATCTCAATCAATCAATCATCAATCAACCAAGCAATCAATCTATAACACCCATGGTATATGGGTAGATATAAGATGTGCACACATCTCACACAGACAGAGCCAAGCAATTCGTACTGTAAACATGTGTATGGATGGTTGGATTGATTGATGGAAGATTAAAATCCAGGTTGGAATAAGGCCATAATCCTTCCCTTGCACAAGGGAAACACACCAGACTCTACAAATGTAGAGGAAACGCATTATTTATCTTTGGCTCGCACACCTCCCAAATAGACATCCATCAATCCAAGATCAAAAAGGAGAGGCCGGATTTAACAACCATCAACCAGTGTGGTGGAGGAGCCCAACCCAAACGCAACTAATCGATAACAACGATCGTCTGTCTCTCCCTCTCTCTGTACAATCAATCACACACAAATATAACAAAGATGTCTCTGTCGAATCATTCGGACATCCGTCGTCCCACAAGCATTGACGGTCATTGATGATGGGATGATCTGGTAAATGGAACATACTTACTCGAGTATGTGTGTCTGTTGTACCTCATCTAACAACATACCTACCCATCGGTCGTCCGGTAATTCCACCATTTAAAATCTATTTTACATCAACCATCAAGGAGGATCTTGATTAACGAGTAAGTCATGGATGGACACACAAGCAACTGTAAACTTAAGTGTGTCCGTGAGTGTGTGATTGATTGATCAGACGTCACCTACAATCAATCAATCAATCACAGTCACACACTCACACACAAATACACCCAGATGAATTCCATCAATCAAAGTTATACTTTGAAGATTGATTGGATTGATTGTAATAATAATAGATGATAAAACCTACACATTCAAATAATGCCGAGTTTGCCTTATTTGGATGTATGGAAGATGCCATGCCTTTAAATAGAGATGTGGAGACGTCTCAATATGAGATCAATCAATCAAATCAACGAACAGCCAGTCATCATCAACAAACATCAGATATATATATCAATTTAGATATTTTAGATAATTCAAGATACTTATTAATTACCATTAATTTAATTTAATTACACATAATTTTATTTTATTAATTAATTAATAAGTTTGCTTTTGCTCCTCCTGTCCAACAAACAATACATATACAAACGAACAAACAATGAGGAATCAATTATCATCATCAAAGTTTATTATTTTTGCAATTGTCGTCCTACTCCTTTCTCTCTGTATGTTCAATGTGTGCTCTGCAACTAACGGAAACAACAATGATCAAGGCCATGAGACCCAGCAGCAGGAGCAAGAGCATCCTCAAACTCAGGTGCAACAATCTCGAGGTCAAGACTCTCCGCCACCACCTTCAACCCCACAACCTTCAACTCCACAACCTCAACAACAATCATCACCTGCTTATGAGACTCCTCGTGAGCAGGCACAGGTTCGCAACAACAACCAGGAACAGGGACATGAGCGTACTACTCAAGATCATCCACAGGAAACTCCACAAGTAACTTCTCCACCTCCACCACCAGCTACCCCACAAGCTACTCCACCTCCACCTCCACCTGCTACCCCACAACCTACTCCACAACCTACTCCACAACCTACTCCACAAGTAACATCTCCACCAGCTACTCCACCTCCTCAAGAACAACATCAACAGGAACAGGAACGCAATAATCAGAAGAAAGAAGAGCAGAGACACCAGCAAGAGAACCAGGACAACCAAAGACGTCACATTAATCAAGCATTGTCAAGTTTCTTTGGACGCGAGATGTCGCAGAATGATATATGGTAAGTATCAAATTAATATCCAATATCTCCAGAATTATAAGTGTAAGGATGTAAGTTCTAAAGAGTTGATCCACCGTCCCCATCATTGTAGGCCAAACCAAGGACAAAGTCTGAAGAAGACCACCAACTGTGTGAATTGTGATTGAACGTGAGTGAAGTCTAGTCTGTCTGTTCTGTTCTGTGAGTGTTAGGGAATATGAAAGTGTGTGCTGTGCGCTAGAGAGAAGAGAGAGAAAGGTATAACATCGTGCTGTAGTAGTCCAAATCAAGTCCAGTCAAGTCCAGTCAAGTCAAGTCTAGTCAAGTCTAAGGTCTGTGTTTTCATCCAAGTGTGTAGTTCTGGTTGGCCCAGTCTTCCAGTCCAGGTCCAGTGTCCCAAGTTCCAAGAGAGAATGTGTGTATGTGTACAAATTAATGGTTTCGAACAAATATATTATATTATATATACATATATATATAATAAATATATATATATTCAGATTTTAATCGAGTTGAAATTAATTTAATAAATTATTTATTTATTTATTTATTTATTTAAAAAATTGGAATAGGAATTGTCTTTTTTAGAGTTGGATGATGGCTAGGAACACAATGATTGAGATCATCGTGATCATCATGGACGACGACAATGATGAACCAGTTGATGGGCGAGGGTCTGTTGAGGATGTTGAGATTGTGATTGTTGCCGTGATCGTCTGGGAGCTGGAGGTGGATGTGCTTTGGGTGGTAGTTGAACCCTGAGTGGTAGTAGAGCTCTGGGTAGAGGTAGTTGATCCCTGAGTGGAAGTTGTACCTTGGGTCGATGTTGAACCTTGAGTTGATGTAGTACCCTGAGTGGATGTGGTCGAACCTTGAGTTGATGGTGTGGATCCGTACTTGGTTGACTGACCATTGACAGTGACCTCAACTTGGATGCCATTGATTGAAGAGGCAAATCCGAGAGTGATCATAGTGTGGGACACTTTGCTAACTGGTTGTTCCTTGTCGTTGACCTTCACAGTGACAACCTCCTTCCATTGACCAAAGTTATTTCCATAGATTGTCAAGTTGCTGTTTGATGTAGAGTAGAGCGAAGAGATCATTGGTGGCTGGTATCCCCACTTGACAGTGTATGGTATGTTGTCCTGGTGGAATTGGTATGTGTAGTTGTATCCGATACCAGTACCTGGGTTAACTTGGAATTTGAAGTACTTGTTTGGCAAAGTGATCGTAGCATCTGGTTGGTTGTTGGTATCTGGGTTCTTGATTGTCCAACCCATATCAACTCCAGAAACATAGACATATCCTCCACTAGTAGGTGGCAATGCAGAAGGTCCATCAATCTTCATTGTTGCTATAATGGATGATTGAATGTTAGATAATTAATCCATTCATGGTGATTGATTGACTAACACTTACGACAACCAATGTACTGAGTGGCGCTGTTGTAGTTGGAGAATGAGTTGCCGGTAATGGAAACGATTGAATTCTTGAGGAACTCTGGCTCACAAAGGAAGCAAGATGGGATTGGTCCAGACAATGTATTGTTGTTCAAGTTAGCCTTGATTGTTAATGGGACTTCACAAAACTCTTGTGGAAGGTTTCCAGTAAACTAATAATAATTATTAATTAATAAGTTAGTGATTGTTTGGATTGAATGAATGAATGAGTGATTGATTGATCACACTTACTCTGTTATTTTGGATATAGAACTCGGTGTAGCTTGAGTAGTTGGTGGCGGGGAGTGATCCAACAATAGAGTTGTATCCAATGTAGACTCTTGAGAGGTTGGTGAAGAGGTCGAATCTGCTACCAATATCAGTTGGAACATTTCCATTCAAGTAGAGGATGCTGGTTGCACCGAATGGTCTTCTGAACCAACCTGGGAACTTCAAGTTGTTATAGAACCATTGGGCATTAGATAGGTCCAACATATTCAACTTCATATTCTTTGTGTAATCAAATTGATTCACTCCATCTGGCATTCTGAATCCATCACCTTTGATGTGTCTGGATTGAATCAATTGAATATTAGTCAAACAAGTTCAATGATTGAGTGATCGGATGATACTTACAATTGTCCAACAGGGGAGCTTGAAACAAAGAGTGATTGTGGGAGAATTGATTGAGGTGCTGGGTTGTTGGCGTTGGGTGGGAATGTGAATTGGCTGAATTGTGATCGAGGTATGTTAGTCAAGTTTACTTTATGATAAAGATGATTAAATACATACACGGAGAACTGGAATGATTTGAACTGATCGAATGAATCAAAGGTCCAAGCAGTCTTGGTAACAATAAACTCGCTATTCATTATTGATTGTAAGTTAGCAAACCTGATCCTAAATGTTTGATTGATCTAACTTACAGTGCATTCAACTTGGTGAATGATTGAGTCCAGCTCATTGGGATGGTTCCACTGGTGACTGGGAATGCCATGTTACCAATGGTTACTGTGCCAGATGATTCTGGTAGTGTGACATCACCGGTAGCACCATATATGTAGAATAATTGAAGACCTGGTGCATTAAAGATTGTTGATGGGAATGAACTTCCAGAGAACCTATAAATAGTCAAATAGTTGAATGAGTCTGGGAACTTTGAGCCCCAATCAGATGGAACTGATTGAATATTCTCCTCATATCCAGTACTAAATAAACATATGTTGATAGATTGTTAGATAGATATTTTCCAAACATTTGAACAAGTATATAAACATACTAATATTGGAAAACAACATTGTTGGGGAATGACCAGAAGTTATGTGGAACGTATACATTCTTGGCAGTCCTGATGAGCGGTAATGGTGTCAGTATGGGATGGTATGGAAGGGGTGGAATGATTCCAACTTACAATCCAGTCAATTTGGTAAAGGCACCAAATACATCAGGAAGGGCGACTGGTGATGTTGAGGTAAGTGATAGTGATATCACATTATGTTTTAAGGCATCACATGTGATACCTGTGTTCTTAACACATGGAGTGGTCAAGTTCCAAGCAGTGGCTCCAATTGCATTCTTGATCTGAGTGAGTGCATCCACTATATTGATTCATTGTTAGAATTGTTCCACTCTAAAGGTTTTGAAGGAAGACATACATTCATTTGCATCAAGTTGAGCATTAACATTGACAAAACATAATTCAGACAACAAGATAACTAGTATCAATGTTGTGGAAAGTTGATTAATATTTTTAAACATTATTATTATTATTACAATGATGTAACTTTATAAAGTTAGAAGATGGTAAAGTACGAATGATGATGAAGTATGAGTGATGATGAAGAGGGTTACCTTACCTGCCGTCACATGGTCTGATTCATGAATGACTGGTGATGGTGATGATAATAATAGTGTTTTGTCGTTGATGGGGAGTTATGTTGTTGGATATTTATTTATTTGAATAAATTCCATTGTTACTCGCTGGGTTGGGTCAGAGGCTGAAGGTCTTGGAAGAGACCTCATCATTGGGGGTGCCCCTATCCAAATGGCAGTGATCTTGACAAAAAATATCAGCCCCCAACGATTGCAAACGTCATCGCTTTCGTTTCGTTTCGTTTCGTGCACACTCGGTATGATTGTGTCAATGGGGGTAAGATATTTGTTTGTTGGAATGGATGGCAGACACCTATGACTTGGGATACTGAGATGACACTTGTTTCGGGATACATGGACCAATGGAGGGGTAAACAATGAGATGGTCCTGCGACTCCATGCTGGTCAGCTGTCTTGGGCTGAGGGTCTTCAGTGACAGTTGGTGCCAATCATAGAGCCTGATGGTGGTACACCTCCACTACCTCCACGTCCAATATTACCAAGGTAGTAGAGGTCATCATCAGTGAAGTATTTGAGATACTTGTCAATCATGGCCACCAGGACTGAACTACTTCTTAGAGGTTTCTGGATAAAGTCGTCCATTCCTACGTCAAAGCATTTCTCGCGGTCGCTTGGCGTGACATTGGCCGTCAACGCAATGACAAACGATCGTTTGTAACGCTTGTCAGTCAACATAACCATGTTCTCGCGGCCCCTGATCAACTCGGTTGCCTGGTATCCGTCCATATCGGGCATGGTGCAGTCCATAAAGATGATTGGGTAATATTGCTTGGCTGATGCCTCCACTCCCTGCTTGCCATTCCACGCCACATCCACACGGTATCCAGCATCCTTGAGCATCTTTGTGAACACCTTGACGTTGACCAGGTTGTCCTCGACCAACAACACCTTGAACTCGGACTTGTTGAGCAGGCTACCTGCGGTTCCACCTCTTGGCGAGTTCTCGACAAACTCACGCTCAAGATGTGACCCGCGTTGGGACTTGCGAATGAACTCCTTCTGGCTTGAGTCGAGGTCCAGTAGGGGTATGCTGAGTCTTCGCGCCACTGACATGATCGAGGGTGATTGAAGCGCTTGGATTGATGGTGAGTGGTTGGGCGAGCGGATGGCCGTCGAGTTGATCACAGGTGATCCACGATCACGGTCACTCTTGCTGCGACTTGACATGGCGACGGACACATCACCATCGTCCAGCATGGGTAGTTGAAACTTTGGTGAGCTGTTTGGACTGAATGCGCTGTCACTCGATGCTGTTAATGGACTGCTGCACATGCTACTATTGTTGCTGTTGGTCTGTGGTGTCGACGACCCAGACATTGTTGGCGCCATATCCTGGCCACTTGAGTCATCCTTGATCATATCGAATGCACTCATCTTCTTGTCCAACTTGTTGTTTGAGTGACCATTCTCCTCATTCTTCTCGGGTGATGTACGTGGACTCCTGTTGATCTGGACTAGACCACGAGTGATGGCCACATGATCACTGTAACTCGAGTTCCTGTGTTGCACCAATGTCTTGCGTCTCTCAATGATGATTGGTGCGCCATGCATGAGTGGCGAGGTGGCCTTAGCCAATGCCAATGATGGACTGTTGCTATCATAGCAATCGGGTGATGTTGGTCGACAGGTCCTGTTGTTGGTGAGGAGGAAGTAGAGATCATGCGGGATTGGGATGCGTTGTAGACTGTACAAACACTCGACCACACTGGGCAACTGCAATGGCTTCCTGATTGAGTTTGCAATATAATGAATGATCGCACTCTCTTGATCGGGCCGTTCCATCACTGGATCAATATCCAATAGATCAAAGGACAGGTGTCACCTGCTGCATCCAGCTGTTGTCTGATGGTTGCCACTGTGGACGCTTGCAACTCGGGTGTCAATATGATGTAGACATCCTGGCTGTTGACTGACCCATGTACCATGTCTTGGACCAGTGCCAGCAACTCATCCTCGCGGTGCAGTGGCATCATATCAACCTTCATCATTGAGAAGTAGTTGATGGCAGAGTTGCACACGTTTGGGTTCTTGTCGAGGACGTAGCCCTTGATGCGTGAGCATACGAATTGTTCGTTGTTGGTGTGTACCAACACGCGATTGTTGGAGTTGTATAGTGAGAGTGACTGGCATAATGTGCCATGGGTGAGGCTGGCATGGTTGGACTGGAGGACTGAAGTGAACCAGAATGTTGATCCATTGCCATATTTGCTCTGGACACCAATCTCGCCGCCCATCAGACTGCACAGACGTTTGGAGATGCTCAGACCCAGACCCGTGCCTTGGAACTTCTTCTGCGAGCCGTCCAACTGAAGGAATGCCGTGAACAAGTTGTCGATCTGCTCCTCCTTGATTCCAATGCCCGAGTCCTCGACTTCGAATCGAACTGTATGCTCCACGACCGATGAACTGAGTGTGCTAGCTGCCGATCTGGACAACTTTACACGAACAATAACATGGCCCTCAGGGGTGCACTTGATTGCATTCGACAAGAAGTTGAGTAATATCTGCTTCACTCTATACGGGTCGCCAATCATCACGACAGGCACCTCAGGGTCGACCATCAATAACATTTCTAGTTCCTGGATTATTTGATTGAATAAGTGAGTGAATGAGTGATTGGAATTATTCCGGGTTTGATTGATGGATACATACCCTCTCTTGAGCTGTGCGACAGACGATGTTCATGGTCTCCTCGAGCATGGTGATCATGTTGAACTCAATCTTTTGTAACTCCATTCGACCGGCTTCAATCTTGGAAAAGTCAAGGATGGCTGTGATGAGGTCAAGGAGGTAGTTGGCAGAATCCTTGATACAATTGAGGAAGTCGCGTTGTGTGTAGTCGAGCTGGGTGTTCTCTACAATCTCCACTGATGCCAGGATACCATTGATTGGTGTGCGCACCTCGTGGCTGACCGTGGTGAGGAAGTTGATCTTGGCATCACTGATTGCCTCGGCCTTGCGCAGTGCCTGATCGGCCTCCATCAACTTCTTTTGTGCTCTCGTGTCAATTATTGATAGGATACCAACATGACCTGATAGATGCTTGACAGTCTTGGCCTTGACTTGAACGGCAAAGTTCTCTCCCAATGTGTTGGTACCATATGTCTCGAATACCTCATCCTCGTTCATGTTGTTGGTGGATGTGTGGGATCCTGCGCGACCTCGTTGGCGAATCATACTTCTATCAAAGTCTGGCAAGAACTCCCAAATGGCAGCAGGCACTGGATATAATATTGACTCTTCAGTGACTTGGAACATCTTTTCAAATGTTGGATTGACGTCCATTAATATACCATCCTTGTGGATTATCAATGCCTCTGAGCTAATATTAAACAAACTTCTAACTCTCTGCTCCTTCTCTCCAGTCTCCTTTAAATCGACCGTTATCACATAACTATAACATAACAACAACAATGATGTTGGAATGCATACTATAATGTTTAGAGATACCTGTTTGATTGATTGAGAGAGTGATTGATTGAATGATTGGAATAGTTCAATAGAGAGAGTGATTGAGCGATTGAGTGATGGTGTCAGTGAATGGGTGATTGGAATGGTTCCATGATTGAGTGTTTGAATTAATGCTTACCAATTCAAAAGGTGCACTACATGCATAGTAGAGTACGATGGTCATGCTAACATTGATGACACAGAGGATGGAGAGGAAGATACCACATACTAGGTAACTTGGGAAGAGGATGCTGGTTGTGATCAATGTGGTGATCATATTTGATAGGAAGAAGTTCTGGAATACTGATCGACTGATATGTTCAGCAACCTCTGGATTGGTATAATAATAGAATGCTGCTCCAATGCCCAGCGCCATCTGTATTGCCACATAAAGTAGTGATCTGACAATATGTAGGTGATATCTAATGCATATTCCATTGACCAATACAATGAGTATTATTGCAGCTATGAACAGTGGATATAGATGTCCAGAAAAGTATGATAATATAATATAAACAATTATGTGTGCCAGTGATAGAAGTGAGAGTAGCTGTGCACGACGTAGTGTTGACAGCTTGGTGTGCTGTGGTTGGCTGGACTTGCCTGGCATCAAGTATTGTCGCCAAACAATATGTGCCAGAAGTTTAGTTCGCATGACCAATGTGCTGAGCCATGTCCTGTCCTGACCAATGTTCTTATTTCTTGGTGATGACCTTGCTGTTGTTGAATCGTCGTTGGTAGTTGATGAATTTGAGAATGATCCGCTGATCTTTATCGAGTGTATATTGTTGTTGTTGTTGCCACTATTGTTGTTGTTGAAGTTGTTGGTGTTGCTGCTACTTGAATCGCTGGATTCACTTGACTCGCTGGATTCATCATTTCCAGATGTTTGAATGATTGTTTCCATTTTGATGTTGTTGATGTTCCTGGCATCGAATGTGCTGCTGGAACTTGATCCATGGCTAACTCGTCCCTCATCATCATCATGGATATCTAAAGATACCATAGCCATTCTTTATGAATATGATTGATTGGAATATAGTATGTTGTATTTGTACAAAGTTAATTAATTAAATAATAAATAATAAATAATAAATAATAAATAATAAATATAATATATAGATTATACAAGGTATTTTGAATGATGGTCTAATAATGGAAGTTATTGTTATGTTGGTAGGAAGTACTTTGGATGGGTGGATAGATGTAGACCTTTTTAATGACCTTGAAGGTAAGGCAGGCAGGCAGATATACACAAGACAGACTATATAATAATAAACACATAAATCTCGAGCGATTGTGATGTTAAAATAGGGTACTAGGGTCAATCACCCTATACTTATGCTCCTCTACTACTACTCCAAACTGTCAGTGTGCCTGTGTTGTTGGTTCGGTGTGTTTGTTATCAGCACGATCGAGGCAGACCGTCAGACTTGAATATGTTTGTTTGGGAAGTCAGTCCAAACTACTAACAATAGACACACACACACAGCTAAGTCATGAGATGTATGAAGAGGCTTAGTTCAACCTTGTGAGGTCGAGGTGTGTGTAGTTGTTTGATCATGTGAGTCGTGTGTGTGTATTTGTCGGTTGGCTATTCACCACACACACACACACATGGGCTTGGCAACGAGGTTTGACCTGATGGCAAGGGGTGGGGCACTGATTGAACCTGATGATGATGTTGTCCTTGCATGATCACATGACATTGAAGAGATCACCTGTGAATTCACTCGTCTTTGTGTCTGTTCAAGGTCAAATTAATATATTGATTGGACAATCATATTGATTGGACCTAGCGGGGTCATCACGTGAATTCTATCGCCATGCATCATACCTGGGTTCCAAAGAACCAAACATGTCCAATGGGACAATATGTCTTTACTACATCGGGATAGTCAGTCACGTCAAACTTGGAACTAGCTTCGAAGGTCCTAAGTGATTGATTGATTGGTAGTGTGTTGGTGAGTTGGAATCAATTTGATTGCTTGATAAGGACAAATGGAAGCGGTAGTAGTCCCAATCACCAAACTCTTACTTGTCCGATATCCATCCTGGATGACACGAATAAATAGGAGGCGGCGATATTGTCGCGCACGCTAAACAAAGATTATTGTGTTATTGGATGAATGAATGAACGTCAATCCAATCACAATGATAAAGGGTGGCATCCTATCCTTTACTCTATTTGTTGTTGTCAATGTTGATAGGCAGGCAAGCAGACGTGAGGGAGATGGAGTCATTCAAACATGTTGTCACATTGCATAATGAATGATTGAATGAATGAATGATCATGCGGCCCCTTTGGAGTACCAAACAAGGAGTACGAGGAGGAGGAGGAGGAGGAGGATGGAAGAATGGAAGAAGGCGGTGTTCTTGTGCGATGTCCATTGATCAGTCATCTTCATCAATCTCTGCTCTGTGAATGAGATCATCGTCTCCCTCGCGATATGATGCCGAGTCACTCTCGTCATCGTCATCTTCATTGTATTCGCCATAGTCATAGTAGTCTTGATGACAATCTTCATCATCATCATGTTCGATCTGTATATGATAAATCAAAGTACAGCCACAATTCAAACAGTTGACGCCTCCACCTCTCGGCCTCTGGAATTCCTCACATCTCTTGCATCCTTCACAAGCATAGTCTCTTCCAAGTTGTTTTTCCTCTTTGTTGTTGTTGTTGTTATTTGATTGATCTGAGCTTGATACCAAGTTCATATCCTTAAAGTGTTGCTCCATATCCAGACCATGTTCATCTTCATCTTCTTCTTTTTTGTTGTTACGCCTTTGTTGTTCTAGTTCATGTTGTTGTTGAAGATGTTGAAGATGTTGTAGATGATCATTGTATAACTTTATGATTTGTTCATTGTCCAGTGTCATAGCCTGTGGCAATGTTATATTATATTGACTTGATAGTAAATGTCTATCACGATTAGTGATCTTGCCAGTCTTTACAAGATTGACCAAGTGTAATAGTTGATCACTATTATTACTACAAATAGTATTACTTGTATTACTTTGTGTCATTGTTATGTTAATATAATATCTTATTACACGTAATATACATCAGTGTATGATGAAGATGATGATGTTGACAACAAGGAATCTCAAAGAGTTGTTGGAGATAGATACTCATTCCTACCCCTCACCATTCGTCATATTTGCACAATGGATCGCGAGGAATCACTCACTCTCACCCCTTCAAGCCCCAGGCCCACACACCTAATTGACAACAATGCGGTCCAACAAACAAGTCCAACTCCTTAAGCTTCACACCGACTTGAACAACTTCCCAATTTATCACATAACATCATAATCATTGTACTTATACAACAACTTATACTAACTTAACAAACCAATCACAATCATAATATATTTATAAATAGTATATATAATAATACATAACTATAAATATAAATATATATATAACAAACATGTCAACAACAACAGCGTCAGAAATGAATGTTATGTCACCTACTGGATCATCGATTGCAGTGGCTGAGTTGGTAGAGACTACAGAGGAATATAGATCATTAATGGATCGTGCACAACTTGAGGACTTTAATGATATTGAGGCATTACAATGTTTCTTCCAGGTTGGCACTGACACTCATGATGGCTCACCAGTCTTCCTTCTAATAGGCTCATCACTACCTGTTGGCAAAGAAGGTCTAAACAAGCTGTTGGCCTACATGTGGTATGTACTACTATGTCCTTGTCTATCGACCCTATATTATACTAATATTGATTGATTGAATAGTAAACTACTTGAACCCATTGTAACAGGATCACAATATACTCTAGTATACTCACATCACTTACTATCTGCTGATAGTACTCCAGATAGAGCATGGTTAATGAACACATATAACTTGTTACCAAGAAAGTAAGATGAAGACAATGAACGAATGAATGGATTGACTAACATACATACATGCAAACCATTAGTTACAAGAAGAACTTAAAGAACATGTATATCATTCATCCTTCGACATGGCTGCGAATGATGTTCATGGCTTTGTCACCATTCATGAGTGAGAAGGTTTGGAACAAGGTTGTATACATTGATTATTTGCAAGAGTTGCCAAATACTTTGAACAAGGAGTTGATCAAGGATAAACTGCCAGGTGTTGTAAAGGTACATGACGTACAATTGCTATCACAGCCAGAGGTCGTAGAGCAGGTGGCCACAACAATGGAGACATTGGGCAAGGAGATGATGTCATCGTTTGCCATGCCAACCTCTAGTCTATACGGCTCGTCCGATCCACAGAACTGGTAAACTGGTCAGCTGGTGATGGTGTCGTGTCTGTCTCAATTCGAATAAAGTATCTGTATAGTACAGTTATGATATGGTGCATCAATCGCGTCTGTTGGGATTTGGGATTGGAGTCTAGTCGTCGACGACTCCTTGGTCAATCATTTATTGATCACTCCAAGCAAGTGAGTTGTGGTTGTTGTTGTTGCCTCCTGGTCAACTCTTCATGTCCTTGTCTAGTCGAGTGCTGTTCATCTATCTGATGATCCTGTTGTTGTTGTTGTTGTTGTTGTTGTTGTTGTTGTTGTTGTTGTACATTGTCTCGATCTTTACTTTCACCAATATCTTCACCAGTACACAGTTGCTTCCTCTGCAACTGCTGTTGAAGCTGTTGACATTGAGCGACTGCTGTGACCTGTTGCAACAGTGTAGATTCGTATGACATCAACTGTGAGATGAATCCACGATTGGGCTGAATGCAAGGTCTAATCGACTTGAGAAACTGGAAGCAATACATAAATGGTTTATAGAACAATGACATTAAATAACTAATTACAATAGTGGCTGATCGTGACACACCTGCAGAGCTGTGTACATTGGTTAGTAATGTGAATGAGCGAGGACATGAGACGAGTATGATGAGGACATACCAGTGAATGAGCACACCACCGTATCCTCTGCCCTTTTCAATGAAGGAGTGCGCTAGACTGAAATAGTTGTGGATCTCTTTCTTCTCTTCGTCCTCTATTTCAATGGAGAGACATTCAAACTTCTTGTCTTTGTAGTTTGGAGGGTTGGTTGAGACTGACAGTACATGTGTAATGTTATGATCTTTAAGTTGATTGACACAGGAAGCAGCCTGTGCTGAGCCAATATATAGACGAGGCAGTACCTCTTGTGCATCGAATTCTTCGGCCAGGCAATCTGCCATGTCCCAATATCCACATCCGCCCTATCATTATTATTTGTTTGTATGTTAGTCAATTCATTCAATCATTCATTCATTCATTCATCTTTGTGAACCTACACTCATTTGTATAATCTAGACGTATCTGTCTCTGTCTCAATATCTCTATCTCTATCTATGTGTGTATGAATGAATAAATATATATGTGTTGAGTTCAACACGAATGACTCTTGACAGCGTTCGAGTGAGTGACACACTTCGCCCATCTTTTCAATTGGGTTCATGACGAATGTTGACATCTCTGAATTGCTCAACAATACAACATAATCAAAAAAAAAACAAACAAATAATAAGCACAGATAAAATACAATGTGCGATCAAAACAATCAAAATAAAGCAAACCATGTTGCCAAATAATAGGGAATGGGCAAAAACCTATGATCAAAAAAATCAATCAAAGAGGTGCACGTTTTCAAAATATGTATTGGGTCGAATGAATGATTCGACCAAACATCCATTCATCACCACCAAACAAAACCATCCTACCTACCAACCATCAATGTTTATCTCACTCACAAAGACACCCATCTAGATAAATGTTGTGTGTAAACTGGACAACCATCCAATCAGATGGGATCTTTGATGTGATCAATGTGATCAGTCAGTCATTGAGCAAGGAGTGATGAGTGAGACGTTGCCCATCAAACACACACAACACACACAAACACATACATTTACATTCATCAATTATGACAGCAGTAACGCTTCACATTGATTGAGTGTCTCCTAAGGGAGGAGGGACTTAGAGGTGATGGTCATCATGAATTGAAAGAACATCTATTCATTGATTGATATCCAATTCAAATAACATTAAGACATTCACATTATTTATTATCATTCATTCATTATTATAATTAATTAATTATTATTATTCGTCTTGTCATTGAATGTGATCACATTGGTCCATATATGGATGAAGTGTGTATGAATACGATGAACAGTAACAACAACAATGTTAACAACAACAACATAAACATTGGATTGAGTAGTAGTAGTATCAACAATGTAAATAATATAATACCTCAACTTCAATCACCCAATGGCGCGGGTCCATCAACACCACCTCAGCCACTCATGATGACCTCACCAATAGTGTCGCCAGTCCACGTTCGTTTGAACAAATGTGCAATTGACACTGATGAGGAAGATGGTAAAGTATCTAATGGTACTCAAACTCAATGATGATTGGAATCATTCCACTCACTCACACTCACACTCACACATGATCAATCATTCAACTCCAAACAGGCCCTGAGGACACAGTTGGTATTTCAATGTATGGAAATGGAATTAGAGCAACTAGTTTTGCAAGTGGAGTACTGGCAAGGGTCGTGGAGAGATATGATAATGATAGGACAAAGTTGATATTGTCTTGTGTGTCTGGCGGTGGCGTGTTGGGAAGTGCATTCTGTCAACGCGTCGCAAAGGAGAAGGCTCGCAAGAATCAAGTGTCTAGAGTGGATATATATAAAGGATTGGACGAGGACATGCGCAAGAACATTGCATACTGTGTCAACTTTGGAAGTGTGCCACGCATGCTTATGGACATCTTCATGATGATTGGCATGGTGGCGTTCCAGCTGGCACTGATCGGAATGACTGTGATCCCCTTCATCATGTTCCTGGTCGAGACCATGGCCACCTTCTACCACTATGTGCCCTCGGACAAGGTGTGGATACTGGCCGTGGTAGGCATCGGCCTGACAGTCACCATCTTTGCACTGTCCATCATCTTCAAAACGATTTCCGTGTACGGTCTGTACCGCGCGCCATTCATCATCTTCAACTGGTTCAAAGTGCTCACGTTCCTGTGCGCGCTGTTCACCGTGCTTGTGGGCAGTCAGGCCGGCATGGATCGCATCGAGACAGCGTTTGGTGACTGGGTGGCTGGCGCGATCGGCCTCTCAATCACAGCATTCTGGGCAATCTTCCGATTCCATCCATTCTTCTTCATTGAACAATGGATCGAGAATCTGATCAACTCGCTCACGGGATACGTGGCCCTTCTCTCGATCTATGGCATCTTTATGAATTGGCGTCTGGGTGCTGTGGCCAGCGACACAAACTTGTTGTTTGGTCACATTATGTTCACGGATTACAGATGGTCCGTTGTACTGATCACTACAATCGTGTTGATTGGAGTGTATCCAGCAACGTCATACATCGCAGACAACCATATTCACGCGTTCTACAGATGGCGACTACAACGCGCCTTCTACAAGACTGATCACTCTGGCTTTGATGGTATCTTTGGCATCTATCCAGGAACAAAGTTCACACAGTTGGATGACAGCGCAACATACGTCAGCACAATGACCGCCAATCATTGGCAGCTGGACCCCGGCTCAAGCCCCATCTCCTCATTATCGATTGGCAAGTGGCTGCCAGGCATTGATACCAACCAGCCAACGAACGACATCAACCCACTCAATGAGATCAGGTACATGCGAGGCGAGACCAACGGCCTGAACACAAGTCTGCAGACGGGCTGGATGCGTGACCTCGAGATCTCATTCGCGATGATCAACAGTGGCGGCTCGCTCACCTCGTCGTTTGGCTCGGACGCCAAGTTCAAGACCTGGGAGAACTTCTTCTCGCTGTTCAACCTGGGCTTTGGAACGTGGACCAACATGAACTACCAGAAGGACTTCAAAGCTCGCAGTGTCTACATCACTATGACTGGAATGATCCCATTCCTCATCGCCATACCCCAATGCTTCGTCTCTGTTCGCTCGGACTACCCATGGGTCATCTGGATCCCTTGCGTGATCCTCGTGTTCTACTTCCTGATCGCCGATCACTGCCCCTCGCACTGGGCCTCCACCATGCAGAACCCAATAGTTCGCGTCTTCCGAGACTCACTCAGCGTGCCCATCGTCACTAAATATGGCGGTTACATCTATCTCTCGGACGGCAGCCACAGCGAGAACACCGGCCTGTTTGTCCTGCTGGCCAACAAGGCTATCAAGACGATCTTCATTGCGGATGGCTCGGAGGATGTGGATCGCGTCTGCTCAGATCTACGCAAGACAATCACAGAAGAGCGTGCATTTGGCTGGGACTTCTTCACGCAAGAGGGACACGACATTGAACGCGAGTTGATTGAGTTCCAGCGCGATCGAACCGTACGCCACATCGCAATGAAGGCCATCAACGAGAAGGAAGGCCGACAGGTCAACATCTATTTCCTCAAGCCAATCGAGCGAGCCAATCGCCACGAGATCAGTGGTGTGGCATGTGAGTGCTGCCATGCCTCTGCCAACTGTTGCACATGCCTCAATGGCATGATCTCATTCCCGGGCGACTGCTTCAACTACCTGTTTGGACGATTCCCCAACACATCATCCTACTACCAATTGTTCACACCTACCATGTACGACGCGTATCGCTCTGAAGGTGTGGCTGCGTTTGATTCAGTACAACAACTGAAGTGTAGCAAGTAGACATCGTTGTCGTCGTTGTTGTTGTACCAATAATAAACGATGTTAAGTTATGTTAAGAATGAACTTGTATTATGCTTGTTGAATGAATGTACAATTATAGTTGATGGCGTTATGCGTCAAAGTCGAATGATAATGGTTGTTGCTGTTGTGGCTGCTGTTGAACCATTGGTTGCTGTTGTTGTTGTTGTTGTTGTTGTGGTCTGGCCTGTGGAGCACCGCCGCCTTGCTTATCCTTCTTCAACTTTAATGGATCCTTGTCGTATAGTTTGTTACCTAGAGCATTGCCAAACACTCTAAGTGATCTCTTCCTTGCATCTGATACAGCCTCCTTCTTTGCATGCTCAATTGATGTGCCCTTGTTCGAGTCCTCTCTCATACCAAAGCCAACATCATCATGAAAAGTACCATCCTTTAGCATTATACGTATGATTGCTGATGCACCTGCTCTCCACTTGCCAGATGGAGCAACCTCGCACTATTAACCTAAGTTAGTACTTGAGCTCATTGAATGAATGAATGAATGATGATTGAACAACTACTTACAAAGTCTAATGTTAACTCTACTATTCTTGATGACCATCCATTGAAACCAAACACTCTGTTTGCAATCTCTATTGCTTTCCATGACTCTAGATAAGTGAGACGGGTACCACCTGGACCCGGACGTTCACTCTGATCATCTCTAGGCAGTGGAGTTGACAATTCAATTGCCAACCTCTCTATCTCCTCCTGTGTATATGACTCATTTCCAAACAATACTTTGCTATTTTCATCCATCTCTACTAGTAGTATCTGTATATATATCTGTTGTTATATTTTTGAATCAATTATCTGACCTCCACTTTGAGTTCCAACTTGAAGTGACTCATTTTTCATTTTTTCTTAGAATCTGACAATTACTTGTAAATAATGAATTTCCCGACTTTCCCTGAGTCCAACAATATTGTTGAATGAATAGTTTAATCAACTAACTCTCCATTGGTTCAACTGTCTTCGATTGATGCTCGATACCTGCATCGTTGTTGCCATCATTGCTGTGACCCATTATTCTATTCTTGACTGCCAAACGGATGTATGCCAACACTGTCTCGCAGGACATGCGTGCAAGACGTAGTCCGTCGTCGTACTGTTGCTCACTGATGACTCCAGTGGTGTTGACCATGACCAACTTTGTTTGATTGTTGAATGCATATATCGCCAGACCCTTTGCCAACTCCTCTTCCACAGTATCCGGATCCAAACAAACAGTGCCATCATGATTATAACACAATGTAATCGATCCCAACAAACTGTTCAGCTCTATACCCGCATCGAGCAATGCTAAACATGCTGCATTAATAGCGCAGCTTACTATCTATACAAGTGTTAGTGTCAGTCAAAGAGTCAGTCCCGCTTGATAGACACGCATACATACCGATCCGTCGTCTGAGTAGACTTGTATAATGATGCTAATCTGTGTTCTTGGATGTAGTGATGTGATTATTACACTCTCTAGTGCATTGCGAATGAGCATTTCTTTCTCTTTATCCTCGTAGGATGAGTTGCCAGTGGCAGGTGTGAACACAACATCTATGTTTGCCTTTGATATCTTCTCCTTTCTAGGTATAACTTCAACTGGTCCATATACAGCTGCAAGTACTGATGATTTATCTATTATATCATTCGTTCGTTAGATCATTCATTCGATCATTCATTCAATCAATCAATCAATCACACATACTTTGAGTGAACTTTGCACTGCCATCAGCCTTGTTCAACAAAGCTTGTTCAGACTCTATTGGCCTTATTTGATTAGGTGTCCTCTTATCACTTCTTATCATTGTTTGTTGTTGTCGTTTAAATATATATTAAATGTACAGGTATGATGATTGCAAGATCAAATAAACGACCGACAGAAATGGTTGTCTTCAAGTTTTTCGTTGTGCGGTCATGGTCAAGGTTGTGTTTCAGGTTCATGATGAAGTCTATGATTGACATTCAATCTCTTTGCTGAACAACAAGCATGCTAGTAATATACTGATACATGTATACTCAGTCAATCCTAACAAACTATCAACATTGTTGTATAAAATGAACATAAGATGTATGACTCATTCATTCATTCATTCCAAATGGGAACGGGTCACATCATTTGATGAGCCGAGATGAAGTTAGAGAGAATGTTTCTCTTTCCTTCCCCCAGGGGATACAATCCCAAGGGATGAACGGATGTTCCCCAACGACGATTTACCACTAGTGTCGGAGCTCTCTGGTTCCAATTCCAGCTCATCATCAACCTAACATTGATGGCTCACTAATCCACTCACTGATTATCTCACTTCGCTCACTCAATCAAACATACCCTCAAACAACGTATTCTTTCAATCACTGATGAAACGGAATTTTCGTGTTACTTTGTCAACATTGTTTTTGATTCTTATCACCACACACGACTTTTAGGGTACCCCCAAGTGATCGTTCTCATCACCTCGTTTCTGTGAGCGTGTTGCGATATTTCATTGATGGATAAAGTGAGAGAAGGCTCCTTTTTTGAATCATTTATTATTCGATTAAATTTGATGCCTATTATCGTGTGCACCAACCACCTGCTGTCCTTCCCTTCCCTACCAACAGTAACAATACTCTCCTACCTACCTACCCATCACTCTCTCAACTTTATTCGCACCTCTATCCAATAACATTAGCCCTAACTCCACATCCAACTTATATATACTTATTCATATATATATACATATACATACACTGTTGTAAACATTGTTTGTTGTATTCCTGCTCTTCCATTACCTTAATTTATATTATATATAATCTATTCTTTTCACATAAACTTATTTGTATTAATACAAGATGGTATGATTGATTATTATTATTAATTTGATTGAATGAATGATGACTAATACTATATTTTATAGACTTCGACAGCAGATGATGAGGGATTCACAGAGTACTTGTACAAGATCTTGGTAGTTGGTGACATTGGCACTGGCAAGACCTCGATCATCAAGCGTTTCGTTCACAACATCTTCTCCATGCATTACAAATCAACTGTATGTGATCATTATTATAGTTTGTTGTTGCCTGCTCTAGCTTGACTACAACTTCAGCGAGCGGCGACACACACAAGTGAAGTGAAGAGTTTGAAGAAACATCACACTAACACTCCAACGCACACTCCCACTCCCTCCCACACTCAATCAAACACAAACAAACAACCACAATCAAACAAAATCAATACTTTAGATTGGAGTAGACTTTGCCCTGAAGGTGATCAACTGGGACCCAAAGACAGAGGTGAGACTGCAGTTGTGGGATATCGCTGGTCAAGAGCGTTTCGGAAGCATGACCAGAGTATACTATAAGGAGGCTGTCGGTGCCCTCATCACTTTCGACGTCACTCGTGCCAGCACTTTCGAGGCCGTCGCCAAGTGGAAGGCTGACATTGACTCCAAGGTCACCATCGGTCCTGATGAGAGACCAATCCCAGTCGTTCTTTTGGCCAACAAGGTATGTTATAATAATAATACAATGGGATGGGATGGGATGTCGATTGCTTGTTCAGCAACTGACACATGTTGGTGTCATCACAATGACACATATCGATATATATATATAGTGCGATCTAGGAAAGGAAGGATTTATTAAGACTGCCAACGAGATGGATAAATATTGCAAGGATAACGGATTCATTGGCTGGTTCGAGACTAGTGCCAAGGAGAACTTGAACATTGAAAAGGCCTCTCGCTTCTTGGTCGAGCACATTCTCAAGATGGACATCAGAAGAAATCAACCACCAACAGAGGATAAGGGGAAGATAGACCTCTCCGACAAAACAACGCCACCTACCAGCGGTGGATGCTGTAATAAATAAGTCAGCAGCGCAGCTCCCTCAACAGGCTCGGCTCCAGCTCACACCATCACATCACATCACCACCCATCACTCTCCTGCGCACCAATCGCATCCCCAGCCACCAAAAAAAGACGACAACTATCGATACATCGTCGGTTGGTGAACGCCAGTCCATTCATCAGTCAACACAATCAACACAACAACCAACCAATCAACACAACAGACTGCCAGTCATCCCCTTTGTCCATCATGATTATATAGATGTAGAGCCAGGCAGGCCATCCACACACACCAATGCCAGACAACCAATCAATCAATCATTCATTACCCTTCTTCCCATCACTTTCATACAAAGGATTGGACAAATGGTAATCCACACGAGTTATGTAATAAATAGATAGTCTATGAAAGTGATTTACTTGGTTCGGCATTTCATTCATCATCATTTTGGTTGACTGTCTCCATCTAGAGATACCTGTCGGAATAGAAGAGTCCAATGGTAATGGTGGGGAGGAGTCTGATATGCATCAGAATCCAAAATAGATATGGCTCCCCAAACAATGACTGGCATTCGACATTGCTCTGGGAGAAGTGTTGGACCATGCTGTTAAAGGCAAGGTACGATACTGCCATTGTGATACCAATCTCGACCATTCGTAAGATCTTGACTATTTGCGGGGCATCAGGGTGTGAGTCCAGATTCAAAACTTGAATGATGACAAGTACATAGGTGCAATGAATAGAAAAACTATTATTGAATAAATAAAATTTTAGTAGGATTAATAATATTAATAACTAGTATTGTACTTACCGTAGAGTAGAGTTGAAAGCATAGGATAGGGAAGAATAAAGTAAGGTACTTATATTAACATTCTTATTAATAACATTTTAATATTATAATATCAATAAAAAAGTAACTTCAAATAATAAACCAACTTGTAATAAATGATAAAATATCAATTAAATTATAAAGAACTAGTATTTATATGCGTCTCTCTACCCTACTTGATTAGGTAGTCATTACTATAAATGGTCAACTATACTTAATAAGGAGATGCTTTCCAAATTAAGTATCCATAACCAAATCCAATCACTCAATCAATCAACACCACACACCCAAACAGTGAGCAATGGTATATGCCAGGGTCTTTATTGGATGTGCGTCATCTTGCATCTGTCACCATATGTACACTTTCCACTTGCAAAGTATTTACATATCAGCTTGCTCTTGTTGTTGCTGCTGGACCTCTTGTTGTTGTTGGACGTTGGCGATGTTGTTGTCAGGGTAATAGCGGGAGTTGGTGGATTTGGTGACGATGGACCTCTCATATGTGGTGGTCTGTAGGGCTGGCCAGGTGAGGAAGATGAGGAGGAGTAGGCGTCCGGCTGGTCCATGTAATATCCACTTCCACTGCTACTACTGCTGCCACCGCCGTTGCTGTTGTATCCATCGTATGCGTTGCTTGATCTATAGTTGAAGTTAAAGGTGTGATTGTAGGGCGTGGGTTCGTGGCCATAGTAAAGTCCTTGATTGCCATAGACCAGGCTGTCGCGGTAGGACATTGGCTGTCGTATCTCGGGCACGGGATAGGTAGGGAGATAGTAGATTGGTGGATTGACTTGGTATTGTCCGTTGGGCGAGTGGTGATTGTTGATGTTGTTGTTGCTGTCATTCCTGGGACTGAGAGGATACTTGGAGTTGATCTGTATCTCTGGGGATAGGAGCATGTTGGTCTGAGGTGACAGAGGTGTGTCGGAGGGAGAGAAGATGTCGATGTTGTAAGGAGAGTCGTCATCCTCTGTGTACTGGCTGATTGGTGGAGAGTTGATCCTCTTGCCCTTCTTGCTCTCATACTCCTTCTTTGGCCTCTTCTCGGCGCCTGATCCGCGATGGTATCCCTTATTGATCGAGTTTGATACCGAACGACGTAGCCATTCAATCAAGTCTGGAGTGAGTGGAGGTGTCACACCAATCTTTGAGAAGTATTCACTAATGATGGTGATGATGGTTAGTTGATCAATTGATTAATTGATTGCTTGATTCATGGTAACACTTACTCCCATGTCTTGACAGCCTTGATATGTGTGACAGCCTTCTGAAGGTTGTCCCTGACATGTGGCAACGGTTTGCCAAAGAGTCGGTTGTATTGATCGCTGATGGAGTCTAGCGTGGAGCCTTCGGGACGAGCGACATGTTGGAGGAAGTAGACGTGGAACATGAGCAGACGGATGGACACAATCGACGTCTCAAATGCGATTGTTGGTCTGCTGGCGTCAAACACTGGATTGGGTTCAGTCGCACCGTATGGAGCACTACGTCTGATTATCCACATTACGTTGCGATCAAAGTTCTCCTCCAGATAGGCGTTGGCCACTTCAGACCATTTGTAGTCAGAGACTGTCAGCAGCGGTAGGAACTCGCCCAATGCTGGTGTCTCCTTCTTGAATCGCTTGGCTGGTGTATGTATAAAGTCATAAATCTCCTTATTAATATCGATCAGCATGTCTGGATACCTCTTGACAAAGGCCAGGAATAATTGATGGAACAGGCAATATCCTTCCAAATGCTTGATTGAGGCTGGTTGATGGGGATTGCATAAGTTAGTTGAGTGATTGAGTGAGTGGCTGGCGACAATGACTTACCATGTAGGGTCTCATTCATGATGCAGACACATGCTGTGTTCATGGCAATACAGATGAATCGCTTGGCCAACTCTGGTCTGAATGAGTGTGCTTGCATGATCGCGGCCAAGGACGACTCCAACAAGTCCCATGCTCTAAGTCCATGTTGATGATTGATATCTGTTTGCGCCAGCGTGAGTGAATGAATGATTGAATGAAGTGGACAAGATAACTTACACAAGGGTAACCAATGAGTGAATGATTGTTTCCAAATGGATGACCTTACACCCTGCTTGTAGGCCTCGAGTGATAGTAGGTCGTGTTGGGTCTTGATCTCATCAATCTTTGTGGATCTAGGAGTCTTGCTAACGATCTCGACACCAATGCCCAATATGTCCTCTTTGTACGAAGATCGATTGTGGAAGCAGACCAACTCGGACTCGATGCTGTTGATGTAGTCCTGGAGCGAGGGGTCACTAGAGGGATCCAAGAAAATCGCCAGCTGCTTGTCATTGTTGCCATTACCATTGCTATTGTTGTTGTTGTTGTTATTGTTGTTGATACTACTGCTGCTCTTGAGGTCGTTGCTGCTTACGCTGCTGCCACTGATCTGTGAGTTGGAGCCATTCAGTTGAGATGAGCTGTAGGACGTCTTGAGACTGGACGAGGCCACAATGCTCATGTCTGGCAGCTCAGGCCATGGTGCATCGGGTGCGTGAGGGCAGAGGTGGCACCTGAATGTTTTGGAGTTTTGGATTGCGTCTGGGATCTTGACGAGATAATCCTTGAGTGGCACGGCAGAGTCCTCGTCGTCGAGGGTGATCAGGAATGTCTGGATCTGCAGCAGGATCGTCTGCACACTGTATGCGGACGACCAGCCCGTTGCCTGTCCCTGGAAGAACGACTGGAAGTCACTTAAGATGTCCAGGCATATGCGTCCACCGTCGTGTACGTGTGGGTGCGGGAAAGGTGTGAGCAGGGTGCCGCTGGGCGGGATTGCTGGGTAGGTGGGAGGGAACTTGAGCTCAAGATGGAAGATACCTCCCTCAAATGGTGACCCATCAGGCGCGGCGATATTTGCGTGCCAAGTCAGCAAGTCTGAGGCGTCGACTGGCTCGGCCGACATTAAAGGGATCGGGTTCGTCTTGATAGCCTTGAGGTCTGCCATCAGCGTCTTCTTGGTGCCCTGCGAGATGGTGTGCACCGTGGCCAAGAAGCCCGTCGCCATGATGTTGATCTCTGAGTGATTGGATCGCAGGTTCTCGACGGCTGTCTCCGACGTCTTGTTGAGTCCCAGCACGAGGTCTCGCATACTCGACTGCTGTGAGTCGTTGAGTGTGCGCAGAGATTCATCCGTGACACGCTTGCAGCCATAAATGTTGAGACGTTTGAGCAAGGGTAGCTGCACCAGCTTGGCCACGGACGCGTCGCTGACGTTCTCAGACATGGACAGGTCGATGTCCTGGAGGAATGGGCATTTTGTTTGCAGCGACGACAGCTCTGAGATCAGCTGGCACTTCTTCAAGTCAAGCACAGAGAGATGGTGCAGACGGGCGCTGATGTGATCGATCGAGATATCCGTGAGCAAGTGGCATCCGGCCAGCTGCAGCGTGTTGATCTTGGTGCAGCTAGTGACCAGTGTCTCGATCCAAGCATCGCTCATTGACTTGCAATAGCTGACGTTGATACTGGTTAGCTCGGGGCAGTGCTCCGCCAATATGGTGAATGTGGACGAGTCGAGCTGATCGACCAAGCTGAGATTGAGTATGGACAGACTGAGCGAACGACTGAGTATGTCATTGAGTGTGCAGGGTGCGATCGAGAGACCGGCAATCTCAAATTGTGTGAGCTTGAGCTGCGCGGGTAGCGTCTTGGTGTCGATCTTTGGCGTGTGAGGCACAAGAGGCGAAGATGATGTGTTGGATCGCTTGAGGGGCTGGTCCGAGGGGACAATGGTGGCCGGCGTGGCCGTGTTGAATAAGAGACGCTGTAACGTGTGGCACTGTGACAGGATGCTGATGACAGTGTCCAACGTGAGCGAGGTGAATGAGAAGTCCATCGATACGATGCGTGTGAAGTGTAACTGCTGCGGTGTAATCAACTTGAGCTTGCAGTTGGCCACGTTGAGGTGGTGTATGACGTTGTTGGTCACGGGTGGCAGGTGGGAGATGCGGCAGTTGGATGTGTCCAGGCGTCTTAGCTGGGACAACACGCGCACAATCTCCATCACCGTCTCCTCCTGTATCAGATGACACCCGGCGATGTTGAGATGCTGTAGATTCTTGCAGTAACCCAGTGCTTGGATGCCATGCGACGAGACCAGTCTGCAGTTGGCGATCGACAAGTGACGCAGGTGAGGCATGAGTCGTGTGAATATCGTGACAGACTTGATGTCCGAGTGCGAGATATCGAGGCACTGCAGGCCGAATGAAAGGTTGTCGGTGGGGTTGTACATGTTGTTGATCTCGCGATCGTCAAGCTTGCAACCCTTGGCCACAATGCGAGTCAGGCGTTTGCATCGCTTGAGGAGGACGACAATGGCCAGCGTGGTGGCGCCCGTCTTGGCCATGTTGATGCTCTGGAGATGTGGACATTGCGATGCAATCTTCTCAACGGCATCGTTGTCCAGCGAGTCGCAGTGGTCCACGTCCAGCTTCCTGAGCGAGTCGCCAATGTTCTTGAGCATAGGCGCCAGACTGGCTGTGATCCTGGCCTGGTGGCTCAGGTTGAGGTGGTAGACCTGGTTGCTGTACGTCTTGGCCAGGTAGAGGTAGAAGTCCGCAGGGATGTACTGGGCAAAGTGTTTGATGTGGATGGTGGGCACTGGCAGCAGCTCGGGGAACGAGAGAGACTGGGTGGTGGGGTGCAGCTCGGGCGCCTTGACAAACAGGTGTGCCCATGTGGCGATCTGGTCGCTGGGGCGGGAGAGTATGGACTCGGGCACAGGGAACTTGGCCCATAGGTGGCTGTCCTGAATGATGATCTTGAATGCCTCCTTGAAGAAGTCACCGCAACGATTAAACACGAATGAGTCGTTGCAGTTGAGTGACTTGGTCATCAACAGCGAGCCAAGCCGCAGGTATGCAGTGCAGCGAATGTCGTCGCCCAGACGTGGGATGGCCGAGCGACGTGTGATTAGCTCGACCTTTGAGGTGGCCAGTACATTGTTGGCGGTCTGTGAGTCCCATTGGCCAACGGATTGATAGCAGCGCTCAGCCAACAATGAGATACTGTCTCGCGATGTCCACAAACTGCCTTGCTCATTGAGATACAAAGAGTGTAGCAGATCGCCCAGTTGTAGCAACGACATGTAGTTGTTGGCCAAAAGGAAGTTGGAATATGATCGTTCCAAGTATCCCAAACAGTCGTCCTTTCCAACGCTGAGTGCCAACTGCTTCAACACATTAGCGTAATCATTGAGGATATCCTTGTTATCTGGAGTTGATCTAATCGCATCCTCAAACTTATTCGTCGCCAGCTTGAACAATCGTTCGCTTCCTGTCTTGCCCTCCCATCTATCATTGATTGAACGAGTGTATGTATGTTAGTGAGTCATGTCCATGCCATATCTTGTCCACGCCACAGTACATACTTCATGCATTGAAGCGAGAGTGCATTGCCCTCTGCCAAACTGATGATGTTCATGTGCTTGACCTTGACATCCATGCTTGTGATGTCAGAAAGCACCACTCTGAATGACTTGGGGTCGTCCCTCATCTCGTCCATCGACTCATCCGCAAGCTTGATTCCAGTCATGTTCTGTATCCTCACAAAGATGTAATAGATATCCACATGAGTGCTCAGGTCAACATAAGGGTCTCGCTCTGTGAGTGAGCGTGTAAGTATGAGTTCAGTCTATACCAGTCATTGCTCGTGCATGCGACACGTTACCATTTGGGAATAGCGAGTTATCGAATCGACGAAGGATCTCATGCTTGATGTCTTGGAACCAGAGCTTCTCGTGTTGGTGCGTTGGATCGCCGAGGATGACGTTGAAGAAGTCCATGACAACTTGGATGTAGGAGTCGGCCTCAATCGACTTGAGCTCCTTCATCTTCTTGCGTAGATCCTCTCTGATGATGTTCTTAAAGACTCGCGCAACAATCTCGGTGAGCAGGATGCGCTTGAGAGTTGGGTCGGTCACATGCTGACGCACAATGCCTAGGTAGCGCACGTTGATGCCCTCGCGATGTATGATCTCTGTCAGATGCTGATACCACTGCACCTCCTTGACATGTGCGTCCATCCAGCGGGCAACCGTGGGGATGCATGTATTGAACAGGTGCTTAGTGGCTTCGAGCACCTCCTGATTGTTCACGGACATAGACACGGCGTCCACCTTGCCAAAGGGCGAGTAGGCGTCGCTGCTCAGTGGCGTGTGATAGGTCTGCACAAACTCGGGTCGGAACAGGCGGTACAAGAATGCCTCGTCCACATGGCTGTCGGCAGTGGGTGGGAAGACACGTGCAAAGTCCAACACGTAGAAAAGGTCGTCGCGACCAATGTGGCCCTCAATGTCGGTGGGACCATATAGGAACTCCTTGCGCTCGCCAATTCCACAGAGATGGCCCTTGATGTTCAGCTTCTCAGCCGCGGCCTTCATGCGGTCAAACACTTCGCCGCGTGCCGCCACCACGCTCTTGCCACCGTCCGCGCTACCATAGACAATGGTCTTCTTTGGCACGATTGGCAGAATGGACATGGCCACCAGTCTGAAGCCACGATAGTCCAGCAGCGCCATCAGTGGCACGTGAATGCCCTCGCAACCATAGTAACGCATGACGGACTTGAGCTCGTGGCCGCCCGCCTTCATTGAGAACTCGTCGTTGCCATAGATCTTGATCCAGTCGGAAGCGAACTTGAACAGAATGCCATTGTAGACGTACTTCTCGCCTCCAGCCTGTCCACCAAGACTGGGCACGGACATGATGGTCTTGAAGCGCGTGTCAATGAATGCCTCCTCAATGATGATCTTGCCATATGTGATCGCAGCGTGCAAGAAGTCCTTGCTGAGCGAGGACAGATGCTTGTACTTGACGTACTTCTTGTCGAGGTCGTCCTCGGGCAGCAGCAGCAGTCGTTGGAACTTCTCGTTCCACCCAATGCCCAGGCCATACTTGCCGCCCACGTCGGGTGTGATTGAGGCAGTGGTCGAAGAGGGTCCATTGTCATAGTTGGTCGATGTCTGTGACAGGCCTCCGAGGGCCGCCGCTGCCGCTGCCGCGCTTCGCTCATTCTTTAGTCGCTCATTAATATACATCTCTTGGCTTGATATTGATTTGATCGCTGGGGCGTTGCCATAGCTGCTGTAGGCATCAACATTGTCATAGCTTGATGTTGACGTTGATGTTGATGTTGTTGATGATGTCGTGGTAGCTTGCTTGGCCTTGAGATGAGCCACCGCAGCAGTGAACTGTGCGGAAGTGTCCTCATCATTGTGTTCGTTCAATGAGAGCGTCGATACCAAGGTCTCGAGCTTGACAGCGGGTTGTAGGTGTGATGGAGATGGCGTGTCTATTCGATCGGAGGAGAAGTATATACCCTGCTCCTGAAATGATGGTAGTGAGCCTTCTAAGCCCTCCGAGCCATCTGAGCCAGCACCATCATTGATACCATGTCTTGTTGTTTGTGTTTGTATTTGTGTCGTCGTTGTCGATGTAGTGGATGTTTGTGTTTGTGTTGTAGTAGTCGAAGTCGATGTGGAGTTCACCGTCTGCAAAGATGGTGATTGATCAAGTTGTGCAATAGGTTCATTCTTTACAATTGGTATAGCCACCTGTTGCTGTTGCTGCCTGTATCCCTTGCCACCCTTCTTTGTTATATAGCCTGGATGTTTGGGACTATTATTATTCGATGAAGGTGTAGATGATGAGGTTGGTGTAGTAGCTGTATTTGTTATGTATGATGATGCTGTTGATGATGGAGTCTTCTTCTTCTTCTTTGATTTAGATGATACATAAGGTGTGATGACTTCATCACTACCCTGCTGCTGTTGTTGTTGTTGTTGATCTATATTAACATTGTTGTTGTTGTTGTTGACAGTTATAACGTCATCACCATCGCTACCATCATTACTATCATTGATAAGATGATAGAATATATACTTGATCACTCTTATAAAATGGATGTATATATACAATGACACAAAGTACATTATGTATGTGTGTCTGTTGTTGTTGTTGTATTAAGATTATATTATATATATAAGTACTCGATCGATCAATCAATCAAAGTGAATACGCGATGACACACAAACAAGATAAATGAGGGAGTCAAAGTGAAGGTGATCTTGTCAAGGGGCACGTCCAAGAGGCACGTTTTTCATTTATGGGTTCACGTCACGCCACGTCAACTCGGTTAAGTGGAAGTGCGAGATGTCTCCTTGATATGCGCCAGTCTTTGACGCAGTGATGCAACAGTCGCTGAAAGGTCCTGCGTGCTCTCGCCTCCACCTACTCCTCCAGTGCCAGTACCAGCACCACCAATTCCAGCTCCACTAACAGTCGTCCTACGACCTCCAGTCATGTTGAGTGATGTTGATGATGATGTTGAAGTGGTTGTTGGTGCAGTTGGTAATGTCATCATCGTGTCGTTGTTTGTAGTCACATCTTGTCCACTGGCATACTTGTTTCGAAGTCTATTCAATGTGTTCAGTGCCATTGTGGCGGTAAGTTGATTGCTTTCATCGCCATATGACTCGCCCAGACTGTTCTCACGATGAGCCTTTCTCTGTATCTCGCGAAGTCGTTCCATGTAGTCCACCTCTGGTGGTTCGGGCACGTTGGAGCGTGCATGCTCCCTCTCAGTGGCAATCTTTGTCAGACTTCGATGTATGTATGCCTGGAAGGGACCTGTCGACCTGTTGATGTGTGGACTGACGTCGTAGTCTGGGAACTGTTTCTTGAAGTAATGGAGGTCGTAGAGACCTTCGGTGGTCTCATCGCGCGAGCCCACCTTGCGGAAGATCTTTATCGCCAGCTGTCTCTTCTCATCGTCATTGGCGGCAGAGTAGTTGCGCGGCTCCTTGTTGACGGTGGAGCGTTGCTCTTCCAGCGTGGACGTGCCACTCCTAGATGATATGTCACTCAGCGTAGGGATGGTGATGTTGTCCTGCTTCAAGATATCCGGTGTATTCAAGGGTGCCACACCCAACTGCGCAATGTCCAGGAACTCTGCACTGTCCCCAAGACTCTTGTGCGACTTGGGCTGAGGCTGGGCTTGTTGATCCTTCACAGCGACAAGCTTGTCAAAGGCCTGCTTGCCACCGAGTAGATTGGCCAACAGTGCAAAGAGGTTGGTGTGCTTGGAGGCTTGCTGTGCAGAGTTGATTCGCTTGCAGAATGCCACGACATCGGATTGATTGAGAGTGACGATGTCTTGTGTGAGTCTCTCGGCAGCCTTCTTGAATGTATCGTCGATCTCTCCATTCTGATATTGAAGCAGCGTGCCTACCTCTTGCAAGATGGCCGACACATCCATCTCGATTGGCGAGCCCGCTTGCGCTGCCTCCTTGAGTGGCTTGGAAGCGCGCTGCATGCATTTGAGCAGCAAGTCCTTGTACTTGGGCGACACCTGCTTCTGATTGGGCGCGCTCACCTTTGTCATCATCTGGAGCAACGCGCTCAACAGCGTCGTGTTGTTGCTGTTCTGGAGTGTACGCAACAGTACTTGGTTCAGTGCCTTGTTGATCCAGTTCAGGTCCTCCTGGTTCTGGCCGGCCGCTCCAGCGGTGTGACCCACCAGCAGACGGATCGACTCGGACAGCACGGTCTGCAGCGCCACCACCGAGGTACGCTTGGCTATGAACTCGTTCGAGTAGATCGTCACGATCGTGTGTATCAGATATTTACAGAGGCGGAAGATCGTCTGGTCGTTGGTGACCTGCGGGAAGATGCTCAGCAGGATGTTAGTGAGGTTGAGCAGATACTGCTCGCTAAAGTACAGGAACTTCTCGGCGAATGACTGTGAGTTGGCCAGATAGTTGGACAGATGCTTGAGGTACTCGACCACTGTGTCGAACGTCTCGTCTGTGTAGTTGGTGAGCACATTGAGGTACTCTTGTATCTTGAGCGTCTCCTCGTCGTCGGGAGGGCGTTGCAGTGCCTGCTGTGTCGACGGCACCTTTGAGCTTCCAGCTGTGCTTGGCGAGCTGACTGACGAGCTGCCAAACATGCCTTGGAGTGTCTGTCGATCGGCAGCCGATATGTTGCCAATGTGCTTCCAGATGTCGTCGCCAATGTGACTGTACAGTTGTGTGAGTGTGTTGGCCGCCGCTTGTTTGGCGGTGGGCTCGCGGTCTGCCAATGACTTGGCGACGATGGATATAACGCTCTTGATGTTGTTACCACACACTGCCGCGCCATGCTGATTGATCAGACTGCCCAGATCTGAGATGCATTCGAATCGCGTCCTCCAGTTGGAGGTCTTGGCGGTGACTTCCAACGTGTACTTGAACAGTGAGTTGGGCTGCGTCACCTCGGCCAGCTCCTTGTACGCCTGCTTGAGTGTCTGCTTGAAAGTCTCGTTGGTCGTGCCCATCTTCTCGGTGACGACCGGCAGTATGCAGCCGGCCTCGTAGTCGCTGATGAAGTACTCGACAGCCTTCATGCGCTGGGCGATCGTCTCGAGCAGCGACAGTGTCCTCTTGAGCGAAGTCAAGCCAACGTCAAACAGCTTGAATGAGCACCATCTAAACACGATGTCGAGGACACTGATGAGAAGGTCGATGTTTCCGTCCTCCTGGGCGACGCTAGCCAGCATGTCCACGACCTGTTGTTGATGCGACGAGTTGGCTGAGAACATCATGTTGGCAAACTCCTCGCTAAAGGTCGCGCCAACCTGTTCCTGGAGCTGCTCCTGTATCTCGTCTGTTTCCAAAAAGTGGAATGATTGAGTGGTGCTGCGTTGTCTGGTCGACTTGCCGTTGGGATCATTGATGATGAACTCGTCCGTTATCGAGGGGGACGAGGCGGCAGGCGGCTGCAGCGGTTGCGATGGCTGCAGTGGTTGCATCTTTTGTGGTGTTGTAGACGACGAGAATGAGCCACGTCGTGGTGTGACGGATGGTGATGGAGTTGGCGTTGTAATGCGGCTGCCAGTGGATGCTCGGGCCGGTGACTGAGCGCGGGCACTCAGCTTGGACGCGGCTGTGGCTGGGGCGGGAGCAGCAGCACCAGCGCCCTTCTTTCCATAGTATCTGTCAATGACCGCTTGTATAGCTGTCTGGTTCGTGGGTTTGACCTCACGCATCTCCTTCTTGATCACATCGCCTGGAACACTGGCACTGATGGCGGCCAGCAGCTGCTCCGAGTTGGATCGTATCTCAACGTTCTTGTCCTGCAGGCATGTGATGATTGGTTTGATAAGCTGTGGCAGATCAGTCTGAGTCTTGACCGCTGCGATATTGGACAGTATCCAAACGAGTCCTTCCTTGCGACTTGTGGCTGATTCCTGAGTGAGCAGCGTGGCGATGGGCGACACGAACATGTCGACGCCCAGCTCCTGTGACAAAAAGTTCATTGAGGCCAATGCAGCATCGCGCAGTTGCTTCTTGGAGTCGGCCAACAGCGAAACGATGCCGGGCAGTAATGTTCGGGTGGACTTCTCAATGGCGGGGCCAACCGAAGTGACCAACAGCGACACGAGTGTGAGCGATGTCGTGATCACCTTTTGGTTCTTGTCTGTGAGTGGGCCCTTGCCAATGCAGCTCATGAGTGTTCCAAGCTTGGGTTGTATCTTGAGGTTGGCATCGATCAGTATGCGCTCAATCTCCTCCAGGGCAGTCTGTCGCTGCTTCCAATCATTGTCCGAAAGATTGGCCAACAAGATGCTGTTGAACTTGGCGCCGACATCTGTGCGCGGCACCTCGCTTTCGACGCGTGGCTGACGCGATTGTGGTTGGGGTTGCATGTCCTTGACCTTGGCAAACTCCTTCTCGGTGGCGTCCAGTAGTTGTTTCTTGATGTCTGACAGGTAGTCGAGCAGGGCTGGTCCGATTGCGACGCGCAGCACACAGAGCACCTTGATGGCCGAGGTCTTGACGGGTGTGGACGACGACTCCATGCATCCCTTAATAAAGTCAAAGAGAGGTTTGAACAAGATCGAATTGACTCCAAACTCCTCGAGTGCCTGTGCCATCCACACAAGTGTCGACTCTGTGATCTTGGGGTTCTTGTTGCCTAGTGCGGCTGAGTACGCGAGTTGGAACACGGCCTCGGGTGCTAGAGCCTCGCACACCAGCATCAGTGTCTCTGTCGCCTTCTCCTTCAGCTTGACGTCGGTCAGCTTCTCCAACACTGCGCTGAGGAACAGTGACACTGTTGTCTTGGAGAATGATGTGTCTTGTGTTGCCAGCGCTCCAATGATGCCCAGGTGATTGTTGGTGACCTGGAAGTTCACCTCCTTCCATCCTGGTTTCTCTTGCATGTAGCTGATCAAAGGCTCGGACATGCCTGCTCTGGCGCCATTGCTCACGGCCTCATATATTGCCTCGGTGGCTTCGACTCTGTCCTTGAGGTTCTGGCTGTCCAGTCGCGAGAGTATATCTGATGGAATGACGTCTGACAACTTCTTGGCATACTCTTCCAATGATGAGATTGCTGGTGGTGGTGGCGCGGCAGCTCCAGTTGATGCTCGTGCTGCGGGCTTGCCGCCAGCTCCCTTCTTGCCATCCTCCTCCGCGGCCACGGGTGCCTCGACGGCGACCGGTGCAGGGGCTGTGGGCATCAAATCCTTGATCTTCTTCAGCTTGATGGCATCCAGTTGATTGAAGTATGGTGCCATGCCACGCTCACCAATGACGTTTGCCAGAACAGCAAATGTCTTGGCAGCACCATCACGAACTGCGCCATCAGTGTCGTTCAGGGTATCCATCAGCACCTTGGCCAGTTGCTTGGCAACCTTGACGACATCCTGTGGCTTCTTGGTTGTGGACATTGTCTTGTGCATGAAGTTGAGCACTTCGATCTTGACCTGTGCCACCTTGGAGCCCAGCATCGTGGTCAAATCCTCGACCATGTCAGGCAGTGACAGGGTTCTCGTGATGATCTGTTCCATTGTGACGTGTATCGCTGGCACCACCTGTGGCTTCTTCTCTTTGTAGCGCTCCATGATTGGCACGAGGAATTGCTTGACCTGTGATGTGTACTGTGTGCGAAGGCCCTCGCAAAGCAGACCGACAGCCACAATGGCCTTGGTGACAATCATGACGTTTGTGTCGGCCAGTGTCTTCTTGAGAGTTCGTGACAACTCATTAAAGTCGCCATTCTCAATCTTTGGAGATGACTGCAGTATCTCCACCAACTTGTCAATCTGTGCCTGTCGCTCCTGCCACTTCTTTGCCTCCATGCCCTCATAGAACTCCCCAGTGATCTTGTTCAATATATTTACAGCGTCGATCATTGAGTAAGGATCGATCTCCTCTACTTCTACAACTTCTGGTTCTGTTTGGCGTTAGGGAATGGATGGAGAGGGGAGGGCGGCGGCAGGGTAACTTACTTATTCCTTTGGCGGCCTGAGCTTGGGCCTTGGCAGCCTCACTCCTCATGTATTTGAGTGGGATGGCAGGGTCGTTTGGTAACTTCTCGAATGTCTCATTGAGTGCCTTGAGTTGAAGTGCTGTCAGACTGTCGAGCAGAGGTAACAACGCCTGCTTCATCCATCTATATATCTCGACAATGAGTGCCATCGCTTCATCTCTGATTGCCTTGTCTCGATGCTCGAACCATGGTTGGAACTGCTTCAATATCGACTTGACCGGTATGACCTTTGGTCCAAACGTCCTATCGTGAGCACGCGATTAGTGATTGATTGATTGATTGAATGAACGCGAACATACTTCAAAGCCTCTCTTAGACCGATCAATGAAGCTGTCATGACTTTGGGTGAGCTGTTGGTCGTGCCCTTGAGCAAACTGTCGACTACGGCCTCGGGTGAGTCTGCTTCGATTGTAGCGAGCAATACTTCTATGGTCTTGTCCTTGACCTTGGGTCTTGTCGATGAGAAACACTTCTCGACCAATATAGGCGCGAATGACGGGGCAAACACCTTGACCGTGTCGCAACGATCAATGAATGTTGCCAACGTCTCCAACACCTTCTCCTGTACCATCGGGTTGATATCAGCCAAGTACTTCTTGAAGTTGTGGCCTATGTCAATGCCAGTGTCAATGTCAGTGTCTTGCCTTCATCATCACAACACATGACACTACATACCATGATCATTGTATAGTGCACCAGTTGACTCGAATGAGTTCTTATACTTTGTTGTCAACTCTTCGAATCCACTCGAACGCCACTTCCAGTTCTTATGAGCGATACGGTCCTCAATTGAACCGGATGGTTGCTCTTCATCAGCCATCCTATTCCTTGTCTTTTAATCCTAACTAATCTATCTATCTATCTTAATCACAATTTGTTGTTGTTTGATGAATGATGCTGAAGTCTGGTGATATGGCTATATATACATATACAAATACAAATACAATGTGTAGTAGATTACCTTGGATTGTTCATTCGAGTCAAACTTCATTGAGACTTTGATGACAACAACAAAAAAGTGATGTTCGGGCGGGAAAATTATGATTTTTGGCTTGGACCTCACTGGAAGGAGATATCATCAAACAACAACAGTCTTCTAGAAGTGAGTGAGTTTGGGAGTCGACAGAGATCTTAGTGTCGTTGCCAAATCCACTGACTTGACATAAAAGATTAGGACTGACCTGAATTGAATGGATTCGAGTCAGATTCCTTTTCAACCAGTTCATAATAAAGTGAGAGGGAAATGACTAAACAATCATCTGACAATAGGTCCAACTTCCAAATGAATACCATGGTGTCAACTAAAACTGATATCAATGGACTTAATATCTCTTCAAACAAATACGAACTACATTACTCAACCTTCATTGAAAAGAGTGTAGAAAAAAAGGAGAAAAGTCATCAAAATTCTCATTTGATTCGTGTGTTTTGTATCAAGATTTGATGAGCTGTAGGCTGATCAAATATGTGAACTTGTGTATGTATTTTGGGCCATAAATATCCAATTTAATTAAAGTATTGACAACCACCAAACCAAAGGATACAGTCTGTGTCTTGAATGAATGAATGAAACTTTGATCATTGTTGTAAATACATGTGTATATATATTCAATCAATCAACCAATCAATCAATCAGTAAACATAATAGTAAAGTTAATAATAATAAGTTGTAATTTGAAATAATAATAAATATCATAAAGGAAGGTTGAGTTCAAAAGAAAGATAGAAATATGAAACTATTGGACAATATACTTTGTTTCGTCGATGGCACTGGAGCATCATTCAAGGACAAGAAGGTCATCCAGGACCTCATCATAGCCAACGGTGGTAAATCAACTACTTTGTTGAACCAAAAGGTATGCATCACCAATGGTGGAACTATCCCATCATCACTCATTCATCAACTAACTCAACTGAATCAATCAATCAAACAAAGGTATCATACTACATATGTTGTGCAAATGACTTGAACATGCTATCCAAGTCAAATGCATCACATGAACAGGAACAACCACAACAACAGGATGACAATGACAATGATGATGAAGATGAGGATGATGATGGTGGACAACAGGTGAGAGGTAGCATCTACTTGGACTCATTATCATACAATGTACGCAAGGCTATAAAGTTGAACATACCTATTATGACACGCCAGTTCATCGACGACTCGGTCTCGGCTGGCTTCTTGCTCTCCACCGACCAGTACCAACTGGTGTCGCTATACAACATCAAGGAGCATCACTACCAGTCCTACGACTTTGGCGCGCTGCTCGACGACGGCGCAAGCAGCAGCAAACAGACATCACTGGAGCAACGCAAGCGCGTGCCATACAAGCCGGCCGAGCCGGCCGCCGACGCGCCTCCATTCCCTGAGGATCGCTATCACATCGTCAAGTACAACGTGCTGCAGTGGACGCAGCAGAAGCGCTTCGTGTGTCTGGAGCTGCATGTGGGCGGCGGCGCCATGGGACTCATTCAGGTGGGCACTGACAGCGGAGCTCGCGAGGCTTCGTCTGGCGGCGACCAGGAGCAATCATTCTACCGTGTGTTCATCAATCATGGCTCAACAGACAACATCCCAGCGAGCACTCGCGAGTGGACTCCCGTGCCCAGCATTGAGGATGGACTCGTGTTGTACAATCAGCTCTTCCTGCAATACATGTCGCAGCCCTATCAGAAGTTCCTGATGACATCGATCAACATTGGCTCTGACCGCCTGCGTCAGCAGGCCACGTCGGTGGCCGCCACTCAGTCGTTGCTGCCCGACTCTGTACAGAAATTGGTCAAGCTGCTCTACGACGAGGCAATCACGACACTGGGCACCAAGCTGGGCGGCGCCCGCCAGGTCAACCTCACGCCCGAGGGCACGCTGCAGACCGGTGTGGGCACGATCGCTCTTCCCCAGCTCGAGAAGGCAGAGTTCAGTCTCTTCCAGATAGCCAACGCAGTGCGCGGCGACCTCGCGCAGATATCCAGCGCCACAGTGGTCGGCCTGTTCAAGGAGTTCTTCAGTGCACTGCCCCAGGCGCGCCCCGCCGGCAACTTCACCCACAACATCGAGCTGCTTCAGGACATGCAGGACCTGGTGCAGCTGATGAAGGATATTCTTAACGTCGGTGAGTCGCTCGGACTCTCCTCGCAGAGCAACAACGTGACAGACACACGCTATCGCGCCATGCGCTGTGACATCCGGCCAATGGACACCACGACCAAGCAGTACAAGAAGCTCACCGATCAGATCATGTCGTCTGCCAAGCATCTGATGACCATCAAGAACATCTACCAAGTGACGCGTCGCGAAGAAGAGAACCATGTCTTCCCACATCAAAACGTCAAGACACTCTACCATGGCAGTAGACCCAGCAACATCCTCGGTATCATGAGTCGTGGACTGCTCACACCCAAGTTGTCCACCACCCTAGGTGCATCCAGGCGTGATGTCGGTTACCTTGGATCAGGTATCTACTTTGGAACAAAGGCTGCAACAAGGTATGTTTGATTGATTGAGTGATTAAGTGAATGATTGAATGAGCACATACTGACCAACTACTCCTTAGCTTCCAATACTGTGATGGCCAAGCAACATCGACTTCAAGGTTCATGTTGGTGTGCCAGGTAGCACTTGGCGCAACAAAGAAGTATACTTCGCATCAGAGTCATTTGGTCGAGCCACCAAAGGGCTTTAACAGTGTACAGGGTGTGGCCAAAGACAACAACAATGGCTCAGTGTTCACAGATGATGAGATGGTCGTGTTCGATCCCAAGCAACAAGTGCTGCAATACCTGGTCGAGTTCCAGGCCATCGACAACAGCTTCAAGACTGCCAACAGCAACATCTCTTCGCTCAACATGCAGAGCAAACAGGATGCAGCTACATCATCATCAGTCATTGACACTGATGTCGTGCCAAGTGTCGTGCCAGCGTCCAACGCAAAGGATGAGAAAGAGGAGGTCAAGGAGTCGGGACTCATTGGTGGCGGCGTGGCCATCCCTCTTCAATCAGTGCACGTTCGCGCCAAGCTTCTGGATCTCGTTGGCGAGGTGGTACTCTACCAACACTACAAGAACGACTCGTCCAAGGCTATCGAGGCCAAGTACGTGTTCCCTCTGGATGAGATGGGCGCAGTCTGTGGCTTCGAAGCATACATAAATGGCAAGCACATCATTGGTGAGGTCAAGGAGAAGGAGCAAGCTCACCGCGAGTACAAACAGGCCATCTCCGAGGGCCATGGCGCCTACCTCATGGACGAGGAGAAGCCCGACGTGTTCACTGTGAGCGTTGGCAACCTTCCGCCACAGGCTGAGGTGCTCATCAAGATCACCTACATCACCGAGCTCTCGATTGACGGCCTGGACATCAGCTTTGTGCTGCCATCCTCAATCTCACCCGCCCAGCGCAGTCTGAGTGCGGCCCAGGTCACCCAAACCACCACTTCTACCGTCAAGGTGGACAGCGACGCCACCTCCAAGCTTTCGATCCAAGTCGGCGTGGAGATGCCTTACAACATCGTCAAGTTGGTGTCGCCATCTCATGAGATTCGCTGCAAGAAGACACACACCAAGGCCACCGTGGAGCTGGCCAGCGGCGAGTCCAGCCTTGGAAAGAACTTCCAATTGTTGGTCGGTCTGGAGGACCCGTACAGCCCGAGAATGTGGGTCGAGGTCGACGGCACAGGTCATCACGCATCAATGTTGGCATTCTATCCCAAGTTGGACATTGACGCGGACCGCGACACCCCCACCAACCTCACCTTCCTCGTTGATCTCTCGGCATCGATGCGTGGCGATCCCTTCCAGGACATGCTTCGTGCACTCCGTCTGGCAATCGCCAATCTCCGTGGACTAAATGTGCGCTTCAACATCGTGCAATTTGGTGACGTTTTCGACTGGCTGTTCGTGGACAACGTGGCACCAACCGAGGAGAACCTTCAACTGGCATGGAGCCACATCAATTCGCTCAACGCCAGCTATGGAGGCACTCAGCTGCAGCAGCCCCTCCAATCACTGCTGCTTCTGTCCGAACAGTGCAAGCCAAGCAACCCCAACAACATCTTGTTGTTCACCGATGGCAACGTGTCGAATGAACGCATGATCCAGCAGTTGGTCAAGCGCGCGTCCGCACACTGTCGTGTCTTCTGTTTTGGAATTGGAGAGAACGTCAGTCGCCACTTTGTCAAGTCGATCGCGCGTCTCGGCGCCGGCTTTGCCGAGTTTGTCACACCAAACAAGCGACCCAACCCCAAGAAGGTGATCGCCCAGCTGCAGAGGACTGTGGCGCCAGCCATGTCCAACGTGCGCGTGGTCTTTGACTCGACCGACAAGATCGTCCAGTCACCCAACACCATCACATCGATCTTCAAGAGCGAGCGCCAGGTCGTTTATGCATTCAGCGGCCTGTGTACACGTGCCACACTTTCTGCACAGGCTCCTGGTGGAGGCCTCATCAGCAACACGGTGCACACTCCCGAGATCGGTTTCCTTCGCGGCAACCTCATTCACAGATTGGCCGCGCGCTCAATGATCCGCGAGTACAACGACGGCACATATGCCGAGTCCAAGTTGCAGCACGACTTGATCAAGCTCAAGAAGAAGGAGGACGTCATCAAGCTCTCGATCCAATATAGCATCGTCACTCAGTTCACATCATTCGTGGCAATCGAGAAGCGTGAGAAGAACGAGGTCGTACGAAAGGATATCCCGCCCCTACAGGAGATCGTCGACCAGTTCGTGGTGGACGCGCTGCCCTACATCCCCTACGAAGATCGCTCGAGTGGCGACGGCGTCGATGCCGGCGACTCCACCCTAGTGTCGAAGCGTGAGCAACTCTTGCGCACCATGGAGTCGTACAAGTCTGGCGGCAACCACGCCGACTCTGTGCGCGTGCTCCATCAGATCGCCGACACTTATGGCGATTATAACCGCGATGAATTGAGACTGTTGTCCGAGACGGTCAGCTCGCTGACCACAAAGAACCAGGACGTGGCCTTTGGCCAAGGCTCTTCGACACCATCCAAGACCATGACACCCCTGGCCCTATCAAGAGCCAAGCGCGAGAAACAAAAGGCCATGGATGAGATCAAATACAACTCACTCTCACTTCTGCGTCTGGTCGAGGCAAGCTTGCCCAAGTGCGCAACCGAGGAACAAAAGGTGGCTATTCTAGACGAGCAGGCCAAGATCTACGCGACACTCGCTCGTTGCGAGTCCAACGACACTGCTAAGCAACATCTCCTCAGCCAGACCAAGGGCGCGCTCAAGGATGCCTTGGCAAGAGCCGAGAAGAGTCTTCCTCCCAACAGCCCAGTACGCTTGAAGCTTGCCTACAACGCAGCCCAGGCCTACAGAGACATGGGCGAGCACGACCTCGCGTCCAACCTGGCCAAGAACGCGTTTGACAATGCAATCTCAGAGTTGGACTGTCTCTCCGAGGACTCCTACACTGAGACCACTCTCTGGATGCAGTTGATCAGGGACGACCTGACCTTGGCCTCTGAGCAAATGGATCTCCAGCAACAGTACAAGACACCCACCAAGGGCAAGGTCACCGAGGTACACGCAGTCGATGACAAACCAGCCCAAGTGGTGGTCAATCGCTGGGCTGGACTAGGTGGTGTCTCGGTTGACAAGTTGATTGTGTCACCTGTTGCCAAGCCCCAGGAGAAGATCCTGGATGGTAGAAACTGGGCCGATATCTCCGACAGCAGCTCGGACGAGGATGATGGACATGATGCCACAGAGGTGTATCTCGGTCGCCAAGAAAGCGACTCTGATAAGAGATCACGCGATAGAGACAGGGAGAGGAGCAGAGGCTACAGCGAGCGAGGTGGAGACAGAGACAGAGTGTCCACAGGTAGCCAAGGCCTCAAGAACATGGGAGGCAGAGGCGGAGGCGGAGGCAGAGGAGGTGCCGCTGCAAGTGGATTTGGCAGAGGAGGAAACAGATCAGTGTCCAACTCTGGCGAGAACGATAGGAGTGTCTTGCCTCAACAGGTGCGATACATGGATACCCGCGATGAAGATATGAAGAAGGTCGTCAGCGAAAAGAGCGCCGTACCACTAATGTCAGGAATGCGATACATGTCAAAGCGCGCTGATGAGATGGAGAGAGCCCCAGCCAAGATGCAAGAGATGGAGAAGCAGATGAACGTACTAAAGTTAGAGAAGGAGCTTGAGTCGGCCAGGAAGTCACTTATGCCACTTAGGGCTCAGCAAGAGGTTGCCATGCCTCTTCCAGAGCCAATTGTCATGGCAAAGAGCCTGAACAGACTATCGTGGTCCTCCTCAGTCAGCACCTCATCTGAGGAGAGTATTGTCACACCCTATGAGGTCCAATCTTTGGACGACTCCATCCGATCATCCCGAGGCGAAAAGGCCGATATGAAGGAGAAGAAGTCAGTTCGTGGCAAGAAGATGGCCAAGGACACTCAAGATAGTTGGGGCTCCGGTGACTCGGATATGTCGTTCTTCTCGAGTCCCCAATCACCACCTCCACCATCATCAGGAAGCTATGCACCGCCACCACCCCCACCCAGCGCCCCAGTCGCCCCTCCAAAGCCATCCTCCGCCCCAACACTCGCAGGCAAGATGGCTCCGCCACCACCATGGACTACGACCCAGACCGCTGCGCCACCCATGCCAGGAGCACCTCGCCGCTCCGCGGCTGGACCACCACCCCCGGTTGCATTTGGTCAATCATCGAGCTTTGGTGCTCCACAACCACAGGCAGCCGCAGCACCGATGGCTTCGTTTGGCGCTCTCAAGAAGGTAGCGTCGCCACCAACCAATGCATTTGGATTTGATGGCACTAGTGGTGCAGGTGCCTCTCCCACCAACAGCTTGTTCTCTTCATTCTTTGGCGGTGCCCCTACGACGACCCCAACAATCGCTCCTACCACCGTATCCACGTCCACCTCAGCATCATTGTTTGGAAGCACCTCCTCTGGAAAATCATTCTCATTTGGAGGAATGCCACAACAACAGCAACAGCAGCAACAGCAACAGCAGACGTTTGGCTCCGCGGTGTTCAATGCTCCTCCACCACCTCCTCCTGCAGCCCACCAGGCACTCGAGAAGTTTGAGCGAGAGGCCACACCATTGTCCTCGTCATCTTCAAGCATGTCTTCCCTATTCAGCTTTGCAAAGGAGGGTTTGGCCAAGGTGTCCAACTCACTCCTGAGTAAGGGAGGCAAGGCTGCTGAAGCCCCCCTCAGCAAGACAAGCTCCAACAACAACAACAACAACAACAACAACATTGTTGACAATGGATCAACCTTGAATGACAGCCTGGGTGAGCTGAAGGAGTACAGTAGAAGGAGGATGGCTAGGCCCGCTACTGTCACCCCTGTTGCCAAACCAGCACCACCTCCACCCAAGGAGGAACCCAAGCAAGACCTTCTCCAATCTTTACTCAGTCGCAGATCAGTAGTATATGAGGAAGATGAGGAAGAGGGTGAGGACTGGGGCGACAATGACGATGAGGACTGGGACGCACCAGCACAGAGTTACGACGACGGTATCGCCAACGAGATGGCCAGGTTCAAGAAGGAAATCAGCACCCAGAATGATGAATTGAATATGCTGTTGTGTGACCTTACACCTGCAGCTGCTGCGGCAGCCCCCATGGAGAGGGCACCATTAAAACTGGTAACCAGGAGCATCGAGCGAAGCGAAGAGGACATGGGATTCGATCTCTTTGGCGGCGATTATGACGCCCCCGCGCCAGTCATGGCCGCTGCAGCTCCCAAGCAACTGGCACCGGCCAAGGATTACTCTGCAAAGAAATCGTCATTTTCAGCCAAGATGGAAGAGAAGGAGGAATCTGATGGCGATGACATGGGATTCGGTTTATTTGACAGTGACGAGCGCATCATGACCGAGAGCGTGAAGGCCAAGCCAATGCCAGCCCCAAAGCCATCTCCCAAGCGACCAACATCATCATTGGTTCGCGGTGAGCTCATGCAAGAACTGAGAGCTCCAGAGGCCTCAGCAGGCGAGTCCGTTCGTTCTGCCTTTGCCTACAAGTGGTCAATTGATCAGAAGCCACCAGCAGACTCATCGGACGGAAAGAAGAAGAGCAAGCGCAAGTCCGTGAGCATGTCCAAAGAGTTGGCACCCGAGGCAAGCTACCCAGCAAAGCCAATCGTGGATGGCATCAGAAGCATACTTGGCGCGAGAAAGAGTTTCAATGCTGATGATGTTGCAGTGTTGGCATTGCTTGGTGTTCAAAGCGACTCGCACGTGGTCAACTGCAAGAGCTTCATGAAGACAACATTGATTCTGGAGTTGGTACTCCTGTTCCTACGTCTGCTTCTACAGCCAGCCACAGACTCTGGTGAGTTGCTCATTCTCTTGGAGAAATACAACTCGATCCGCCCCTCGATGAACAAGGCCAACCCTGCCTACCAATGTCTGCTCAGAGGATCAGCGAGCCATCTTATCAAGAAGCTCTAAAGAGATATTAAATATTGTTTGTTTATATATAATCATACGTTTACTATACTTTGTAGTCACTTTGGTATGTACCATCATCTGGCAATGTACTTTGGTACTTTGTTTGGTACTCTGGCAATGTACATCAATCAATCAACCTATCAAAATAATTAAATTATATTAAATAATATATATTAAATAATGATTCATTACTATGTTTCGTCGTTGGTTGTTGTTGGATTGATTGTGACAAGAGTAAAGTCCTCTGGCAATGTTTTGATTGTGACATAGTCCAATGCAGTTGGCAGTAAATTGATGTTGAATGAATCCATTCTGAATCTGGTCCTCTGTGATTGAACAGTCTCTTTGGTCACTGGAGACACCGACTCGAATGTATGATACTGTCTCTTGAGGAACACTCCATACTTGTACCAATCGGGCTCATCATCATAGTTGATGCCCTTTGTCAAAAGCATCTCCTTCATCTGACCCGAACCCTTGCCCTGAGTCATCTTGTGAGGAAAGTGAGCCTGCGCCAGTCCAGACACAGAGTTCCTCTTGCAATCGAATACGCTTCTCCAAATCAAGTTGTTCTAAAAGCATTGATAAATGATGTGAATGTCAATATGATTGATTGAATGATTGAGTTGATTGAGTGACTTACAAGAATCTCTTGATTGCTTGGCAACACAAAGATCCTGGCATCAAAGTGTGGAAGACTGGTGGTGACATGTTGGATGAGCTCAGCATCAGTGGCTGTATCATAGTGTTGTGCGGCCAGCGACTTGTAGAAAGAGGTGGACGCGGCACCAGCAGAGAGAGTGATCAACTTTTGAACTTTGCCGCTGAATGGCACGAGTGTCTTGCCCTGGGTGACCTTGATGCGCTCTTGATACTCCTCGTCAGAGAGTGCTGGGAAACACATTGTGATCTCATCACTGAATGAATAGATCAGTGATGGGTTGAACTCCTTCATGAGCACATTGGCAGCCTCGACCATTGCATTGTGCACACGGATGTCCCAGGGCTTAACAAACTTGCGTGTGAACTTGCTGAATCCATGGCCATCGAGTCTAATGACGAATGGCACATTGCCCTCAATGTGCAAAGTGTTCATCGATGTCTCATACATCTTCATCCTGTCGCCCAAGTTCTCGCAACTTGACTTGTTCAGAGGTGTTGTTGTGTTTGTTGTCATTGTAGCTGTTGTTGCTGTAGCTGTAGCTGTAGCTGTATCTGTATCTGTTGTTGTTGCTGTATTGGTATCACTCATATTTGATATTAATATGTTTGATTGTTTATACAAATAATAATTAGTTTAATGATCATATTGGTACTAATAACTTTGATATTTATGTTTGACGATCGGTCGTCTCTTTGGTATTGAGTTCGCGATCTAAACAGTTTGTTTCTCACAAAGAACACGAAAGTGTTTGAGAAAACTATCCGATTTATCTGAGATTGAACTAAAAAAGTTGATCAGCTTATTGATCAATCATCCATTATTTTCAAAGTATTGCGATGGATAACGTTTGATTGATTAGGAAATGTGTTAAATTCAATTTGAAGTTCATAAACTTGGAGCTGATCAGGGAAACTAAGCAATTTTCTTCATTTGATTGCCCTCATGAAGAGACACACTCAATCAATCCACTGCTGACTCTAGAGTCTTGCAAATGATTCCGAATCATAGTGTAAGATCATAATACTACTACTAACATATAAATATATATAAATTAAAGATGATGAATGTAATAATACTTTTAATTTCTTTGGTAGCTATACAATCATTGATTGTTAATGCCCAATTGGTACACAATTGTCAATACAATGATACCAAAGGAAATAGTTATGATTTCTCCCATATTAGTTTGTATGTTAACATACTTCAAAGTGTACAAAGACATTTCCTAACACTCACTGACTTCCAAACATTCAACCATCATAGGGGTCAATTCGATTCATACATTGTTCCAAATACTAAATACACCGTAAGTTGATTCATTCATTCTTTTGTTTCAAACTAATAATAACATCCATCTCAAACTAAAACATTAGTATTATGTCAATCCATGTGGAGTTTCTGCAGTTTGCACTGGTTTTTTCTCAAAGACCACTCCTCCCCAAGCTGTATGTCAAGAGGACAATCTATCAACAGACTTGGATTTCACTCTAGGTGATTTAAATACTGGATATTGGAAGGCTTTAGGTAAGTATTAATATTCTTATTTAATTTAATTGATTAATTTCAAAGTTCAATTATTAATATTAATATTAATAATGTTTCCAAGATGATACTACTCAACAAGGTGCTTCAGTAGTTTATACAAGTTCATCATCCAATACTATTTATTGTCCATATTCATATAGAACTACAACTATCAACTTTTATTGTTATGATAGTGAAACTACTTTGTACAGTGGAGGTGAGACATCCAACAAATGTAACTACCAGTTCTCTTTCAGAAGTCGTGATGCTTGTCCCATCAAAAAGTCAAACAATTCATCAGCCAACTCCATGGTTGCTACACTTGGAATGACCATTGCCCTTATCATTATCGGCATAGCACTCATTTAAATGAGTGATTGAGGGAGGCTGGAATGATCCCACCCCACGCTCCCCACCAACATGTCAGAAGAATAAAGTCAGCTCATTAGTTTGTGTCAACAAGGATATACTCTAGTGCCATCATCATCGAATATCTCTAGAGTGGCAAGAGTGTTGTTCCATTGATTGTCATTTTGTGATTGATCGTGATGATGTTCGAGCATTTTGATGTAGTCCTCGCGATGAAGTGTCCATACAATGACATCATGTTCGGATGGATGTGCTGATGGTTGAAAGCCCAGTCGTTTGGGTATCCTCTGACTGAGTTGATTGTTACGCTCACTGTGTATCTCCAGTGTCTTCAAACGCAGGTGATCAAAGCCAACACAGACCAATGCACGTACGGCCTCAGTACACAAGCCTCGATTGAGATGATCAACATGCATCCAGTATCCAATCTCCATTGCTTCATTCTTTGGTTCGATTCTTGGGTGTAGACCTGTTGATCCAACAAACACTTCTTGATGTTGCTGTTGCCCATCAGTGAGTTGAGGCGGTCGAAGGAAGATGCCATAAGGGTAGTCAAGTCCAGAATGAAACTGTTCACTGAACATTGATATTAACATCTGTTTCATCTCCTCGTTGTCTAAATGTTGATCATCTTTGGCCCATGGCATCCAAGGCAGCAGATGATCTCTGCTCTCCTTTATCGCCAACATCAACTGACGTGCATCATCCTTTTGAGGATCATAACAACGCAAGATCAATCTATCTGTAACTATTTTAAATGCTTTGTTATTATTATTATTCATTGTGTGTATTTGTATATATATATTAATATCTGTTGGTCACGTGACTTGTGATTTGGCTCACACACACCTCCAATCACATCTTCTCATACCCCATTTCATTCAATCACTTTCGTTTGCAACATAAATAAATATCTTTCCCAAAATGATGAATCTAATCTTGAGAAAGATTAATGACTCATTATCATTACAACATTGTTATTTTAATGTTATGGATAGATAATATCAATGGATATAGAGTTCTTCAAAATAGTAAGTATCATTGGACTATCCCACCCTACTCACCAATCAATCAAACAATCACTAATATCATTCCCCGATCAACCAAAGCACGCTGGTGAGGTTGTTGAACGAAAGGTGTATGCTAGTAAACATACTCAGGATGGTCCTTTGACAGGTCATTTCTTTATAACCAACTTCCGTCTGGCATTCATTGCCAACACTGATGAGGATAGACAATTGGATGAGAATGTAGACCTACCTTTGGCAAGAATATCAAAGTTGGACAAGTCAACATTATCATCAATCACTACAACAAAGAGGAATAAGAACAGACATTGTCTATTTGTACAAGTAAGATATATAGGATATTGGTTGAGATTCTACTTCACATCTGATCAACTACTCGAAGAGATTATGTCCAAATGTCGATGTTCAGTCTGGCCACAGTTGTCCAATGAGTCGGCTTTCGCGTTTGCCAACAAAGATACATACCCCAACACCAACATCAACAAGTCAGGATGGAGACTATACGATGTGATCCAAGAGTATAGGAGACAAGGAATCAACAATCAACCCAACACCAAATGGTCGATCACATATGCCAATGCAGACTATAGGTTGTGTGATTCTTATCCCAAGATATTGGTTATTCCAACTGGTAGTCAACCATTATTGTCCAAGGCGGCCGCATCTAGAACCAATAGAAGACTGCCAGTACTGTCATGGCGACATCCAACCAAGGGTTCAGTGTTGGTCCGCTCGGCCAAGCTCACCAGCACATCCAACAAGACATGTCGAATGGTAGATGAGAAGTTAATGGATATGATAGTAATGGCCTCGGGCAACACAAGCACATCGATCACTTTGATTGACGCTCGTCCAAACGAGAACGCAGGAGGTGTGGAGGCCCCTGGTATGACCAATCACTTGGGACAACTTCGCACAAGTTACAAGAAGTTGTATGAATGTCTATTGTTGAATGGGTCATCATCATACAATGGAATGAACAACAACATCATAGACATCAGTAGCGATCCATGGAGCAGTGGACATAATGATGGAAGTAGTGACTTCCACTTTTACTCGAGACTGGAGGACTCTAGATGGTTGGATCATCTCAGCATGTTGATTCAAAGTGCTGTCAATGTGGCCAAGATGCTGGATTATGGATCCTCGGTGATGGTATATTGTGCGGACGGATCCGATCAAACTTGTCAACTATGCTCACTGGCCATGCTATTGATTGATCCATACTATCGTACATTGGAAGGATTTGCCATACTGATAGAGAAGGAATGGCTATCATTTGGTCATCAGTTCTGGAAACGTACACATGGTTCCAACAATGATGAACGTGCACCTTTGTTCCCTCACTTCATTGATTGTGTATGGCAGATTATCAATCAATATCCAAGTCGATTCGAATTCAATCAACGTCTATTGGTCGATCTCCTGGACGCACTTCATAGCAATCAGTTTGGAACATTCCTGTATGATTCGGAGAAGGAGCGATTGAACAAAGCTGCCAACTCAACTCCATCATTCTGGTCACATGTTGAGCAACATCGATCAACATATAGTAATCCATTGTATAGTCTATTGGACAATGAAGGTGGCGATGCTCCACTCTCACCCAAGGGTGACCTCAAGTTCTTGAGGTTGTTCGAGGCATATCATATGCGATGGACTTGGACAACAGACCATAATGATGGTGATAGTGAGATGTTAATCACAAACTTTGTAAGAGAAAAAGATGATCAGATTACAAGATTGGAGCAAGAGAGGGACTTGATGACTGAGGAAAGGTCAAAGTCATGTCAAAGAGTGGCCAACACAATAGCAGCACAACAAAGTGACCAGGACACGATTGAGATGCTTCGACAACAACTGGACATTGTAACGCAATCATGTAACAATCAGAAGAAGGAGATGAACAAACTCATACACGAGTGTGAAGACCTATCGCGAACCTTGGAGATCAACAATATATCAACGACTGAGCAAGTCAGGACCATTGGTATCGATTGTTTGGAACAAACAGTCAGGGACATGGAATTGGAGAATATTCAACTTGCTCACGACAATGATGTTGTTGAGATCTCGATTGATCAGTTAAAGATGAGAATGTTAGAAGTCGATCAATCATTGGACGACAATGTGAACAGACTAGCAAGCAACAAGGAGAGACTAAGGCATAGTGAGAGAAAGGCCAATGAATCACAACAGAGTCTGGATCAAAACTTAAAGTTGGAGAAAACAATCAGAGAGCAGACAGAGTACTATCGCAATCAGGTTAGAGGTGACTGTCACCAAGATAATCTGGAAGGAGATGTAGTGGCGCCAGTGTCCAGTACAATCAATAACTTATTGGACTTCATCATTGACAAGGTGAACAGCAAGTTGAGACCAAACATCAACAACATTGATATTGTAGGGCGATCAACATCTTCAGACACACCAATCTTTAAATCAAGAGGGTTCGCATTTGGAGTCAGAGACAATGTTCAAGTGTCATCTGGAACAACAACATCATCGTCAAAATCCAAGAAGAGGAAGAAGAAGAAGAAGAAGAAGAAGTTGGATGAGACAACAACACCAACATCAACTACACATCATGATGAGAAGGAGAGTGTATTGGTATCAATAACCAATATATATTTACAATGTAGTGGATGTGCGGCMAGAGATACCAACCAATGCAACAGTGTACAGGAGGAAGAAATGACAAGGTTATACATTGTGAACGATGTGAACGTGACTACCTACTACTTCAACAACAAGATCGAAAGTGTATAGTGTGCGACACAGTCATGGATGAACTATCATATGTACGAGTAGTTGGAGGTCATCTCTATTGTCCACTATGCATTGGAAAGATTGTCCGAGGTATTGATGATCTTGGATTTTGAAATAATAATATATTCATTTATTTATTTATTCATTTATATTCCAATCATTTGTTCTGATCCTGGAGAAATCATTAAGTACTGTTTCTTGCTTCCCAAGACTGAACTTTGTATATTGAAAGAAGACTTATATAAGATTGATAACCAACCTGGTCAGATTTAGAGGTGAGGAAATCCTTCTAGAAGTCATCATCACCGGAAAGTCTTGTATCATCTCCAATTCTTACTCTAATATTGGAATGGAGATGGCAGTCCTCATTATTATTATTTATTTAAATGAAATATTTGTAAACCTATAGTGATGGGATGGTATCTTATCCATTATAAATGAATTAAAGAATTGCCTCTTTCTCATTCGTAATACATTCAAATTAATGAATCCTCCAAAGATGTGTTTTGGAATTGATGTTGTGAGCATTAATATACATGTACTTGAAATCCTTCTAATTGAGAATGTAAAAGATCCTCGATGGTTTGAAATGACCAAGTTGAATGATGATTGACAAATACTACCTCCTTGTCGGATAAACGATCGTAATAAATGCTTTTGATGATAGATTGTGATATCCAACTGAGGTGGAGGTGTTCCTCGGATGTTTTGATAATGTCCACTTCCAACTTTGAGATTTCTCAATGAACTTGGAAGGGCGTCCAACCATAGATCATGTTGCTCATCATTGTTAAATCGTCGATGTATTCTGTTTGGACTACCAAAATCATTACTCGTACCGTCTTCGTACCATTCATAGAGTTTATCTTTTCTGTGTAGTGATCCAAGTTTCAAACTAACAAGTGTATCTGGTAGTGTTCCACGCCCTAATATTTGATTGAAGCAGTAACCTAGTTGAAGATGTGTCAATGACAATGGTAGTATAGACACGCCATCTTCATAATAATCAAGTAGAGATTGATTGAAATGTACACCAAACTTGAGGAATTGAACCGATGAAGGAATGGTCCCAAATTCGAGAGGTTGATCGAATTCACACCCAAATTGAAGGTGAATCAATGATGAGGGAAGATCACCAGGGTAAATAGATTGATTGAATTCCACACCAAACACCAAAAGTCTAACAGACCTTGGAATAGCACCATCATTCAAAGTTTGATTGAAGATATGTCCAAATGCCAAATGAGTGACTGAAGGAGGGATTGATCCATGCACCAGAGGCCCATTGAACAAGTCGCCAAAGGTTAGGTGAGTGATTGAATGAGGGAGAATACCATCATCCAAAGGACTCAGAATGTTGTTGAGGTAAAGTTGTCTAACAGACCTTGGGATGGAACCTGGCTCCAAATATATGGGTGTAGGGCCATCTGCTCTTCTATCCCAATGATACTTATGAATACAACCATAATCCAAGTGTGTCAATGATTCGGATTCGATACCGGGCCAGAGTGTCAATCCATCATATAGGCGAAGGTAGGTCAATGTAGATGGAACAGACCATATCTCCAGGTTTTCTTTCTCCTTATTGCCTAGGGATAGCCAAGTGAGTGTGCGTGGGATGTCCAGTGTTTCGAGAACAGACGCCTTGATGTATTTAATGTTTAGATGCGTCAATGATTGAGGCAAGGCAACATGTTGGTGGAGTGTTGAATCACAAGTGAGATATCTCAACGTTGATGGCAATGAGCCTTCAGAAAGATGTTGATGAAAGGTACGACCAAATGTAAAGTCTGTCACTGATGCAGGTATGGCACCCGGTGGAAGAGGTTGATTGAACCCACTGCCTCCATATATCAGTTTAGTCACTGAGGATGGAATGATTGATCCTCCTCCTGAGGGATCAATCAGTGATTGATTGAAACCTCCCAAATCCAATGTGATCACAGATGATGGTATGACACCAGGTTGAAGTGATATAAGGAAATTCCTTCCAAAGGTGAGTGATGTCACTGACGATGGAATGACACCTGGATTAAATGATTGTTCGACACGGTTCCTAGAACTTTCGTAGAAATAACTTAAGTTGGTCACCGACATAGGAATCAATCCAGGTTGTTCAAATATAGACTTATTGTCATTATTATTATAATTATTATTATCACTATTATTATTAATACTAATTGTAAGTTGTGTAATGTAGGATGGTATTGAAATTTGTTCGTTGTTTGTAATAATACTCAAATGATTGATATAATGATGGTTTTGAGTTGTTAACAATACTTGTCTAATGTTAAAGTATCGTTTAGATACTAATGTAAGAGATATCAAATCGGGAGTAGATAGATATTCCAATATCTGTTTATATATATATATATTAACTGTATCCATCTTTAACAGTGTTTATTTGTTTCCCTCAAACATAAATTTGTGGTCCCACCCTTCAATTCTTTCATTCATTAATTATTTCATTCATTCGTTCGTTAATTTCAAACAGATACAACAACAGTTTTAGGTTCAACAAATGAATAGGTAAATATATTGATGTGACTTAAGGCAAATACCTCAAATAACTCGCTTCACTTTATTCGTACTTTAAAACTAACCCAGGATAGTAAGTTTTGGTATCATGGACCCAGGCCAATGACATATCTCATTCTGGAAGAACCAAAAAACCAACAACAACCTAAAAAACAGCCGTGTCAGTCTTTGTTGACAACAGACATGGGTGAGCTCACCGATCAAGTATCAATGACCAGGATTGGATTATCATCTTGATTTCCTTTTTTGGTCAATAAATCAGGTCTTGTGTTATTAGAATGATTTAACAACAACAACAACACACCACATTTGTTCTTATTCGAATGAATGCGGAAATGGTGTGTTGTTTCATTGACCTACCTACCTCTAGAGGTTACTCTTCACTATCTTTGTTCAACATTGTCTGTCCTCTAATGAGGTGTGTGTAGTGGTGTTTGAACCAACCATTATTCTAATGACATGTTCAAACAAATATATAGTTTGTTATTATCATAATAGTAAAAAAGGTTACAGATATAGAGACATCAATAGAGTATCAACATCATAATAATCCAACATCAGATATCAACATCATCCATCCATCAGATAGGCTAGTAAGCCCACACATCTTGTTTATTCAAGTTGTTTAACATTACCCTGTGCGCCTTTGTGAGTGTAGGTGCATGCTCATCTAGCCATTCATTGGTTATTTGTTTGTTGTTGTTGTTCAAGTGTGCGCTTTGATATGTCTTGTTAGGAAGGGCTACAGCTGTGAATAGACATCGTTTGTTTGTGTGTGTGTGTGTGCGTGTGTGAGAGGACACAGTCAACCATTAATCCTTTTAGTAGTCAGTCCGAAGAATAAGCTTAAGAACTAGTCAAGATAGAGGACTGACACCTCTCTATCATTAATCTTACATCAGTCAGCCGCCAACAACACCTCATCAACATCATCAGTCACTCTTTCATTCTTTATTTCATTCATTGTCACTTCATTATTCAACTACAACATATATATATATATATATATAAATATCTATCTCTATCAATCAATCAATCAATCAATTAATCACTAAATATCAATCTTATTATTTATTATGGAAGCATTGGGAATGAGTAAACTACCAACTGGAAACAAAGTTATTATTGTTTACCAAGCACTTCCACTTTCATATCAAAAGAATAACGATGAATATGGTTAGTATCTCATCTACTCATACTTATAACTCATTACTCAATCAAATACTAACTATACCCTTACATCAACAACAGTATGGTCATCAGTCGACAGGAACATCAATTGTCTAGTATCAAGTATCAAGTCATTAAAACAGAACAATCGTAAGTCGTACTTGTACTTGTTGTTCATCACTCACTCGCTCACTCACTCACTCATTCATTCAATCAATCATATTAAAAAGATATCGAGGACTACTGCTGGGTAGGATGTCCAACTACAAGCAGATATACAGGTCTGCTCAACCTTGAGGAGGATGAAGATGTATGCAATCAGATCAAGAACAATAGTATGGAACCGGTGATAGTATCTGAGAAGCTGTATGAGGATGCTTGCACCAAGTTCACGAACCAATTCCTCAAGCCAATGTTCCATTACGACATCTCAGACAGCACGTTCCCCGACGGCCACTGGAAGGCCTACAAACAGTTCAACCAAGAGTTTGCCAACAAGATAGCAGAGATATATAAGCCTGGCGACATTGTCTGGATACATGGCACCGAGTTGATGCTGGTGCCTAGATATTTGCGCATGATGATACCGAACCAACCATTGATCGGCTTCTTCTTCTACTGCCCCTTCCCCGCCGTCGAGATCTTTAGGTGTCTGGCCAAGCGCAGAAAGATCCTCCAGGGTATACTTGGCGCCGACCTCGTCTCATTCCAATCCTACTCCTATCTACGATACTTTACTCAGTCCTGCACCAGGATACTCGGCGTCCATGGTGGCTTTGACGGTGTCAAGTACAGAGACGAGAAGTCCGGTCGCGAGCACTTGACCAAAGTGTCCGTCTGTGCACAAGGTATCGATCCAAACGAAACACAGAGAGCAATGAACAGCTCTGAAGTACAGAAGAGGATAGTGGACCTCAAGGAGAGATTCAAGGACAAGCGTATATTACTCTCATGGTAAGTTGATTGATTGATCAGGTACCTCCATCAAGTTGACTGACTCTATCTCTTTATTTAAACCAACTAGGGACAGAAGCGATATAAACGAAGCGACCAAGTTGAAGCTGCTGGCCTTTGAGAGATTCTTTAGGGAGAATCCATCATTGATTGGAACTGTTGTGTTCTTTGTGATCAGTGAGCCAGGCGGCCAGAGCAAGGTGTCCTCAGAGGTGAACGAGACTGTTGCGAGGATCAATGGCGAGTTCAGCAAGGTCGGATTTATCCCCGTCGAGTACATCACCAGATATCTCGACTTTGAGGAGAAGTGTGCGCTCTTCTCCATCGCCGATGTATTTATATCAACACCACTCCGACTAGGCATGAACCTCGACCCACATGTATACGTATCATGTCATCGCGACAATAACCCTGGCATCCTCATCCTCAGTGAGTTTGACGGTGCCGCACGATGCTTTGGCGGAGCGATCTCGATCAATCCGTGGAGCAAATCACAACTCTCAAACTCCATATCAGAGGCACTGAAACTATCAAAGGAGGAGATTAGAACAAAGCACGACTACAATCTCAACTATGTACTTGTAAACACATGTGCCGTATGGGGCGAGGCGATACTCAATGACATCATCGCATGCAAGGAGCTTCATTGTGAAATAGACCCTTCTCTTTTGGACATCAAGACACTCGAACGATCATACAGATCATCCAACAAGAGAGTAAGTTTGTTCGTTTGGTGGCATCTCCTGACTTTGACTTACTAACTCAATCAACCATTTAATCTGATCAATCAGTTCCTTGTGTTTGACTATGATGGACTATTCTCAAACTCAAGTGTACACACAAATACAAAGCTGTCAAACAAACTATCAGTTGCACTCAAACGATTGGCCAAAGATGCAAGGAACACCATCTATATCGTCACCAGCAGGAATGCCGAGACCCTAGACGTATTAGAGGATATTCCAGTCGGTTTGGGAGCAGAGCATGGCAACTTCCTAAAGTCATCCAGTGGCATACCTCAAGACGGCTGGAAGAACATCTCTGCAGGTATAGACCTCTCATGGATTGAGATGGTGCAGCCAATCCTCGAGCACTTCACCGAGAGGATACCTGGCTCCCTACTGGACATCCGCAAGGCCACGATATCCTGGAGCTACATCGATAGCAACCTGGAATACGCAGGTGAGCAGGCCCTAGAGCTGCTCACCCAGCTGGTGGACGTCTCGTCCAAGGTACCCATTGAGATCATCCACACCAACAGAACCATTGAGATCAGACCCAGTGGCATGAGCAGCGGAACGCTCTTGAAGTCGATCGTCAACGAGGACAAAGAGATCGACTTCCTCCTCTGTCTCGGCAATGGCTCCACCGACCCCAAGCTCTACCAGTTGCTGGACAACGAGAACGACAACCACTTTGCTGTGTCCATTGGCAAGGTAGAGGCATACACCCGTTACTACGTCAACAGTCCCCATCAAGTGCTTCGTATACTCAACCACATCACATCGCCAGTCAAGCAGTCCACAGGAAACCCGATACCATTTCTCCAGAGTCTACAAGTGGCCACTCATTGATTGAGTGTGGAGATGTGATTGATTGATTGATCGACCGACCGACAGACCTCCATTCGAATGGGGTGGACACCAGCCAACATCCTCCGACATTGTCCAACCATCCAATCATATTCATTAGATAATTAATTTCATTTGATGGTAATATGATAACAATCCATCGATACCCAACCATTGTGTTCGTACTTTACTTTACTTCTTGTTAGTTTATTTGATTGAAACATCGATAAGATCGTCGTCATCCATGTCCTCATCCTCTGGCGTGCTCTTTAGATTGAGCGCCAAACCATCAAACTTCAATGTGATCTTCTTGCCAGCGGGAATAGTCACCTTCTTCTGGAATCCAGATAGTAACTTCTCAAACGTATCACCCTGTTGTTGATGTTAGTGATTGGACCAGTGCATCAGGGTCGATCGAATACATACCTTGCCAATCTTAAACTTGTGTGATGTTCCTTCATGTCGCAGAATGAGTAACAGCTTGTTGGTGTCATCAGCGTTCGACTCTTGATAGGGCGTGTCTGACATGGGGAGTGTCGCCGAGGAGGTGAGGTCGAGCTCTGCTGGTACCTCCACCTCTTTGATCGTCACATCGATTGTGTCGCCATCGAAAAGGTCCAACTCCATTGGTGTCTTGCTGTGTTCCAGCGCGAATCCATACATCTTCAACTGTATGTTCTCATAATCCAAATGCTTTGCTTTACAATACTTCTCAACAAGTTCCTTGATCGGTGAGTTCTAATGAGTGTCGTGTCGTGTTAGTTGATGTTGTCGCGCGACTCACAGCTTAGTTTGTGCACCTACGTTGTTGATGCTCATCGTTTGAGTTGGCTCACCAACGAGCTTTAGGTGTAGGTCAATGGGCTTGGAGATCTCTGCCCGTGCTTGTTGCTCTTGGTGCACCATCTGTGCCTGTTGTTGCAGTTGTTGCAGCTGTAGCAGTTGCTGTGATGATGTGTTTTGTCGTTGCTTCTTGGATGAGTGTTTGGATCGTGAAGGCGTGGGGATGTAAGGGTCGTCTATTTGGTATACGTTCGAGATGGATGATGAAGATGATGAAAGGCCCAGTGCCGACATCGATGGCATTGATGACAGGGATGATGTTATTGAAGGAGTCACAATGAGACAATCATCATCATCATCCAAATTTATGAACTGTCCATTGTTATTACTATTACTATTGTTATTGTTGTTGTTTATGTCGTTGCTTGATGTGGCGATCGTTGATTGATTGGATGTATGAATATCGGTTGATTGTTGATCAAATGTACAAGAATCCATTATTGGTGATGATGAATCCTCCAGTGATTCACTGGTATATTGTTGTTGTGATTGTGATTGTGACTGCTGTGACTGTGATTGCTGTGATTGTGATTGTGACGCTTGAGAGAAGGCGGGATGGTCAAAGTCAATGTCGTCGTAGTCTTCAGATGAATGTTTCCTCTTGCTACCACTGCTGCTGGCCCTCTCTGAGGCTGTCCTGCGTGGTCTACCTCTGCCACGTTTATTCTTTGTCTCCTTTACAAAGCCTCTAACAAGCTGTTCTGCCTCTGCCTCTGCCTCCAACTCCATCTCCAACATTTTATCCACATCGGCTTCACTCAATGCGCCTCTGTAATGGAATACAGGTATATAATCATCCTTCTTTTCCTCGCTCATTCCTTTTATCTATCTACTAAACATCCACTCTACTCTACTCTATGTATATGTATGTATATGTATATGTATGTGTTTGTATTTGTATTTGTTTGTGTGCGTCGCTTTGTTCATTCACTCAATTGTTTGTGTTCCATCAAACATTCAAATCATTTGAAGTCGCGAACCCGTTAAGCTCACGCCCACGCGTAACGGAATGATGAGTTCAACTTGATTATGGGACAAGAAGACGAGGAAGGTGAATGATGGGTGTCGTCGGCGACAGTTGTATTGTATTGTTTGTGTCGTTCGGTGCGAATATAATATATATCATGTTGCATATTGTGTATATATGCAACAATATGTATGATTACAGTGATTGATTGATTGAATGAGTTGATTGCGGATAGTGATTGATTGATTAATTATGCACCAGTTGGAGTACTGCTAGTGCTCTTGTTGTCATCATCATCTACAGCGTGTAGACGAATAAAGTTATCTTTACCAGAACGGTTCTCGATTCTGATTGGCTTGATCATTACTGTGGCCATTGTGAACCAGAAGATCGTCATGGAGAAGACGACCGTGTAGGCGATCTGGTAGCTGTACTTGACATGCAATGAATCAATCACCATACCTGTAATGAATGGCGCCAGTACCGATGGGATTACAAAGGCCTGATGCCAGATGCCCATGTCCTTGGCCACGTCGGCGTTCTCTGGCAGCACGTCCAGTGCCAGCGCCCAGTCCACGGCTTGGTAGGCGCCGTAGCCCATGCCAAAGAAGGCGCCCATCACAAGAGTGATCGTGAGGCTTGGTCGGAAGCTGAGCAACATGAAGCCAAGTGTGCAGAGGGCCATCGCAGCGCTTGAGATGTACACGCATACCTTGCGGCCAAAGCGATCAGAGAGTGGGCCGGCCACAATACTTGTGGGCACACTGGTGACGACAATGATGCACAGGAGCACGGTGGTGTAGAACGTGGCGTTCTCCACCTTGATGACATCCTCGAGGTAGTACTGGAAGAACTGCAAGATTGAATAGATGCCCATCTCTTGGAAGAATCTTGTGATGATCACCCAGTAGAAGTTGCGATACTGGGATGAGGGCAGGTAGAACGACATGAAGAATCGTTTGAGTGTGAACTTGGGCACTTGGCCCGTCAATCGCTTCTCTGGCACGCCAATCAATGTGGGCACGGTGAACAACACCAGCACCACGACCAGGAAGCTGTAGACCTGCGCAAAGGGTGGCTCGGCAGGTGTCTCGCCATCATTCTTTGTGTTCCAGAACATGATGCCAGTGCCAGACAGGCCCAGCAGGTTGCCAATAGCCATCGAAAATGCAAGGTATCCACTTGCCTTGCCGTATTGTTCCTTGGGGACGACGTCGGGCGTCAGGCCCGTGTAGGGACCGTCAGCCAGCTGGCCTCCAAGCTGCACGCCAACAGTACATAACATGAACCAATATATATGCTTGCCAGGGAAGATCGATAGAATGAGGAATCCACAACAAATGATCACTCCAAAGAATATAAATATTCTACGTCTTCCAAACCGACTCTTACAATGATCAGACAGAGCGCCAGCCAATGGCGCCATCACAATCGATATTGCCGCTCCATAAATAGGTAACTGACCCAAATATCTCTCTTTCTCCTCATCTCCAACCATGTACTATATGATTGATTGATTGAGTGAGTGATCAGTCGGTATGGAATCATTCCAGCACCCCTCCCCTCCTCGCCCAACCTTCATGAGATACATACCGCAATTTGTTTGGGATAGAGCACTGATGTCAATGAACTGTTGATGGCAGCATGCCCCAGCCAGAAGGATGATAGACATAGATAGAATAGAACTGATCTCCACTTGCCTGTTGGCACTGATTTGGTATTATCCTTGACTTCATCCTGTGTCTGTTGCTCCACCAGATAACTCTTCTCATTCATAAACTTAACCTCCTTGACCTCACCATTCCTTCTTGTACTTCCTGTTGGACTACTCCTATTACTTCCAGGAGTCTTTGGCGATGATACCAATGGTTCTTTATCTTTTTTGTTTGATTGATTGATTGAATGGGGTCTGTCAGTCATCATACTTGGGGATGGATGCTGGATGCACGCTTACCTTTTGATTGATCATCATAGTTACTACTTGACAATATTGAAGAATGTATTGAACTGTCGGTACTTTGATTCAAGTCCTCCTCATGCATTAACAATGAATCTTGGTCACGATCCAACTTCTTTTCAAAGTCTTCGATACCAATCATCTTTTATATATATCTATTTATCTATTATATGTGTGTATAACAAGAAGATGATGGAAGTATGACCCTTTTAATAGTTAGTTTAGTAGAATAGTGTAGGGTAGGGTAGGTAGTGTAGGGTAAGGGTAAGGGTAAGTTTGGTGAATGGAATAGACATATTGACTGACAGGTTTGACTATGAACTTTCTTTAGCTATCTTTGAATGAATGAATGCCGGACGACGTCGTCTTGGGGGTGATTAGGGGTTCCCACCATTTGATTCAAGTTCATAGTATCCAAACACACTCACAAACACGCAACGGTTCATCACACCAACATACCCTACCCCCACCCACCCGATTCTTTACAGTCGCTGACTTTGCAACATTCCAAATAGGATTCTTCCCTCTCTGTCTCTTTTTTGGCTAAGGTCCACAACCGATGCGTGGTCGAATCAAATCAACAACTTACTTACTAAAAAGTTCACCTCACAATAGGGCCTTACAACTTTAACCAATTTATTGGTGATCATCTTGGGAAGCCGAGTCTAGAATACTCTACATCTCATTCTCTTTCCAACTTGTTAATATATGTTTGTAATAATTATTACAATGCATTGATGATTGAATGAATAAATCTAGAATAGAATATGTGTGTGTCTATCGTCAACAACAATGGATTGATCCAAAAGGTTCGGACAACTTCACAGTTGTTCAAGTGTTGACTTCTGATGATCACGAACTACTAATTTGTACAGATTTGCGTCAATTTGAACTTTCGACTGACACTTTGGATAGGTGTCTTTGAGACCCTAAATCGGCAACAAAACAACGAGATTGGGTTCAGAAATATCGGTGGGCCCCAATCAAAGTTAGTCAAGCAAACGCAAGATGTGATTGATTGATTCGATCAAGCCCAGTACTCTACGACCCACCACCGAAGGAGAGAGTGTTTAGCAAAGCAAAAGTTGATAGAGAAATTGAAACAAGGTGTCATCAACAACAAAGGTTGATTGACTATGGGGCCTAGTGAGATGAGAATGAGTGTGTTGTTGATGTTGATGTTATTGGTGTTATTGTTGATGATGTAGTTATTGTGGATATACTCATTCATTAGTTGGACAAACAATAACATAATCATACAGATACAGATACAGATACAGATATATATGATTGATTGATTGATTTGATTGATTGATTCAAGAATGCTATCACCTGGATACCCGGATGAGGGCGAAGAGGACGATGATGTCGAACTCAACACATTTAGAAGGAATAACAATAACAACAACTTCAATCACAACCAACAATATAACTATAACAACACTGTAAAGAACAACAACAATGGCAGTGGCAATATCACTGGCAATGGCACTGGCAATGGGAGTGGCAATGGGAGTGGCAATGGCAATGGCTATGGCAATAGTGGAGTAATACTTGGTAATAATAATAATAATAATACATCACGCAATAATAGTGGCGAACTTAGTGACAGGAGTGATAGAAGTCCTCTACTGCGGAGATCTGGATCAACTTCATCTTCAGGAGAGTTTGGTCCAACTAGATTCGGTTACAATGCTCACTACGCCACCTTTATCGCAGCCCAACAACAACAACAACAACAATATATGTATGGTAGTGACACTAGACAACTGACAATGTTTGAGAAGGTGTCGTATGGAGTGGGCGAGGGTGGCCTGGCCATCTATCAGGTGATCAAAGGCTTCTTCCTCAATGAGTTCCTGCTCAATGTGGCCAAAGTCAATCCAATGTACACAGCACTGCTCCTATTCTCGGCCAAGGCGGTCGACGCCTTCTCCGACCTCTTTGTCGGATCGCTCAGCGACAAGACCGTGTCGCGATGGGGACGTCGTCGCGTCTGGATCCTCTTTGGTGCGCTGCCACTGGCCATCTTCTATACTGCACTCTGGTACGTGCCACCAGTGTCCCAGATCAACAAAGTGCTCTACTACCAGTTTGTCGTCATCCTACTAAGCATAGCATACTCATGCGTGACCATACCATACTCTGCGATGAATGCCGAGATCACTGAAGACTATGACGAAAGGACATCATTGGCAGGAGTATGTTGTCCATGCTCTCCATCATTCATTCATTCAATCAATCATACTAACTACCAAACCAATCATTCAATCAATCAATCAATCAATCAATCAATCAATCAATCAATCAATCAATCAATCAGATGCGAATGATATCCATGATGATTGGAGGCATACTGTCATCGTTCATTCACTCGTTATTGACATCAGTGTTCACGACGACAATCGATGGAGTAAAGGTCACAAACTATGAGAAAGGATATCTACTCAGTGGTGGAGTATGGGGATTCATAATGATGATACCTCTGGCCATCACATTCTTTGGTACACGCAACATCCCCACAGCCACGCTCAAGGAGTCACGTGTACCCTTCTTCAAAGGCCTCATGCTCATGCTAAACAATCGTGCCTTCATCACAGTCACGCTACTATACTTCTTTTGCCAGGTATGCCCTTGTAGACTCCTGGGACCCTGGCCAGCCCTGCCACTCACTCACTCACTCGATCGATCACTAACTCCCTCGCTCGTTCGCTCAATCAATCAATTAATAATCTAGATCGCAGTACAGTTTGTACAGAATAACTTATTGTTGTACTGCATCTACGTGGCCGACTGCGAGGAGGACTTCCCTTATATCTTGGCCACACTGCAGATATCGGTGTCACTGTTCATCATTGTTTGGGGCAAGATATCAGTGATAATTGGCAAGAAGTCGGTGTACTACCTCGGCTCGATATTCCTGCTCATCACCTTTGGCAGTCTCTACTTTGTGCCCGCTGGCAACCGAGCCATGCTATGGGGCATCGCTGCATTTGGTGGCATTGGCGTGTCGGTGGCCTTTCTCATCCCCATGTCGATGTTGCCCGATGTCATTGAGTTGGACGAGCTGCAGACTGGAGACAGACGAGAGGGCATATTCTACTCGCTCTTCCTCTTCTTCCAGAAGCTTGGCCTGTCGATTGGCCTGGCCGTGTCCAACTTTGTGTTGGAGGCGGCACACTACCAGGCGCCAGTGGGTGTCGCCGGTGACAGTGCCGAGATCATCGACAACAACAAGGAGAATCCACAAGTTGTCCTGGCACTGCGCATACTCGTCAGTGTTGTGCCATCAGTCATCATTCTCTTCAGTCTGGTTGCAGTCTTCTTCTATCCCATCACCAAGGCATTGCACAACGAAGCCCGCGAAATCCTGAAACGCAAGCGAGAAGGTGCAACAGTCATTGTGGAGTCATAATCCATCATCGTCAATCACTCATACATGTGTACAGTTTCCGATCATTGTAATTAACATTCAACCATGTCTCATCATCATCCAGAGGCATGGACACTCAATCATAGACTTCACTTCACCTTTATTTATATCTTTGACTTGGATGCTCTGGCATACTTGCCCATGCTCCGCAAGATGCCCTCGATGATCAGGTCACCCTCCTCTTCGGTGATGGTGCCGCGTTGGTATGACATGCTGATGGAGTATCGGTCCAGTGTGTTGACACCGGCCATCGTGAAGAGTAGTGTGCCACAGCTTACGATGGCAGTCTGTGTGCTGGCGCAGTCCATGAGCGCCCAATCACCACCTTCGGGCACGTTGAATATGCCCGTGTCGCTAATGGTGAAGCTGGTGGCCTGGCCCATCGGATAGTTCTCAATGTTCTTGGTCCAGTAGTTGAGCAGACGATTGGGGAAGTCCTCGGCGATGTACTCCATCATGTTGGCGTATCTTAGTGATTCCTTGGCGTTGCTGCGCAGGTAGTTCTTGTACTTGTTGCTCTCGTCCCAAAAGTTGTGAATGTCGTCAAGGGCACGTGGCTCGATCACTGTGTCTCGCTTGATGGCGCCCAAGAATATGCCTGGGGCGTTATTGTCCAACTTGCACATCCTTCGCAGGTTGATGACGGTGGCGGTGCGCAACTTTATCGGTGCCTCACTGCCAAACGAGTTCGACAGTGATGCCAGGATACATGTGTACAGGCCTGCGTGCGGCGTCACCTTGTTCATTCGACAGGCTTCCATAAAGTCCATTGTGTCGCTCATTGGCATGCTAAAGATCCTTATGCGGCTATTGCACTTCTCCCATGACTGTGGCTTGCTGCCAGCCCAGAATGAGTTGAACTGTCTCTTGATGGCCGCGGGTACATAGTGGAGGTGGGCGAGGATACCCAGCCTCTTGATCGAGCCGATCCTCGTTGGGTTCTTCTCCTCGAGCGTGTCCATGATCTTGAAGTCCTTGTTCTCGGAGAGAGCGATGATGTTTGATTCGGGAATGTCGATTGGATGCGAGTCTGATTGATTAGCGTAGTAGACATAGTCTTCGACGATGTATTTGAATGCCAATCCATCGCCTGCCAGGTGATCCAATGTGATGTCAACCATTATCTCGTGGGGACGGTCACGATGCCAGACTCCACGAACACGCACCATTGGTGTAGTCTCGTCAGGGACGATCAGTTGATGGCATGCCTCCTCAATCAGTCTCTCGCGGTCCTTTGGCTCCCAGAATCGATCTTCGACCACGCTCACCACTTTACTGAGGTCAAACTCGCGGAAACGAGTATAGCGAGGTAGTTGTGAATGTAGGTGGCTGACACCAATCTGAAGGAATGAGTTGCTATCGATAAGACGGTAGGTGGCATAACATAATTTGTTATATATATATTCGGGCGATAGTTTGATGTGTGGCGCCACCTTGATCACTTGATTGCTGCCAGGATGACAATATATTCCAGCCAAATACTTTGACAGTTGATACTTCTCCGAGTGTCCCATAGGTCTCAACACTTCATATGCCCTTCCAGTCTTGCTGGAAACATTATTTTCTTGGATTATAGACGTAGACGTCATATTATTTAATTGATTGAATGTTTGATTGAATTGATTGAATTGATTGATTGATTATTTGTAGGATAGAAAGAGAGAGTGAATGAATGAGCGAGAGAGATAGTGATTGATCACATGTGGACAGCAAGTACTTGACTTTGGCCAATCCAGGATCTTGGCAATGTCAATCAATCAATCAATCTATTAATAATCTGACTCTCTCTATCAGATATCATATTCGTGTGTGTGATTGATCACTTGTCACTTAATGATCACATCACACTACCACTCCACTCCACTCACTCGTCAGAATGATTGATTGATTGATTGATGGGTGTGGTGTGTGTAAGTTTGTAGATGGTTGATGATTGGTAGAGATAGAGATGGAGTTGATGTAATGTCATGACATATCAGATATCTCCTGATGTCGTGTCGGTCCGTTCATACCATACCATACCATACAATGATGAATGCATTATTTACATTATAATGTCATCACTGACTTGTGGCGCATCGCTGGTATACATATAAACAACAGAACTTAATCACTTATCCGGACGTTGTTTGTTTAGGACTTATCTTTCTACTTTTCCTTTATTATGATTAGGAATGTAGGGTAGTACGATTGTACTTGCTCGTTGTTGAGGAGGGAAGAAAGGAAGGAAGGTCTATATGAATGAATGAGTGAATGAACTTGGAAACTTCAAACTAGTTCTTTTGAGAAGTGAAGTGGTATTCAGTGAACTTGAATGAATGGATAACGAGACAAATACAATTGAACAACGACAACGACAACAACAACGACAACAACAAATACATTTGAATCAACATCAACAACTATACAGAGAGAGAAAGATAGAGAAACGTCAATTGAGAGAAGCAGCAACCAAACAAAAGAGACATGAACAAGACCACAACATTATAACTTCGAACACACAACAACTACAACAACAACAACGAGAGCAACAGGATAATACTATCATGATACAATACGATGATCGTCATGGTGGTGATGATGATACAATCAATCACAATAACACTCACAATGACAACGACAATGACAATGATAATGGCAATGAAGTAGAAGAAGAGGAAGAAGGTGATCAACTTGCACCAGAGAACACAATCACATTGTCATCAGAGGAAGAGTTGAGACGGAGACTGAAACAACGCTCATCAGGTCTGTTGAGTTTGGACAATCTGCAATATGAACGTACAGCTATTGATACACTCAAGACTAGCATTGTACAGACGACTGTGGACGTCACCAACAACAGCCTAGACATGTTCAATCTCGAGTTGGACCTATCGGCCAACAAGCATCGCATGAAGCTGCTGGCCACCAAGCTCAACGAGCTCAAGCAACAGATGGACGACTACGAGTCTGACATTGAAGAGTTGACGGCAAAGAGTGCCAATCAACAGGCGACACACATCAGCCTTCAGATGAAGACCAAGATACTGAGGAAGAGTTATCAACACAAGGTTGACCTACTCAATGAGAAGAAGCGAATGATTGAGGAGGCTGAACTGGCTACACTGGACCCGCGAATCAGCAAAGTGCTAGAGATGATCAGTCTGCGGCGCGCCGTCAATCACTCACACATGTCTCAGGAAGAGGTACACTACATTGCACAGCCGGCACCCTCAAGAATGCCCTCGCACATTGAGCTCCTCACACCAGATCGCGATCAATCATTCGTTGGAGTTGGAATTGGAGTTGGAGTAGGAGCTGCACCACAATCATCATCAACTTCGTCGTCATCATCGACATCAGCACCAAATGGAAGATATCAATCACCCTTAGCATGTCTTAGATCATATCGTCACTCGCCCAACTATTCTCTTCTCTCTCCATTCACTCATTCATCCAGTACATACTCAACCAAACTCAATCCCAGACGCAAGCTATGCATGTACGAACTCGACGGAGTGTGTCGAGATCCCAATTGCAAGTTCCTTCATGTCAGGGACTTCAAGATGACGAGTAAGTTCGCGAGACTCTCAATCACGGCCCCTACCCGCGTATGCTAACCTTTGGCCACACAAACACATTAGACAAAGAGATCATTGAGGACTTGTTGACTTACTCAAACTCGAATTTGGACAAGCAACAGAAGGATGTGATATTGACGACTTTGAATGAGGATGAATCCCAATCAACATTGACCAAGGCAGCAAAACTGGCCGAATCAATTGTCGGTCTTGATCATGTGATGCTCGAGCTCAACCCATCTCGCGAGAGGGCTATCAAGGATCGAAACATGCAATATCTGAACGAAATGGAAGAGGCTGCGACAAAGAGGCAGAATAGGTTGTTTGCTTCGATCACTGCTTTGACGAGACCCAAGACGACACGACCTGCGAAGCGTCCCCGCGAGGAGGACACAACTAGTGTCGCACCCACCGTCACTGATGAATCAGAGGACTTCCTTCCATTGCTTGCGGATGATGTTGCGGAGCCAAGTACAACTGGACCATCAGCAGACGACAGTGTGGACACTGATGGAGAGGATGAAGATGTCGCGGCCCTGTCGATCAATCAAGAAGTGGACTCAGTGCGACTAAGTGGAGCGAGTGGAGTATCAACAGCCGACTACATGAAGGACCCAACAAGTGTTGCCAAATGCATTGGATACCTCTGTACATTGGTATGTCTGGCTCGCCAGCATCTTGACCACACTCTTGACTTACACCTTCAAACGCTTCACACGACAGACAACATACAATGTCCTGGCTAATGAATCATGCCGAGAGGAGGTACTGATTAGACTTAGACGCATAGTTGAGAACAACTCAGCATCGCTAATGTACTGGAAGATATATATTGAGGTGTACTCGAGGAAGTATACAAACTCATCCAAAGAGATTGAAGCACTGATTGATGAGGCTGCCGAAGCCACTGGCGACACTATTCTTTTGCCCCTTATGAAGCTACGACTTCCCAGCTCACTGCCTCACAAGCTGTCCATATGCACACATACACTCACTAGACTGATGGAGATGGACACACTCTCAGACTCTAGCGAGTCGACCACAACTCCCGCGATGTCTGAAGAGCGATCATTCTGGACACTCGAACTCCTCCTCATATACCTAAGATACGTCTGCGAGGCAGGCTGGCGCGACTTCCTTCTCTTGGAGTTCTTGGCGTTCTACAACTTGGAGAGCGCTGCTGCGCTGTTTGTTCGCTCAGACTACGACTCTTTCAAACACCTCGATCCACTCCTCTCTGTGCCACACAAAGCATCGACCATCAGATCAATCCTCGCACCACAAGAACAGCAATCGCTCAAGCTAGTGTTCATCACACTCTTACTCTTTAACGTGATACCCGATACAACAGACCTATATATAAATGGTGCCAACAACAATAGCGTGGAGCCAAAGCAGTTCACATTCAACTGGGATGCATACTTTGGCAACAATGCATACCTACAACACAGTCCACAGAACGTGGATGCAATCAAGATCATAATGGAGACACTGGATACAACATCGACAGGCAACAACTCTTTCACACTCAATCATCTCTCATTCCTATCACGTGTACAACCACTACGTGATATAGCGTCCTACACAAACACACTATTGGAGTCTCAACCAAACAACATTGATGCATGGCTATTCTTGGCAGATTGCTATTGCACCAAGGGTGGCAAGCACAAGGACATCATCATCCTACTTCAAGAGGCTTTACGATTGAATGCCAGCTCATTCAAGTTGATACATTACTACACACTCTATCTCATTGGCCATCATCAACACATTGAAGCCATCAAAGAAGTGGATCATTTCGTCAATGCTCTCTATTCAATCAATCAGAAACAAACAACATTGATCAACGACGAACGCATTGATACCACGTCCCTACTCAACATACTACTTGGAAGAAGTTCAAACATCAATCAATTTCTGTCTGTTGCTGCAGTGTCCATGACTCGTATGTATCAAACACATGTGCATCTATCCAGTTGATACATATTCATACTCACTCAAACATATACCAGATTCCCAAATAGACGACAATGAGTTGGTAAACTGTTGGTTGACATTCTCCCTCTATGCCTACCTCAAGAGGGATTACAAAGAGGTGGTCTCAATCCTAAAGGATGCAACCAATAGTCATCTGAACTCAATGGAGGATAAGAAACAGATTTGGAAAGAGTATGTATCATGGTCCATAAACTCACTCATTCATTCTCTCACACTCTCCCGTTCAATCAATCAGACTTCTACATGTTATAACAAACTCATCAACTGTATCTAATGAGATTGATAACCTTGTGGATCAATTCTTCCAAGAGGTACCAACAGAGTTCTATTATCCATTTGGACAGTACAACTCCATGGTCCCTAGCGATGCACCCCAAGTCCTACACTCTGCACTCAAACCCCCATGTCTAAAGGTAGTTATCTCGCCCCAATCCTGGAATCATACCCTCATGCCTTCCTGACACCCATCATTCATTCAATCAATCAATCAATCATTAGGACTACTCTGCACACAATCAGGTATTTGATCTTTATCGAAACATTAAGAACAATGCGATACCATTGCTAAAGAAGTGTGTATACCTCTTCCCAGACAATGATCATATGTTCTCAATGTATGTCAAGATGCTCTCGGGTAACTCATTCGACACGGCAGTCAAGAGCATTTTGAAGACCATCACACCCAAGCGAGCCATCTCCTTGGCCATCTGGAAGCTTTCACTTCAAGCTGCCATCGATTCAAATTTACCCGAGCAACAGATAACCAAACTGTACAGGAATGTATTAAGTTACTATCCTTACAATCAAGACCTCTGGATGGAGTACCTCTCATTCGAAGAGAAGACCAATCCGGCCCGCTTTGGCAAGACTCTCAAAGCCAACATCGACAAGGCAGAGCTATTTGGCGTCAATGTCTACGCGTTGTCTGTGGCTGATCGGCCAGAACAGTGAGACCAATCAATCAATCAACCGAATACATTTACACTCTTTCCTGGATAGTTTGTCCAGGAATGCACGCACATTTGCCATGGCGCCATCTTTATATAATTGATCAAGTTGGGATTGATGACCTGGATGACCTCCTTGATGATGATGTGGATGATGCCAATGACGATGCTGAAGATGATGATGATGACAAGGAAGACGACAATGCCTTGACGTGCTGTTGCTGATCTTTTATACTCCTATCAATGAATGGTCGCCAGTAGACTTGATCATAGTACATGGAAGTCTTGGTGCTGCATATACCTTGGAAAAGCGCCCTTCTCCAAGTGCGACACACCATACTACATGACAACAATGATTGCAAGTCTCCAAGATTACGGAATATTGGTTCCATTGTTGATGCGCACATACAGTAGTGTATATCTACCATTGTTACCTTTGATGAGATTGATCGTAATGCCATATATAGTGCTTGGAGTACGCCACGTGAGCTTGGTCTTCGCATTGGATCAGTGTGCCAACAAATATTGATTAGTTTGGCGATTGATGATGGTACTGAATTTGGTATCTTTGGTCTTCCACCCTTTGAGACCAATTCCAATCGCTCAAAATCAGCCATACTAGCAAATGGCAACTGTCTTGTGAACTATGATCGATTGAATGGATGATTAGTGATCAATGTACTTGAGTGGATGGTGGTCTGTGGACTTACAAGCTCGTAGAGTACAAATCCAAAAGAGTAGATGTCTGCTGATTGAGTGTAGCTCTCGCCATTGATGACTTCTTGTGCCATGTATATAGGTGTGCCAACAACGGTCATCTTGAGCTTGTGTGGCGCTACTTTGGTCGTGCCAAAGTCAATCAGTTTGACGCTGAAATCATCTTTGACCAAGAAGTTATCAGGTTTGATATCCCTGTGTATGAGGAACTTGGAGTGCAAGAAGTCCAGTGATTGTGCCGCCTCGATTGACATCCTGACCAACAACTCGATGGGAGGTGGCTGGCGATGCTCCTCGACATATGACTCGAGCGCGGCAACAATGCTACCGCGACTGCAGTGCTCGGTGACGATGAATGGGTCCTTGCCAGTGCTGTTGCCAGTGTACGCGCCAAAGAATCGGATGACGCTTGGATGTTGTGATATACAGATGGTTGCCACCTCGCGATGGAACAGCTCCCAGTCGAATCCCAATCCATCTGTGGGCAATTGCTTGACGGCAACCTCTCGACCCTCAAACACGCCTCGATACACCGTGCACAACATTGACTTATACAGCTGGCGAGTAAATGTGACGCTATCCAACAACAACTCTCTATGCAATTTGCATGATGTCCTGGATGAGTACTCCACGATCAATTCCAACCAACCTGGATGGCCCTCAATCAAAGTTCGATATGGCTCTAAAGTATGATTCGTTGATTGATTGAGTGAGTGATTGGAATGGTTCCTGTGATTGATCATGCAATTACCTCGCTTGAAACATGTGGATAGAAGCTCCATGACTCGATCACTTGCGCCCAGCTCTTCGCTATCCAGCTTGCCCCTTAGCAAGTCCCTGTCAGCGTACAGGTTGACCATGACTTCAATAAGTTTAGAGTTGAAATATACAGGTAGTAGTCGCTCTAATTGTGGTCACTATATTGTTAGTATCCATCCATCAATACATCCAAACATGGATGTGTCAAGGTACCGTACATACCATGTCCATTGATCAATTGTAAGAATATGGCGAATAACTTCAATGACAATGCACTTATACTACTGATGGTTCGCTTGTCATCATTGGAAGATGATGATGATGAGATGATGATGGAGTTGGATGATGTGGATAGTGTTGATGGTATAGCCTTGAGTGTCTGGAGATAGAATGTATACAGGTTGCATAATGTGTTCAATGACTCGATGTTTAGAAAGTGTACAATGTTCTGTGGCGTGAATACCAGATGATACAATATTGACAACATGATGAATTGGCCAGTGTCATTGCGTGATGCCAGACTAAAGTGCAATGACGATGAGATCACCATGCTCTTGAGGTCTGGCAATGCCAACGTGAATGTTTGATTGAGTACTTGTCCATGGCTATGATTGCGACTATGACTAGTTTGGCTGTGACTGTGGTTGTGGCTGTGCGAGTGGTTGTGGCTATGATCAGGTGATGAGTGCGTTGGAACACTCCTTGGCGAATCACTTTGAAGAGAGAGAATATAAGCAAATGTTTGATCATTGACTACCAGATTACTTATTGATTGAATGTGGAATGGTTCCACGGAAGAATAAGTTAGTTCCTGGAACCACTGGACTGATCAATCACAACCAAACATACTTGAACAATGCATAGTACTTCCGCTTGTAGATATGCTTTCCGTTGTCCTCTTGAGCAAACATCTGTATCCATGTCTTTATATGCTCGAATGAATAGTCTCCATTCTCCACCATCTGTTCTCCATACTTTTCAAATGTATCTAAATGTGTGGAGTGGATAATGATCAGTCGTCTGGGTGGACATGGACCATGGTCCAACTCACATTCACATACATTTGCTTGTGAACAACTTCAATAATGATGATGACTTGTTGTGTTGTTTATCCTTGCCATCTACTCCACGACATATCAGTGTACTGTTGTTGAGTTGTGGTATACATCTAGTATGTGCCAACTTGTTACACTCTATGGGATTGATTGATTGATTGATGTATGTTTGGTTAAAATGATGTGTTGTGATGTGATGTGATGATGGAGCATGCATACTTGTACATATGGAGAACTTGTCTGGCAATGAGAGACCTGTTACATTGTCGGCTATACAGATGAAGCACTCGGGTGGTTTGCCCAAGTTGTTTGGATTGGTTTGGAACTTGTGATGTGGACTAACATCAGGAGTGTTCGCATCAGATACCATCGTCGACGAGCGTTGTTGTTGTTGTTGTTTATTGATACTCATCTCGATGTATGCCAACAATTACAACAAACCTACAAGACGTATATGATATGTGACTCTTTGATTTATGACTTTATTGAATGAAGAATGAGAGAATGAATCAATGGTAGGGGTGGGACGAACCGGAATACTGACCATAGTCAGATGATCACTACTTTGGGGCTTGCCTGACATAATGACAGGCCACACACAATCAAGGTGGAATAATTGATTGATTGGTGATGTGTTGTGTAGGGGTGTTGGCCCAAAACAACAAAGTGATCAACGGCCTGAAGCTTCCAAAAATGGGTTGGAATATCTGTTCATTTAGAGTTGATTATGCTAAAGAGATTATGACATCGATAGAAAAAGTCATCATACAACTAATCTTATGTTTATGGTCCACATGTTGATTATACTTCCGATTTCATTCATCCATTTTCAATTATCTCTCTCTCTCTATCTATCGCTAGGTCATTCATTCTATCGAAACAAACAAAAGTATGAAAGAAAGAAACTGGAAGTGAGATGTGATCGAACAAACTGTTCACCATTCATTTGGTAACCACATAAACTTTGTTACTTTTCATCTTGCAGCCCAAACCCAATCAGATAATAACTTAGCCTAAATTATTTATTTCTTATTATTTATTGTACCATTCACTCACTCACACACTAGCAACTCCTCACACTACTGATATGTAGTAGTTAGACATACATACTTAGTGTATTATTATTGAAGGACAACTGTGAAGTCTTGTTGACCAATACCTAGAACTTGTTGTTCGGAGAGACAAGTTTAATAACGTTACAAATAGTTCCGTTGAAGAATTATTTTTCATAATTTAAATTATGTGACTGTGAGTGTGTGTGGTGTGAATGAAAAATTAATTTAAATTGATTTTAGTCTAACACACTACCACCACCCACAACTTGCGTGTGTGCTTTTCCCCTCACCAAGCCAACACTCACTCTCTATCACACCACCACCAAGTCATGCACACACTAATACTCCAAAGCCGGCTGTCACTCAAACAACAACAACAACATCACGCACAAAACTCAATAAACTTTCAACACTCAAACAACTCCCTTCTCTCCCTCACACATACATACATACACATACACATAATTATATTTACACATACATACTTGATTGACACAACATCATCAATATCATCATCACGAAGAGCATCAGCAGCATCAACATCAACTTCCAACATCAGGTATACAGACAGGACATAAAGCGAATATCAATCACTTCATATCAATTATTTCATATCAGCAATCAATCAATCAATCAATCAATCAATCACACACCAACATATTAGGACATATATCTAGCATGAATACATATCATTAGAAATATTAGACAACTAGTCGATTAATACGATAAATATATATATATATATACAATCAAATATATAGTATAGGAGGAGAGAGTGAGAGAGAGAGAAGAACCAGGAGCATCTTATAGTCTGTGACGAGCAGTATGGTGGTTCAGTACTCAACGCCCCAAAGCGAGTTTGTTCCAACATCCAAGAATCCATATGAGGGTATGTAGTTTCTCGAGGAGGACCGTTATAATCACGTGAATGTTAACTAACTAATTATTATTATATATAGACATGAGCTACAATGATTGGTCCATCCTGATCGATGCAGCCATATCCACACAGGGCAAATTGGATGACGTGGACAACGGCAACAATAGCATCAGCTCCAACAATAGCAATATCAATAGCAACAACAGCAACAATAGCAACAACAACAACAACAACGTCACCATCAGCAGCAACAGTGGCAACACAGAGGTGAAGGTTGAGATCAATACAGAGGCGGACCAGCACCCTCCAAAGGAGTCCGCCAACAATGTCGCCACCACCAACAACAACAATATAGACGACAATACAAACCATACTCATCCGCTGTGTAGTGGCGACACAACAGTCAGTGACAACGGTAGTATCAGTCATACAAACATCACCAACATAGATAGCAACAGTTGTAGCACCGACATCAACAACAACAACAACAATAATAGTAATAGTATCAACAACAACAACAATAATAACAACAATATCCTTCTGTGTCCTATCCTAAAGAAGAGTAACCCAAACAACTCATTCGTAGGATATGAGATATCAAAGTTGCCACTGAGAAAGAGACACTTGGTGCCAGAGAGTGCTTACTACAACATTCACCAGTGTCTGGCTTCACCGCAGTCACCTCCAACACCTAAACAATCATCAACACATCTGTTTGGTGGTAGTGGTAGCGGCAACAGTTTGAACGAAGCCCAGGAGCAGCGAGTGCCCTCCCCCAACACAAAGAAGGAGGTTGTCGTCCAACAGCAACAGCATCAACAGCAGCAACAACAGGTGACCGTCAAACCACCCGCCAAACCAACAGAGGAGGACGAGGTCGATGTCGAGGGTGTAGACGAAGAGTTCTTTGTAGACAAATCTCTAAGCTATGATACCCAACATAGGACTGTCGTTGAGTCCGTCACACCGCCACTGACGTCGTCCAACGGTGTCCAGCAGCAGCCCACTCCAATCAAAGTTGCCGAGAGCACGCTGGTCAAGGTGGAGAGTGACCAGGAGATGGAGGTGGACATTCTGGTAGACGACGAGGAGAGCAGCAACAGCAGCAGCAGTCACAGGAGCAAGGGAGAGAACACACCAGTCAAGAAGGAACACAGTCACCATCATCACAGCCACCACGATGGCAGCCACAAGAAGAGGTCCAAGCACCAACGGTCCAGACACAGCCACAAGAAGGTCAGGCGGGAGAAGGAGCGTCCGGCCTCATCAGGGTCCGACACCGCCATGTATGAATCCGAGTCCGATTCGGTTTCCGACGAGGAGGAGGAAGACTCTGGTGACAACAGACTGTACTGTGTCTGTCGCAAGAAGTACGATTCCAACTCATTCATGATTGCATGCGACAAGTGCGACGAGTGGTACCACGGCGAGTGTGTCAACATCTCGGAGAAGGACGCCAAGAAGATCGACCGATACGTGTGCATGAAGTGCAAGAAGAAGGACAAGCACAACAGTGGCAGTCACTCCTCGAATAATAATAATAGTAGTAGCAGCAACATCACCAGCAGCAACAACAACATCAACAACAATAGTAACAATAGTAACAATAGCAACAACCACAATCACAACAATCACAACAGTCACAACAACAATAGCAACAACAGCAGCAACAATAGCAACAACAGAGATAGTATACCTCCCGCCTCACCAAAGGTGACACCTTCACAGCCCAACTTGACAAACTCGCCACTTCTGCAGAGTAGCGATTACAAACATTATTTATCAACAAGCAACAACACCTCACCAACACACAGTAGCAACAGCAACAACCCTTCACCGACATCGTCCTCCTCCTCTTTACCCTCTTCTAAACCTGACGTTCGAAGATGCTCTTACTCCAAGTGCTCAGGCTTCACCAGCGGCCCATCCAAGTACTGCTCCAAGGAGTGCGGCGTGGCCAACGCCAAGGAGATCATCAACAAGAACCCATCGATTCAGCGTTCCGTTTTATCCGCACCCAACTCTCCACCCAACAGTACAGTCGCACCTGCACCCGCACCCGCGGCCGGCACTGCCACAGCCTCCACCACCAAGTCTTCTCCGCCCGTCTCTGACAGTAATCCACTGACCCAGAAGCTGATGTCGACGTCCAACTGCGACGACATTAGCAAGCTGAAGGAGATCTCGCAGAAACGATCCGAGATCGAGACCAAGCTGAAGAAGCTGGAGAAGAAGAGCTCAGAGTTTGAAAAGACCATCCAGAAGACCAAGTTCCGAGCAGAGTCTGCAGAATTGTATAATAATATCAGTACCAAAGGCAACATTGATGGCCCCAACTCGACACCGCCGACCCCCAAGCCCAACAACTCGCCGCCATCCATCACGCCTTGTGTCTTTCCTCAGAAAGAGTCAGCCACTGGCATATGCGGCGTATTGAACTGTACAGAGCATCCCAACTGGGAGAAGAAAAAGAGAGAGTTCTTTACCAAGGAACAGTCATTATATGTATGTATTAGCCGTATACCTTCATCATCTCTATGTATGATCAACGTTCTAACTCATTCACTTCTTCCTCCCCTTTCTCTACAGACCAAGGCCCTCAGAGATATCGCTTTAGAAGAGAAACAAATCCATCAGAGGATAGCCAGGCGAAACAAGATTGCCAACATGTCCTTCCCCGTTGGTTGTGAGACTGGCTCCTCTTCAGACTACTGACTTATTATAAACTGATAAACATGTATCTATTGTCTTCCTATCCCCTTTATACCCCCTTTAACTACCCTTGCCTGCTCTACTCTGCCTATTCCTTCTTGTTGTTGTGTCCAACCTGATATCATACTCGTTATGACACCAGTTTATTATAAAGCATTTGCATCTCTGATACCATACGCTCTGACACTTGTTTGTCTTGGACATCACCAGATGAACGTTGATGCACCAGCTTCACCAACTCCGTCACCTTGCTCTGCACCTTGTCATCCATGAGTGTATCCTCCAATGTCTTTTGTTTGGATAGCTCGATAAAGATATGTGAGAGTGTAGTCAACTTGGTGTCGTTGGAGTTCAATCGGTCTATAATGTTATTGGTTGTTCATTGTTAGTCGTCTTATGGCAACAATAAATGGATTGGATGAGATTGTCTTACCTTTCAGTAGTCTAAATATATGTAGTAGCAATGAGTTTGATTGATCCAAAAGAACAAACTGGACAACAAGATCCATTTCAATGATGGATGAGTTGGCGCTGTCGTAGAGGAAGTTGGCCAGGGTGATTGGCAGCTTGTTAAGGAGTTCCTCTGGCATTTGTGCCCACTCCTCATTGTCCTTGGCATCAAAGCATGCATATATCATCTCCAACAAACCCTTGGTCTCGACCATCGTCTTGGGTGTTGACTAAAGAAGGATGGAGGGCAATGATTAATAAATAATCCAAGTCTCCATAGAATGATCGAATGAAGGACGTACCAATTCATTGAGAATTGACTCTGAGAGTGGAACCAGCAACTTGTCAATCGCGATTGATGTCCTCAGATTGTTAATGTCTCTGAATATTCTACTTGTAGCCTTCTCTCTTAGTCTATCTCTCTGTTTGGCTTCCTCGCCTTCCTCATTATTCTCCATTGTCTTTCTCTTGTTGCTATTTGTCGCTTTACTCTTGTCCATATCAACGTCGACCATAGTCTGATCACCATCAAGGTCAACTGGTTCATCATTATTCTCTGTATCTTGTCCCTCCAATGACTTCAACTTCTTTTCGACTGGCTGTGACATTGACATTGTCACGGCGAAGCAGAATGCCAAGTAGTTGGTGAGTCCAAACTGTGATTGCTTGTGATAGAATATCTCCAACACTCTGTCAACGATATCATGGGATATGCCTGGGTCTACAAGTTCATTGATTGATTGTAAGTTGATTGATTGAATGATTGGATATGGTGGTTATAACATACATCTACATATTGCAATGAGTGACCTGATCATAAGCATACTGATTGATGAGAAGTAGTAGATTAGGTTGAGTGCCTGAGTCTGGACGTTGAATGGTAGTTGGACGAATGGTCCATATATCTGTTTGCCATTAGGTTGCTGTTGAGTGCCCTTTGTGATTGTGAAGAAGAATGGAACAAACGCATTGTGGATCGAGTCATACTGTGCTCTCTTGGTCTGGTCCTTGCCCAGAGACAACAATATATGTATAATGATCTGTCAACAGATATAGTAACCGTTAGCAAAGGTAAATGTAAATGGAGAATGCGGGATACATACAAGTGATGTGTTGGGATCGGTAGTTCCAAGCTTCCAGAGGAGCTTGGGCAATGAAGCCAGGCCCCACTCAATAATCTTCTTGATTGTGCGGTCCTTTGCCTTGGAGTGAGTGTCAACCAACTCCTTGATGAAGAACACACATGACTTCTTTGCGGAGGAGTGAGGATGGCAATGCTCATCAAACTTGATGAAGGCCTGCAACAGACTCTGGCTGCTCTCTGGCTGCAGAACAGGGAGAATGCGAGGCACGATCCACAAAAGATCAGCGATGGACGAGCGCACAGCCTGACCAGATCGCTCAAGATTGCTCTCAATCAGCTTGCCATCGAGTGCCTCCTCCAGGAACTCCAGCGCCGGTGTGAACCATTCCGGCAATGATGTCAAGGGCTTCTTGCATTGCAGGCCCATGAAGTGCGCCAAGGTCTGTGCCACGACAGAGTTGATTGCATTGCTTGTGATCCACTCCTTGGAGTCGGGGTTGGCAGCCGATCCTACAAAGAATGGGAAGTGCACAGCAAAGTACTTGATGTAGTCCTGTCGCAAACGATCAAAGTCCTTGGTGCCATGCATGTCAATCTTGAGGTTTTGGATCAACAAGTGGATGATCCTCAGTATGAGCTCCATGTCCTCGAGGCTGGAGTGTGGGAGCGCTGGGTTGGACGGGGACAGTTCCAGCCAGCACTCAATCAGCACGGGCATCAGAGTCTTTGTGAACAACATAACTTCTCCACTATTCTCCAAGATCATTGGTTTGAGTTGTACTGCGCCATCACCATCCTGTTGCTGTTGCTGTTGCTGTTTGTTCTTCTTTGTTGAGCCATTGTTGTCGATTGAGGTGGAGAGTGTCGATGAGGAGATGGATGCTGTGACTTGGTTCTTGGAGAACAGGTCATTGAACACGCGACGCTGATCATATGTGCGGAACTCGCCGCGAAGGCTGACGATTGGGGCCCAGGGAGTGTTGTCCTGGTTCATGGCCAGGACGCCGTTGAGCAGACTGGCAAAGGTGTTGTCGGGTGGCAACACGAGGAGCATCAGAAGCTTGTTCATACTGCGCAGGATCTGTATCCTCGTGGACAGTGCGCCAGTCTTTTGTGTGGCGGCTGAGGCCAGCGAGGCGGCGGTGGCCGAGGTCGACTGGAAGGACATTGTATGTGACGTGGACACGGACACACGTCTGAGCAGGTCCATGTAGTTGGGAATCATTTGGTGGCTATGTGCCGTGATCTGGCGTGGATACTGATCGAGCAGCAACTCAAAGATGCGCAGGGCGTCCATTCGAATGGAGGTCTTGAGGTGGGTCATTCCCGAGCTGACGTACACACTGAACAGTGGCACGAAAGGTGAGATCATCACGGGGTCGAGCAGCGGTAGCACTTGGGCCAGCAGCGAATAGGCAGCAGCACGCACATTCTTCTCGACGTCGTTCACCAACTCAACCGTTCCATTCATTATCGCTGATATATGCATATGAACTATCTTTGGATGCTGCTGTATCAAGTCGCGTACACCATTCAAAGCATCCTTCTTCACCTGTTCACTATAATGTTTCATCTTTGACAACAAGTCCTTCAACGTCATATTCCTATGATTGACCATCTGATCCTCCTTCTCACCTGATATCGACTGAGCTGGGATGAACAATGCTATTATATTCATTGTGGTTATGAGTATGAGTATGAGTATGAGACTATGGTGTAATAGTATGATGGACATGGTATTGATTGACATACTCTTTGATTTAAAGGTAGTGACGGTGGCATTGGGATTGGGTGGTGCCTTCTTTCCAAGCTTCTTCTTCTTGACTTGGAAGTCAAGTGATGGTTGACCTGTTTTCTTTGCTTTTGATCTTCCCATTATATATATTATATGTATATGTATAAGTATATCTACAAGATCACAAATGTTAATGTATTCGTTCAAAACAACCATTCGGTCGTTTTCTCAGACTCAAAAAGTCATCAAAAATCAAATTTGCCAAACCTTCTACCCTTGCCATTGCCCTTACCCTCGACCCTTGGTCTAGAGAATAAATACTTCTGATTGTTTATTGATGTTGTTGTTACACTGTGTGCGAAGGAGGGAGATAGAGATAAAGATATATAGATTGGAAGAAAGAAAGAATGAATGAGTGGGATAGAGTAGAGTTGACAGAGGGGATAGTGGATAGAGGAGAGGGAAGAAGGTAGTAGGTAGGAAGATGATGGATGAATGAATGAATGATGAACAAACAAACATTACTTCAATCTCAGTTGGATGTTTAAGCAGTGCTAAAGACTGGGTTGTGTCTGCAGATGCTTGGTCCAATCTCATCGTACTTGGCCTTGGTGTGACAGAGGTTGTAGAAGTCTGGAGTGGATGCCAACATGGAACCACCGAACCAGACGGCATAACGCTGTCTGGAGTGAGACACGACGTTGACCTCGAGTGGCACGGCCTTGATCTTGCCGCCACTGAGCTCCTCGGATCTCTTGATACGGTAGTCGACCGATCGCTTGATGTCACGTTGCAGACGCTTGCCAAAGTCCTTGAACATGGTGCTGCCACCAGACAGCACGATGTTCTTGTAGAGACCACGACGGCAATCGATTGGACACGACTGGATGGTGTCGTCGACCACCTTGGGCAGTGGGGTCAAGAAGTCGGACGAGATGATCTCGGGGCTGAAGAAGATCTCTGGGCCGAGGAAACGCTCGTAGCCGACGTCGTACTGGAAGGGCTTCTGGGTGATGGCGTCGGCGGCCTGCACGGTCTTGATCCACTTGGTGGGGTCGCTGTCGAACTTGGCAAACTCCTTGACCAAGTCTGGGCACACGTAGCTGAACTGCTCCTTCACACGCTTGGCAATCTCGAGAGACTCTGCTGGTGGGATCGATGGCTCGCGCTCCCTCATCAACTGTTGGACGAATCCAGTAATATCTCTTCCAGCAATTGGAATGTGTTTGATTGATGATCCAATAACATATCCTTCAGCCTATAAAATGTTTGTTTGATTGATTGATCATATGATCAGATGGTCTGTCAGTGCACTGTTTGATCGATCGATCAATCAAACATATATACATACAACTGGAATGACGTGAGTAACTCCATCACCAGAGTCAATGACGGTACCGGTGAGGGTACGATCGGCATTCTTGAGGGTCCAGGTGGCAGCAAGGGCAAGGACGGCTTGGACGGCAATGTAGAGACCTGGGACGTTGAAGGTCTCAAACATGATCTCGGCGGTGAACTCACGGTTCTCTGGTGCGTTCAGGGGTGGCTCGGTGAGGAGGAAGTAGTGATCCTCGGGCTCACAGCGCATGTACTTGAAGATGCACTGCTCCCAGTACTGCTCCATGTGCGTCCAGTTCTGGATCTGACCGTGACGGATGGGGTTGGTCAGGTCGTAGGTCTTGGCGTTGGCGACGGCTTCGTCTCCGATGAAGAAGTCGAGGTCCTCGACACCCTTCTTCATCGAGGCGGCAGTCTGCTTGCCCTTGGCAGTCTGTGTGGCGATCGATGATGGGATGATGAAGCTGGGGTCATCATTGCCGGCGTATCCCATCTTTGTGTATCCTGTACCATTGTCAATGACCACTGCTGGTAATCCTGAAATGTTCATCTTTCTTTCTTTCTTTAAATTATCTGTATCAAACTAAACTAAATATATATAATAATATGAATATGAACTAACAACAATCAATCACATCAACAACAACACAACAAACACTCAATGATTGAAAGGGATGTGTGTGAGAAATGGATGGCCTAAGTTTTTCACGTAATGCAGGTCCCCAGTGGGGGGCTTTTTTGGTCACTCACCCATCAGGTCCACCACCAAAAATTGATCAAATATCTTAAAAAAAATAGTTGATCATCTCCATTTCAATTCTATATCTGTACACAAGCATTATTATTATTACAATGTTGATGTTATTTATTTAATGGTGCATCTTTTTAATAACTTTGTTATTGAATAGTTGGTAACATGCCATTTTGAAGTCATTGTAATCATTCCATTTTAGAATCTTACGGATTGGGATGTAGGTGATTCTTGGTTCACTTTCTCTAATGATCATACAATCCTTGTTGTCCAAACAAATGAATGAAAAGTATTCAAATTTTGATCCAGGTTTCTCAAACAATGGTGTAACGTCCATCTTGATCTTGAATCGTTTGTCATTGCGTAATGCATGCAGGTGAGGACCATTCGATGACATTCCTGTTATTGTTAAATCAATGATACTTCTGAGACGGAATATGTTTGGTAAATCTGGACATTTGAAATTTGAGTTTACCTTCAAACATGTCACTGATGTTGGTAAATGATAGTAGAGACCAGCTAGGTTGCAAAGGTCTCCATTACCTCGCAAGGTCAAGTAGGTGATTGAGGATGGCAGTGATCCTTCTGTCAGCTTTTGTCTCCAATGGGGCCAAAATGTTAGTTTAGTGATTGATAAGGGCAAGCTTCCAGGAGGCAATTCTTGTTTATACTCTGATCCAAGCTTCAAGGTTGTCAGTGATGTTGTGATACCCAACAATTCAAGAGGTTGGTTAAAGTGTTTGCCGACTTTCAAACTTCTGACATTGTCAGGTATCATTCCAGTTGTGAATGGATGTAAGAAATTGTCATTGAAGGTCAAATCGGTAACAGTCTGACCAATGTATCCAAGAGATATAGGCTGGTTGGAAAACAATGACAAATATTTTAGGTTTGGTGGAAGATTGATTATATCTTGAGGTTTCTCATAACGTATACCAATCTTCAAAGAGGTCACTGAATGTGGAATATATATATGTTGGGAATAAAATGTTTGTTCGTCAAGTATTTGATCCAATCGATCCAATGATGATGTACGATATGCAAAGTTAAGATGGATGACTGATTCTGGTATACAATCTTTGAATATTGGATACTGGAATGTTGACTCAAAAGTCAGATGAGTGACACTATTTGGAATATCACCTTTGTTCAACTGTTGATTGAAAAGTCGTCCAAATGTCAAGTGAGTCACATTATTTGGAATCAAACCTGGAATTAAAGGTTGTATGAAATGAGTACCAATCTTTAAACTCGTAACATAATCCGGGACATTACTAATTGTTTCGCCATCTTCAATCTCATAAATTATATTATTATTAGCTCCACTGAGATGAATATGTTAGTTAGATGGTTGTTTGATTGAGTAGAGTTGAGTTGAGATGGGTTGATTGAATACCTTTTAGAAGTTGGCATGAGTTCATGTATTATCTTACGATTACTACCAAAGAAGTACTTTGAAACTAAACAGAGAAATACTCTATCAGCAGTATCAGAAAGATATGATACAATTAAATATAATACTATTCTTGGTATTTTAGTTAACATGTTTTGTATTTATATATATTTATTGAAAATGTATACCATTGTTGTTTAACTTTATTTATATTCGTCGAGAACCCAAACTTAGAAAATAAAGTGTACAATCAAGATACTTTGATCTTGTAAGTTTTATGATTGTTTACACTTTAGATGAACTTCAGGAATTGGTTTGAATCTATCGTCTGACATGGCCTATTCCATTTGGAGAGATCACAAGATGACATCATACTTTATACTTTAGTAATCGAGATACTTCGGGTTATTCAACTTCATTCATTACTTTACATTATTTATTTACTCACCCCTTCGGCATGATTTATCTATGAATTGAGTATAATGAATAGACAGACAATCGTTTGAGTTAGTGTAGTAGACCCTATTGACTATGGCTTTGACCCTTGATAGATAGTCTAATACAAGTACAGCAACAAAGACGCCCATTCCGAGCAAAGACAAAGTGCCGAAGACCATCGGATTTCACCACACTTTCACCAATCATGCAATGATACTAAGTAGAGTTGTGATCAAGTTTTTAAAAGTACAGGATTGAGGGCATGCCCTTGTCAACCCATCTCTTGCCTATTCAGGCCCTTTGCAGTAGCATCACTTCACGATTCTGTACCATTTGTATCCAATAGCCGGTCGGGTATCTTTGTATGTCAGTTCCAATCACAATACCGACAACAACTACAACTCTAGAGTGAGTGAGTGAGTGTGTTGTTTAATGTAACTGAGGATGCATGTGTCCAAACACCATCATCATCATCATCAGCTCAAACCATTCTTGACAACAACATCACCTCTATTTATTTGTATTAGTAGTAGTACACCTAACTCACTCAATCACTCAGCCTCACTCTCACAACAATGGACAGGATATACATCAATCAACTCACTGCCAAGTACTTGACATCACAGTGGAAGAACTTCTATATCACTGGTTTCCTCGTCTCCTTCTTGCTTAGCGTTCGAATCCTTCGTAGCATCTTCAGAACACGATTCAATGTCAAGGGTAAACTTGCTGTCGTCACTGGTGCATCAAGGTAAGTTTGGTTTGGATCGCTCATCACTCACTCAATCACTCAATCATTGACACTTACTTACTTTGCAAACAGTGGAATTGGTCTTGCCATCGCAACAGAGTTGGCCAAGGCTGGCTGCTCGGTGTGCCTGGTAGCACGTACACAGAGCACTCTGGACACGATCGTTCAGGAGTTGCGTCAGAAGGGTCTCGACGCACATGCTGTCCCAGCCGATCTAAGCAAGCCAGAGGATGTAGCAAGATGCCACCAAGAGGTGATGAGAATCGCTGGCGATCGCTCCGTCGACATTCTCGTCAACAATGCCGGTGCCGGTAACTGGAAGTTCATCGAAGAGACATCCATGGATGAGTGTTACAGCATGATGGCTTTGCCTTGTATGTGTCTCTCTCTCGTGATCGTTCACGTGATCCAACAAACACCGCGACTAACCCGCCATGCACTCAATCAATCAAACCAACCAATCAATTAGACTTTGCCGCATTCAACATGACCAGAGAGTTCGTCCCAAGAATGATCGCTAATAACAGCGGATACATTATTAATGTTAACTCACCAGTGTCGTACCAGCCATGGCCTGGCTGCGTTGGATACGCTTGCTCTCGTTTCGCCATGAAGGGCTTCACTGAGGCCCTCAAGGCTGACTTCCGCGGCACCAACATCCGTGTGATGGAGGTGATTGCAGGCGAGACCAGCTCCAACTACTTTGCTGCCAATGGCATCGACGACACGTTCCACATGCCATACGCCTCGCAGCTCATCCCCAAGATCACGCCCACCGACGTTGGCAAGGGCACCGTGCAGGCGCTCATCAACAACAGAGACAGAGCTGTCATTCCATACTCACTGGCCCTCATCATTGGCATTGGCGAGATGTTTCCATCGTTCATGAGAGCACTGCTCTGTCGCTCGCCACGTGGTGACGTTCGCATCAAGAAGATCGAGAAGGAGGGTGTTGGATTCAACTCAAAGTAAAGTAAAGTAAGCTCTCTCGCTCGCTCGTTCGCCTAAACGGTTGTTGTTATACGTCCATCCACGATAGATTGGATGGAATGTCTTCTATATGTTTATTGAAGTGAGTGAGGGTGGGCAGTTAGTAGTACATGATGTCTGTGTGGCTGTGGCGGCGAAGTGGCAAGTGGTGATCATACACGCCACATGATCGAGTTGTTTGATTGGGAGAATGTCCAGGACAACCTTGGTTAATTGGTTGGCTTGATCCTGACCCAACCTAGCTGTGTTCCTGATCGTCTGTTGCTTGATGATGGTGTTACACCTGTGGTTGCTGTCGTGGTCGTGGTAGATGTTGGAGTTGGCGTGGTAGTGGCGAATACTGGGACAGGCGTGCCAGTGGCCTTGGGCGAAGTTGGCTCGCTGTCAGTCTCCCCATCAGACTTGATGTTGATATCGTCGTCCAACACTAACTCCTCGACATCCTCCTCCATGATGGCATCGGACATGCTGACGGGCAGGTCCAAGAACTCCTTGTCGGCGTGAGGCAGCTTCTGGATGAGGTTCTCAACGAATGCCTTCTCGAGGTTGACGTTGTTGAGCATCACAGCCGGGTCACTCGAAGGACAGCGCAGAATGGTCGGAGCAAAGATCATGGCCATGTTGCTGCTGCCCATCTTGCTGTGCGCGACAAACTCCAGCTTGCAGAAGAGTTGGATAAAGTGCACCAGATAGGTGAGCACGCGCAGATGCAGCGGATTGGTAATGCGTTTGACAATGTTGACGGCGTCTTGTGGTGTGTCAACGCAGTTCTGATACAGTGACGAAGGAATCAGTGGCTCGGGCGTGTCGCGCAGCCATTGTTTGAACAACGCGGCCGGTGTCCTGACGTCGTCGATGTGCGACAGGTCAAAGTTGCCCTTGTCCATCTCGAGCCTGATCTCCTTGATCGAGCTGACGATGCCCGGCACACGGAAGATGCCCTCGTATACATGTCCCTTCAGCTTGGTGATGGTCACGGCCAACACATGCAGCACCTGCGGGATCTCAAGCGTGGGATGCGTGTCACGCTGTCTGGCCATCAGCTCCTCGATGGGCACACCAAACGAAGCAGTTGGCAACAGTGCCGATCTTGGCACAGGCTTGCCTGGCGACAGTGGCGCCATTGTGGCGGTTGAGCCACCTGATGTTGTGAGTGAGCCTTCATCCTTCTTGCCCGCCGACGACTTGGAGAACAAGCTGGACGTAAGATTCTTGGCGTTCCACATCGACTTTCTTGTGAGCCTGCCCTCGACGTAGGGCTCATAATGGAAGGGCGTGCCCAATATCTTGTTCATCTTGTTCTTCCTAATAAAGTCCTGCACGTCGCTCTGGTTATCGACCTGTTCGACCAGCCTCCTCACAGCATCATATGATGCGGCGTATATTGGTGGCTGGTCATTGATCACCTTGCTCCAATTGGACAAGTAAGTCTTTGTAAGATGTATATGAGTGATGATGAAGTGCTCAAAGTCCTATGTATGTCGATGAAAGGTTAGTCAGTGTGTGTTGCCGACATGTTGCCCTTGTTGCCAGTGGCGTGGCGCATGGAGCTACGCACATTCAATATCTTTGGCATCATCTCTACGTTGTAGAGGTTCTGGAAATCGTTGGTAGCCTTGATCTGCTCGCGATACTCCTCGTCGGCGGCAGCCTGCTCTCCCTCCAACCTCTCCTTGCGCTTCTCCAGCTTGGTGATTGAATCCACAGAGGTGTCGGGCGACTCGCGCGCATCCTTGAGCTCCAGTTTGGTGGACTCGAGCTCCTTTGACACCTTCTCGTACTTGGACTGCGACTTCCTGTGCGCATCCAACATCTCCTTGAGGTCGTTGCGCAGACGCGCACCCTCGTTGACAATCTTCTTGCGCTTGGCCTCCATGTCCTTGATCATGGCCGAGAATGGGCCGCACACCTTGGTCACGATGCTGGCGCTGAGTGCCACGTGATGCTCCGACTCGTTGTGGCTGCAGTTGACGACCTTGCGCCAGGCGTTGTTACCTGTCGATGCCTCCAGCTGATCACTAACGGCGAACATCTTTGATGAGAGCTTGTCCAACTTCTTTGCCAGCTTGTCCTCGACCTCTGCTCTCTTCTTAAAGTAGAGCAATATAATCTTTGACTGTGCTAGATCATTCTCTGTTCGCTTGCACAGCAAGTCGTAGCCATCCCATAAATGTTCAGAGAACTTTAGCTTTGTATTCGTCGCAGTCGTCATTGTTTATGTTGATAATGTTGATAATAAAGTATGGTTGAATGATTGAATGAGTGAATGATTGAGCGACTCTCGTTGACCTGACTCTGCGTGTTCGTGTTCGTGTCGAGTGATGTTTGTTCACAAGGGACGCACTGATTAGCCAAGCACAAGGTGTTCGGGGTCGGGCTTGGTCTTGGTATTGGTGTGTTGGCTGGGTCTTGGGTATTCGCTTCGCTTCAAACTCGAGTTGCTTATGCTGCTACTTTAAGTAATAATAATAATAATAATAATAATAATACGTGTTGTGTAATAAGATAGAGAAAGGGAGAAAGAAGGATTATGTATTAATTTGATGAATACCACCACCACAACAACAACTACTTTGCAAAGATCTTCGTTTTGATTATAATAACCAAAAGGGCTGCATTAGGAATAATGGGTGAAACCATGAATGAACGACCCATGACAACGACCTTGATCAAGAATGATGTTGGGTTTGTCAATTGCATGAATGAACACATAATAATAAATATCTTGATAGTTTTGTAGATCATCTTGAAACTACATGATACCAATACATATTAATGTTTAATGATTATTATCAGACATCGCTGATGTGCTTACTGGACCCATCACTGTAGTCACTCTCAGTGAGGTTATCTTGATGGTCATCCTCATCTTATTGATCGTCGTGCTCAGAAGAACTGCCACATAGTGATTTCACCTGTTGTTGACCAAAGGTTTCTGCCATGGTCCGATATTCTTCATCTCGATCGCCATCGGGGTCCTCTGGATTATCAATATGTTTGTAATGCCTGCCAAGCTTTAATCGATGCGTCAGCGAGGTGACTTCAAAATCATGTGCCATCAACTTTGACACTGGAATGAAGCCGCCAACAAGCGAGTCTGCCAAGAAAAGCGCCACATCGTTGTATAGGAATCTGATGGCAAATCTGATCTGCGAGTGTACATTATAATAGTTGACCGTCACTCGTGAGGAAAGTGTGGCGAAGCGAAGGATGTTGAACGTTGTGTGACTGGTCGGGTCGAGAGGATGGTCAATCCCAAGAGATGGATGCGTGCGGTCAATGTTGTCGATGCGGACATCGCCGATACCCAAGTTGGTGAGATGAAGGAGATGTCTGCCCAGCACGGTCCCGCCATCGTACCGAAAGGTCTTGAGCGTTGATGGAAGATTGTCAATGTCATTAGTAAAGAACTTTCTTCCAATTGTCAAAGAGGTAACAGTGGGAGGGATTGCATTGTGATCGAATGGCCTGTCGTAGAATCCACCAAGGACGAGCTCAGTGATGGAGGCAGGAATATTTCCCGGCGTGAGACGATGGTCACCAAGACAGAGATGAACCACCGATGGCGGGAGACAGGCGAGTGAGCGCGTGCAATGCCGGAACCGGTCGCCAAATCTGAGGTGTGACACCGACTCCGGGATTGCTCCAGGATACAGTTCTTGATCAAATTCTTTGCCAAACTCCAACCTTGTCACTGAGTGAGGGATTACTCCCTCTTCCAGAGGTCGATTAAAGTTGTTGGTAATGAGACACTCGACGCCATCTGGGATAGATCCAATTTCTAGCGAGTTGTTGTAAAAGTAAAGATTGAGATACTTGATCGATTGAGGGAGGTCGCCTGCCTGCAGGTCATAGTCGTATTCTCGCAGCGTGAGCTTGGTCACAGAGTCTGGAATGACCCCATAGCCAAGATAACAATAATATGCATGAAGGTCCAAAGTTGTGATGGAGTGAGGAAGCGAGAGCGGACTGAATTGGCTCGCGTAGACCGTCAGCGTTGAGACTGTTGAGGGTATCTCAAAGGTATCTGTAACGCCGGCACGGCAATTGCTGATATCGAGAGTTGTGATTGATGATGGAATATCGACTGGCAGTCCATCTCCAAAGACAATGAGCTCAGTCACTGATGATGATGATGAAACATCACCAACAAAATCCAAGTGGCAGTTGAGCGATGTCACAGTTGGCGGTATGAGGGATGGTTGCTCACCAACGATCGTGAGCTTGCTGATGTTGTAATTGCCATTGGAGTGCGACTGCAGCCACTCTACATCGTCACTCGTGCGAACCTCAATGTTAACTTGGTCAATATATATACATGTATTAGTGATTCTCCTAGGACGAAGTGTTCAAATATATGATAGCTCACTCACTGTTAATGTTGCTCAGAGATCGATCAATTGAGTGGAGGAAGCTATTGAGACATGTTACATGTCTGATATCTTCGCTCTTGTTTGTGTAGCAACCTTCAATATACATTGAGCTGATGTCAAACCTCAGAAGACTATCTCTTTGAGCGTAGAGACATGAGCAGCTGAGCACAAGACATATTCCATCCAAGTTGTCCAAATAGTCAAAGAGCAATAGAATGACTCTATATGGAAGATCGAGCAATGAGAGGCAAGATGTCATTGTTGTTGTTGTATTAGTTGTATTAGTTGTTGTCGTAGTTGAGTGGTGATATGACCTCGCGGCGAGTCATCTTTCGAAAGTCTTTTTCAAAAAGGCGCGTTATTTGAAGTTCTACAGATTGTTTCATTCCAATAAACATAACACTTATCTCTAAGTTAGTTAGTTAGAGATAAGAGATAATAATGGATTCATATAGGAGTAGTACAACATCAACATCAACTACATCAACATCAATTTCAACAACAACATATGATGGTGATGATGATGGAGGTGATCATTTTTTGGACAACAACTCAACATTTGCTCAGTTGAAACAGATGTGGATTAATGAGAAGTGTACATCAGATTTGTTACCATTCCAACAAGAGGTCGTAGATGAGGCAATGAAACAGATAACACTTAAGGAGGAGTTGTGCTCAAAGGATATCACAGACACCAATCAATTTACAGCATTCATCTATGAGATGGAGATCGAGCGACTCAAGTACCTGATACGATCGTACCTCAGATGTAGGCTTCAAAAGGTGGAGAGATATCACGCCTACATCACAAAGAAACAGTATATGAAGGGAAGGCTATCCACTGATGAGATGCACTATTGCAACAAGTACGCTCTACTCGTCGAAAATCATTTCAATCAATCATTCCTACATGCTCTGGACCAAGGTCTTGATCGAATGGAGCCTGATAGCGGTATGTACTTTGGATCGTCCAAGTCCAGGAACTCACTTACTCACATCATTCAATCAATCAATAGTTCAAGCACCGAGCATGAACCAATATGTATTCTGTACACCAACGATGGATATTGATGATGTCCAGATCGGTGATGAGTATGTTCAATGCCTTCCGCCAAACCATTCAATCACTTACTCACAACCTCTACCTCACATGTTTAGTGATCAACCGGTGACATTGATGCAGGATGGAATCTACTTGTTAAAGTACAGTTCCATCCATTCTTTGGTGGAGACGAGGAAGGTAAACCTGATCTAAAGAATATGCCACACTCAATGTACATCAAGTTTGTACTCTTACTTGCTTGCCCTTACTTGGCAAGATATGTGGATTGGTCTACACTCACGTGGACAATCGATTAATCAATCAATACAACAACAGCAATGGTGTGGCGAAGGTCAGTCCATTGGATATAATCAATCATCATTTATTAAACAATCCAGTCCACAATACATTATCCATGCACATGTTTGGCAGCAACCAACTTATCAGTGGATGCCATGTTGACAACTGACGTCTTGGCCTCTTCAGATAGCTCATCAAAGTTGGGTAGTGTCTTGATGTTGTCTCGGTGTGTCTTGAGAATCCTGGCCTCACATAATACTGTGAGCACTCTAAGGTTAAAGTTGAGCGAGAACTGATAGATGTTTAGCAATGAGTCGTTGTCCACATGTTGTCGGAGCACGGCTGAGCACAGCTCCTTTGCGCGACTGATCTGATGGAAGTCGGCCAACTTGATCAGCTCGACACACTCGTTGGGGTCGTCTGGCACCTCGTTGGTGTAGAAATAGCGTAACAGGCTACGGAAGCCGGTTACGGATATCTCGTGCATGTCGATCGAGTCCATGCCAGTCTCCACGAACTGACCCTTCAGCATCATGCTAAAGTATGGCGAGCGCAGACACAGTATCACCTTGAACGATGGGACAACCTGTGGCTCGACGGTGTCCTGTCCCTGTTGTTGGTCGTGCAGGTTGAACTTGACGTCATGGTAGTGTGAGGAAAAGTCAGAGTCTTTGAGCTTTGCCAGGTCGTCGACAAGGCTTGAGGATGGCATCAGCTCGAGTGACTTGGTCTTGCCAAGGTTACAGAGGTAGGCCAGGCGTTCAAGCCCCAGCCCGGACGACACCAAGCCCAACTCGTCCACGACGCTCGGGGACAGGTGAGCGTGATCAGTGTACATAAACTTGACCAGCAGTCGCAATGCGTCAAGTGAGGTGTCCGGGAAGTCGATGTAGATTATGTTGTCCACAGTGCTGGAGTAGACGTGGCTGGTCATCGACAAGCTGATCTTGTGGCCACCGTTGGGGTTGCCCATCTCCATTACCATGAGTATGTGTAGCTTGTAGGCGCGACTGGCCAAGATGATGCGGTGGCAATCGACTGGGTCGCCACGGTTGCCGCGACTCGTAAGTCGCAGGTCTACAAAGCTGGTGTCCGCTAACAGCGAGGACAGCTCCGTTCCAAACAGGCTGTGGCCACTCGTAAGTGAGATGAGCGAGGAGTTGCTGCCTGCGGCGATCTTGAATACGGGGGAGTTTGTAGGGACGCGCACCTTGGTGAAGTTGCACACCTCTTTGATGGGCTCGCCATCGCCGCACTGTTGGTGGCTGTTACTGCCAAAGGTGATCACCTCGCCCGTGTCTGTCAGGACGACCACGTGCTCGTAGCCCACCTCGATCGTGTTGATGGGGTAGGGCAGCAGTGCGCGAACCAACTGTGGCATCCATGTGGACTTTTTATGGCCCTCGAGCAAGACGCCCAGCTGTGAGTTCTCGTTGCTACCCCATGTGAATACAAAGTTGCTGTGTTCGGAGAGAACGGCGTTGAAGTTGAGGCCTGCGCCAATCTTCTTGATGGACTTGTCGAGCTTGACGCGCTGGGGTATGTGTGTGCTGTCAGGTGAAGCTACACCCAGACGTCCATCTCGATTTGATCCAAATGTGTAGACCTCGCCTTCTTCAGAGAGTACCATCGTGTGCCAATTGCCACACGACACTTGTTTGGAGGGCGGCAGGTCCTTGACGAGACGTGGAGACTTTTGGAAGTTTAGGCCACCCTCGACTTTGTAGCCAAGGTTACCCATGGTGCCCTGACCCCATGAGTACAGACTGCCGCCGTTGCACAGCGCCATTGAGAACTCTTGTCCACAGCTGATTGAGGCTACGCACTGGTCTTCAAAGAAAGGGATGATCGTTGGTGAAAAGATGAAGTCGCCCGTGGTGCCCAGACCTAGACGTCCACCTGTGTTGTTGCCCCATGAGTATACAACACCAATCTCGTCCAGTGCAAGTGAATGATCCTTGCCACAAGAGATTGAAATGATCTGTTTGTTACGGAATGCGCTTATCGGTGAGGGGATGGCAATGTCGCGCTTTGTTGGATGTCCCAACTTGCCGTAGCTGCATAGACCCCAGCTGTAAACCTGTCCAGTGTCCGTCAGGAGCATTGCAAAGTTGTTGCCAAACTTGATTGTGGTTGGTGCGTGTTCGACATGATTGAACAAGATGCTGCTGGCCACCGGCAGACTTGTGAGAGTGAGGCCACTAGTGAGCATCTGGCCCCACTGATATATTGGTACAAATGGTTGTCCATTGTTGTTGCCAGTACTGTTGCCATTGTTGGCGTTGGTGGATTCATTGTACACAGTGAGTATTGATGACTTGAGCTTACGAAGTTGATCAATCAACTCAGCTGACTTGAGCCATGTTGCAATGTCAAGTGCAGTCAAGTTGCGACAATCCACCAATGATCCATCAGCCTCCACCTGAACTAGGAATCGCAAGATGTTCTTATGTCCATGGATTGTTGCAACATGCAGTGGGGTCTAAATGATTGATTGATTGATTGATAGGTGAGTGGAATAGTTCCATGTGTGGGGGTGGTGGGGGTCAGTTACAACTCGAGGTCTTCGCATCCTTAGACTCACTCATTCAATCAATCAACAGTCATAACATACCTCCTCAGCCTCATTCTTCAAGTTGAGTAGGTCTGGAAACATCTTGTATATCTTTGATAGTTCTTGCTCGAGAATTGGCATCATGTCATAGGTTGCCGATCCTGCAGTATGAAGTATGCTCTCACCATTCGAATCGAATCTTAAGAGGATCTCTTTGGCATCATCATACTTTTCCAGCTTGTACAGATTGGCCAGTTTACCAGGTAGAAGATATCTATTCTCTTGAAGGAATGTCTGCCAAGTGAATCGGGCCTGACGACTGTATATCTCCATGAAGGCTCTGTCCATCTCATCAGACCATTGACTCAACTGTATTGTTGTGTTGTTGATGTTATAATAATATTGACCATTGTAATCGTATTCATTATCGCCATCATCATAATAATCATTATATTGATCATTTTCGTCATAGTCTATATCTATATTTCCATCATATTGGTATTCCATCTCATTGTATATTGGTATGTATGTACGTGTAATACAGATAGTAAGTATATGTAACTGTTTAAGATGTTAATGGATCAACTAAAGTAAACTGATCAACATTATAAATCTGGATCGAACTGATTTGTTTCCGTTTTTGGACCATCAACCGACTCTCTTTTTGATCAACCACACACATCATTAAGAAACAGGACTTCCACGTTACACCATGAAGTTTATTAAGATCGGTCAATCAAATACAGGATAGTATATGTACAACAATGAATAATGAATGAATGTTCATCCGGATGGTCAGGCTGGATCAATAATACAGGCCGAATTCCATTGAACTTTGGTTGAGCTTGGTGAGGTCGGAGGATTGGATGCCAGGGAAGTAGGAGTGGTGATGGTCGGAACCAGAGCCAGTGCCAGCAAGGATGGATGAGATGGAAAGGTTGGCGGTGTCCAGTGTCTTGTTTGTGGATTGGTTCAATTGCATCAGGTCATGATCCAGCAGGAATCCATTCAGATCCTTGAGGTGATCGTCAACATGTAGTGGCTCCTCCTTGACACTGAATGATTGTTGTTGTTGCTGTTGTTGTTGGATGTTATTGTTGTAAAAGTGGTTTCCATTCGAGGATGCTGATGAGTCGTCTACCTCAATCGACAGGCGCAAGTTGGAGTTTTGTTGTTGTTGTTGCTGTTGTTGTTGTTGTTT